ACAAGGGGTTATAATTTCAGGCCTATAGTATAGTGAAGTGGAACTATCTGCCAGTAAGATTTAACAAGCAGTCTGGGCCAAGTAGGAAACAATGGGTTGCAGTCAATGTAGCCCTTTGTGCAAATGGAACAACTTCCACTGTGCAACAGTTAAGTTCCACTGAACGCAATAGGATTTGCTTATAGGTAGACATGCAGAGGATTGCACTGTTCATCATGAACATGAAAGAGCAATCACCTTGTAAAGTGGGTTTGTTAAAAAATTGCTTTGCAACTTTGGGGCTGTATCTGGTGGTCTCTTGCAGCAGGAATAAGGGCTCTTGCAATGTCAGGAGCTAGCCAGCAGTAAATCACACTGTTGCAATTGGAGTTAACTATTAGCAAAAACATGATCAGCACAGGAGTGTCAGGCCTAATGAGCACAGCAACTCATCTCCGCTAGGTCTTGCCCCCATGAACCAGTTGCTGAGACTGAAGGTTCCTCTGCCCTCTTAATGCCTCTTCTTGTTCTGGGAGACCAGAGGGAAGGGGAGCTTGTCACAACAGGATGGGGGGGGGGGACTCCCGTGCCTCTTCACCAGCCTGACTCATCTCTGCCTCTTGACCTCCCTCATTGCACTTTCCTGCTTCAGCTTCTGATTCTGATTCCAGACTTCTCTCTGCCACAGCCCTGTTACCTCTTCAGTTTCAGACACCTCCTCCTTTCAGTCTTCTCTATGTTGTCTCACCATTATTCCCCTGGCTTTGAGCCTTCTTCCTCTGGGGGTTCCCCAACTGGTTCCTCCCACCATTCCTCTGTGTCCAACCAGTCCATGAAATGTACAGTGGTACCTCAGGTTAAGTATTTAATTCATTCTGGAGGTCCGTACCTAACCTGAAACTGTTCTTAACCTGAAGCACCTCTTTAGCTAATGGGGCTTCCTGCTGCTGCCGCACCACCGGAGCACAATTTCTGTTCTCATCTGAAGCAAAGTTCTTAACCTGAAGCAAAGTTCTTAACCCAAGGTAATATTTCTGGGTTAGTGGAGTCTGTAAGCTGAAGCGTATGTAACCTGAAGCGTATGTAACCCAAGGTACCACTGTACTGTACTAGCAGACGGATGAATTTTAATGTTGCACAACGGAGGATTCCACTGAAACATTTGTGCTCATTGTGCAACAGATTGCACAAATCTGGTGTGCAACAGTTACCAGAAACCTGCAATCTCTTACACAATTAAGGTTCTGCTGCTGTAAAGTGTTTTGCCAGTGAAACAAGATTACCACTGAATGTCTCTAATTTAGCACTGTATTAGATACAACTGAGATTCCTGCATTGCAGGGGGTAGGACTTGATGGCCCTTGGGTTCCTTCCGACTCTAAGATTCTATGAACTTTTAAAATTTAGAAAATAGTGCTTTCCCTTCTGTTCTGCTATCATTCCATTTCAGAATTATTTTACAAACTAAGTGTCTCTCATGTTTCTGTCATGTACGTTAGACAAGACAGTACACTCTAAAATTAAAGGATTCGCTGAGAAGAAAGAGGCCTTAGAAATGTGGATCGTTGATTGAAGGAACACACAGCAGCTGTTCAGAAAGCCCACTGGCAATTAATAAAAGAACATGGACATATTATATAAAGCACCATTTCTCAATGTGTCCTCAAGGTCACCTCGATTCCAAAGCATTAGGGAAGAAAGGAAGTATTATGAGAAAGGCTGCACAGTAATTAAAACCTCAGAAAAGTTTGAACACAAGAAGTAATGTTATGCAGCTTGTAAAATAAACAAATCTTTAATGAAAAAACAGCAGCACAACAGAAAACTGTTTCTCTTACCTATGAGGCCCATTTTCCTGGCTGCTACTGAGCACTGCTATACAAGAAGTCACTTCCATTAAAAGATGGGCAGCACCAAGATTTCCAAATCCTCTTCTTCAAACCACATGGGTACTGACTGACCCTAATACTTTCAGCTGCAGGTGGTTCTTGACGGTCTAACCTGTGGGCCATGGGCTGCATATGCCCTAGATTTTTTTCAGGACTCCAAAATATTAAAAATAAATAAAGCAAAACATTTTGCTCCATTTTGGGCAAAAGATTCCTGCATTGCAGGAAGTTGGACTTAAGATGACCCTTGTTGTCCCTTCCAATTCTATGATGGTTAAAAATGATGACTGCTGCAATTCTGTCATGTCAAGAGGTTTTTGTGACCCCCTCCAAATGTGTCCTCAAAAACAAAAAGGATGGCAACACCCACTTTAAACAATTAATCCATACTCATGTTGACATATGGACCCCAGGTGGTTGACCATGATCAATGCAGCCCTTGGCTGGAAAAAGGTTTGCCACCCCTGGAGTAATCAAAAGTGGGTAGCCTAGGTGATTTTTATGGATTTGTCCACTTTGATGTTTGAAAGGTGGTACAATGTAAACTACTTAGGCTGCTGAATTATACCTTTAGAAGACAAAAAAATACGTCTATATGCAAAACCAGGATGAGAATTCTTCCCTCTGCATGAACAAAGGGTTGCTTTTCCTTAGCTTTTAACATTATCTTAATATGACCCAGTTCTCAAAACAGGATCACACATTTAGGAACACCAACTCAAGAATCTGGGATTCTTTGGGGGAAAGACCCAAGGAAGGAGAGGTCACAAATGACTAGAACAGTAGCTTAGATAAGTAGAGAACTGTTGACACTATTTTCATGGTTAATGCTAAGGGACACACAGACAAGGATTATGTATAGAAGCTTAGTTTCAAGTACTCATTCCACTGTTCACATGTGTTTGACAAAAAGGGAATGAGGAAATATTTATTGCTGCCACAAACTCAAAGGGCAGAAGCAACAGCTATTTGTTCAGTAAAAATGGATGAATGATTGCAGATACAGAAGTATACCCATACAGGAATGTTTATTTCAGCATAAGAACCCTGCTATCTGATCAGACTAAAAGGTTGGTACAGCCCAACCCTAGTTTTCAGAAGTTGGAAATGAGCAGTGTCTGGAAAATGGCATTGTGGAAGTTAATTTCCACCCCAGCCCTGATGTATTAATGAAGTTGCATCACATGAAGTAGGCATGATTTTCAGCTGTGGAAGTAGCATGACTCATGCAGCTGTATTATACAGAAAGTGAGATACTGGACACAGTTCAGCTTTTGTATAGAACCAGCTTTTTAAAAAAGTAACAAACCTCGGTTCCTACCACTGCGGTTTCACAGATATGCTTTAAAGTGTACTGTCAAAGTCTGAAACTTCAAAACCAGTGGGGTTGTCAAAATGCTTTCAGTTGGAAGGAGCAGAAAGTTTCCGACACTGCATCCTTTGGCCATTATTAGCAGCAGCCAAATTTAGCAATGCCAATATAAAGTATTTTGCATTCAGTCGTGCAAACTTAAGAAAAATGTTCTTAAGGGTGTAGCCCTGCTAAATCAGACAAAAGGCCCAATTCTGTTCTCACAGTGGCCAACTGGTATCTGCTATTGCTATTAAACCAGCAGGTCCCGTGGAAGGCTACAATTATTTAAAGTACAGAATTAAAACGTTAGATTAGGTCACAGGAATAGCGCTGCTCTTGAAAGCACACATCTCAAGTGTCAAGAGGCCAGGGTGAAGAGATTTGTCTTCAGCAGACCCAGAAACCTGTATAGTGAAGTTGCATCTGGCAACTTCAGGGAGGGAATTCCACAAGTTGGAGGCTGCTACAGATAAAGCCCTCTTCCAGGTTGCTGCCCCCAAAATCCTGAGAACAGTAGAACTACCAAGCCCTTCCCTTCCATAATTATCATCATCATCATCATTATTGAATTTCTATACCACCCTTCATCCAAAGATCATGGGGCAGTTTACAATATAACACGAGATGTAGTGATAGGCACTAACAAACTCCATTCTGGGTGCAGATTAAAGACAGACAAAAATAAGTACTTCTCAACATACATGGGCAGTTTCATTGGATGGCTTCTGGTTCTAGTATTATGTGGGAAGACTGTCTTCTTTCAGTACTGTGTATAATTTTATGAATTTTTATCCTATCTACCCTTATTTCCCTTTCCCCCTCCAAACTATAGTCATCTCAAATGTTGCAGGCTATCTGCAAAAGGCAGCTGGTTCTGTACCTTTTGCCCAAGATACCCTTTGGAGCTACTATGACCAGAACTGTGCACAATATTTCAAGTGAAGTCACACCAGACTTCTATAAAGGTATAATGGGCAGCTATTATTGGTCATTTTATTTTTGACCTCTCCCAATGTTCCAACATTGTGTTGTCACTTTTATTGAGCTACCCATCACAACCCCAAGATCCCTTTCCTGCTCACTAACTGCCAGCTCAGGCCCCATTTGAGTCTAAAAGTTAGGAATCTCCCACATTATACATTTTACACTTGCTTCCATTAAATTGAATTTGCCATTATACTGCCTATTTGTCTAGTTTGGAAATATCCTTTTGGAGCTCTTTATCAGCTATTTTTGTTTTTCTAAATAACTTCGGATTATCATCAAACATTGCTACTCCCTTCTCACCAGATCATTGATGAGCAAGTCACAGACCCAATACAAAACATTAGGGGACACAACTTCTTACATTATTCCATTGTGAGAACTGCCCATTCACCGCTTCCTCTTCTTTAACCCAAACTGTGTGTTGCAACGTTAGTTCATCAACTGCAGTGTCGTGTGAATGCTACCCACTCCTCCCAGGGTTGGAAAGGGGCTAGTTTAACCTCTGGTTCTCTAGTAAAACTGAATTACTGCGTCACGAAATGATGCCTCTCTAAAGAGTGTGTCACCAACATGAAGAGTTTGGAAAGCTCTGCTTTCACCAGTTACCAATTCATAAATCTGCTTGATTTGCATAGTAGTTATTGCTAAATTCATTTTGCTTAGGCGGAATTTCAGTTATTTCTTTAGATTACACACAGCTTTGCACAAGAGAACGCTGAAGTAGGAGTCAAGGAATCCATCGTCACTGAACTTCAGTAGTTGCTTTCAAGCACTACAGTTCATCAATTAGTCTAGTTTGAGATGAGCATTTTATTCCTGGTAACAGTGATAACCTACAGAAAACTGGTAATATAGCAACCCATAAAAGACTGTATCTGTAGCATTACTGATCTCTTCAAAGCGGTTATTGTCAATCCTTTTATTAACTGCAGAGATATGTCATTCAGGACACCAATCAGTGCCCCACATTATGCTCTGGGAAACCAGAGTTTGCAAGCATTTTCTACAAACATCCAGAATGCCAGAGTTAGGCTTCATCACGAGCCATTCTGTTAGATACATGTGTTTGTTGCATTTAATACAATCTTTAGCTGCCACCAGCCCCATATCTAAGTGTACAGACATGCTTTTCTCAAATGGCAGCCCCCCAAGCCGCATGGACTTTCAGGCACTGGATTGCTAGTATAAACTATTTAAATTTAAGAACTACAAGTCAATGAAAGCCAGGTTCTGTAGGGAGACAACATGGGTAAAAAAATATCAATACAGATGATATTTTAATACAAAATATTTTTACATAAGTCAGTCTTTTTAAAATATAGAACCTTAAAAAAAAGAACAAGTTGCTATCAACACACTATAAACACGAGTCTTTTGTGCCAAGTTTTGATAGCGTTATCAGAACAGTTTTTAAATACCAGTCCATACTTTTTAACACTGCCTTTCGGTTTCTACGAAATGCTAGCCATGTTCTGCATGACCAATTGTTATGTCCACTGTGACGCACTTCCATTCAGTTCTAATCTGACAGACTGCTCAGAGTCTTTGCACAAGGATTTCACATTCAGCTTCCCATCACAGTTCAGTGGTGCACAGTATGGCCAGTCCCATTTAATTCAGTGAACATTAACTTAAAAGAGAATGTCAGTTACATGTACTGAAGTACATTGTGTGGTTACAGGTTCTTCGTCTGAAAAGGAAACTTGCTGATGTTTCATAGATATTCTACCCTGATCATCCAACCAAATTAACAGCACTCAAGTGTTTTATTTTGATTTCTCAAAGTTGAATAAAGTAATCGCTGTCAGATTTTCATTTAAGAGATGAACTATACAGGATGTACATCTCGGGAATGTTTTGGAATAGTCTTGTTTTTGAACTCATATAAAAATAAAAGAATACCAGATCTTGCAAACTCTTGTTTTAATGGTAAATCATCCATGACAAGGTGGCTAGCTAGCCAAGGAGAATTAAGATGATTTACTTGCATTGGAATAATTTACACAATTGAACTTATGCATACAGTACAGAACTATGAACAAAAAGGTGAAGCAAACTTTATTTATATTCAGGTAAAAACATTAACCTGATGAAGTAAATTATTGCAGATTTGAGAAATCAGCACAGAAAACAATCGGACAGAGCATTGCTTACATGTGTTTTATCTGTGTCAAAAGAAATGCTGAACTGTTTTGATCCACACCAGTGCTGGGGGGCAAGGTGCTAGGGGAGGGCTTAGGGGACGGAAGAGGACGTACAGGGGGAAAAAACTTAAATCAAGGGGAAAGGATTGAACAGGGAAGGAAAATACTAATTCAACTTTATAAAAAACTTTACATCAATTCAAAATGCTCTGGCCACACCATAAATATTGGCCAGACCAATCGGTTGTTGAGTTTTTCAACTACACAAGAAAAATCAATTTCATCCTAGCCCACCAGTAAGAGGCTGTTGCCTAAATCACTGTGTGAATGGTTCTAGAGTATTTTCTGGTAAAGATTGTAGCCAATATATCCTACTACTACATTAAACTAAGCTATAAGAAAGATTCTACCTACTTACAAAGGCGGAATTATTGACAATATATTTAATAAAATTAAATTATTTCTTAATTTGAGAAAACATGGACCAGTAAATGCCCATGTCCAAAATGTAACAATTGTTGTGAGTGGAGTACACAGAGAGCCATGTGGATTGCACATCAGACAATACATGAGGGAGGGAAATCAGGGGCAAGTGATGGTACACAGAACTAGTCTACTTAACTAGATGTGCCAATACATGTTTTTCAATTTCTGTACTTATGTACAAAGTTGTCTTTGGGAGGAAAAAACTGCAGACTTGGCTAGATGGATACACACAGCCCAGTATTAAACTGCACAGCAACATTTATTGTTCCAGCCTGAAAAAACATCCCTTTTTAAATTTCACACAGCAAAGCAAGTTAAACTTCACTCATCGATAAATGATAATTTAAAACAAGAACTTGCTAAAGAAACCTTGTCACAACAACTTTAGGGCCTGATCACTTTTAAGTCCATGGGGCCTTTAATGAGTATCAACCTAGTGTCTTTGTTTATAATCTGCAAGCCGTTTTCTACAAGGAGGCGTTACGTTTCCTCGACTCAGATGATACATTTAGAAAAGAATCATGATTCTCTTTTTGCTGTAACAGGCAGACATTGCATTTTTCATTGTGATCAGGAAAGATGGAATGACTGCTGCCCTTCTCTTGCAGCTATCAAGAGTTTTTCACGCATTATCTCAATACTTGAATAGTCTGGCAACTTGAGATAGTTTACACAAGTCATTACTGAGGGTAAGAAGTCATCTGGATTTTCTGTAGACTCAAATGTCTTGCGTACAATTGTAAGTGGAGGATTCAAGCTCCGAAAGCCTAAGAAGAAAAAAACAACGAAGTTCACAACAGATTTAATATTAAGAAAGTTTAAGAGCATTAAGCTATTGGTCTCAGAAAAAGACTGCATTCTTCTTGCTGCTTTCTGTATTACTTAGGTGGATTAACTCAGCCGTGTGAAAACGGAATCCCTCACCCCTGCAAAATCACCTGCTCACTCACTCTTCTAGCATTAAAAGGCTTATGGGCTCCAATGTAGCCTGCCTCTGTAGCACTGCAATGTCAGTTGTGCATGTGGTACACTCTTGTTTAATATAAAGAATTCTAACTCTAGAATCATGAGTGCAGTCTTCATAGCTTGTCATTCACAGAGCAATTTTGGAAGCTGCACACAGATGGCCTCTAACATTAAAGAGGAAGCAGATGTTTTAACAACAAAGGGACAGGCAGCAACCATGGTGGGGCTCCAACCAAGTTTGCTTATGCATCATTTCTGCTCCTCTCCCAGTAGCCAAGAATTTTAGGCTCTTAACGAAGCAAATGCCACAATTAGTCATATATCATACTAGTACAGTCATTCCATATGAAGTTCTACCGGTGTGACAAATTGAGTCTTTGCCTAGAGACAATAGCAACTCATCCTAGACAAGTAGAACATAATGTTAACACTCACCTTTATGTCTATTAGCAAAACACAGGGATGCTCAGCTTTTATTATAGGTTCTTATGCACTGGGCTAAGTAAGACTGCAGCCCAATGCATACTTAATGGGGAGCTAAGTCTTATTGAACTCAGTAGGCTTTGTGTACATGCGCCAATTGACTGTCAATGACTTTATTTTGAAATCAGGGAAGGGAAACCAGTTACCCCTCTAAATGTTTTTGGACTCCAACTACCATCGGCTCTGGCCAGCACAGCCTACAGACAGAATGGAGGGAGTTTGAAGGTCACAGGTTCCCCATCCCTCTTAAATCAAAGTCGTTGTATTAGTACACAGTTCAGAAGGATAGACTTCTACTAGCTTATAGCACAACAGAGTTTTTACTTTGGAGGATTCAACATAGTAAATACGGTTTTCAACTTATGAATATAGCTATTGCATTTGCACTTGCTTTTAGCCAATATTATAAAAACACTCACCTCCTACTGGCAGTCTAGGGCTACCAGTCACAAACTGGAGAAATAATCTTTGCTGCTCACTATCAAAACTACTGAGAATTTCAAACAGGAACTTCACAGCACGACTAGAATTAAAAAAAAAAGGGGGGGATAGAGATTGTTAAACAGAAGATCCACTGAGGAATCAACAAGTGGTTATCTTAATAAAGCTACAGCACAAAAAGCTGTTTGAGACATTCCACACATTAGATCACTGCCAACTAGCAACAAATTATATTACTTTGTGATTACCTGTCATGTGTATAACCATGATCTGGCCTGCAACATTCCATCAATGTCTTTGCATCCCAAGTATCTGTTTTGCTACCACACAGAAGCTGATCCAGCTATAACAACATAGAATGCCAGAGTGGAACCGAGGGGGGGGGGAGGGAGAGAGAGAAGAGAGAACATCAATTTGTTGTTGAATTATCACATGACTAATACAATTCCCTGCACACAGGCTAAAAGTACTACCACCTAACCAAACTTCAGAGATGAAGCTTCATGCTAACTCTGATTCTCTAACTCAGAATCCAAATTTTTGAAGGCGTCCTTCCTCTCCACTCCTTTCATTTCTTCCAAAACTTAAAATCAACTTTGTTTCAAACACAGTAAGCCAAATCTCTTTGGATAATTACTGAATTTTTAATATAAAATATTCAGGACCAAACTATGATATATAGAATTAAGTATTTTGTGAGAGTTACAGTCCTTTTATGTACTTCTTTTCTACATACATTGAATATTTAAGTACAACAGGCTAGAAAAGTTAGAAATGATTTGAATTTCATGACTACCACAGTAAGTCTGGAAACAGTATACAGTCGTACCTTGGTTTTCGAACAGCTTAGTTCTTGAACATTTTGGCTCCTTAACACCACAAACCCAGAAGTAACTGTTCCGGTTTGTGAACTATTTTTGGAAGCTAAACGTCCAACGGGGCTTCAGCGGCTTCTGATTGGCTGCAGGAGCTTCCTGCAGCGAATCAGAAGCAGTGCTTTGGTTTCTGAACGTTTTGGAAGTTGAACAGACATCCGGAACAGATTCCATTCGCATTCAAAGATACGTCTGTATTTATGAGGGTGCTGAGAAAATTGTATTAAGAGACTCCTGGACCCTCCTACAGAACTCCAGCTCCTCGCATAAGGTAAAGGTAAAGGGACCCCTGACCATTAGGTCCAGTCGTGACCGACTCTGGGGTTGCGGCGCTCATCTCGCTTTATTGGCCGAGGGAGCCAACATGCACACCATCAAAAGCTGAGCAAGCAGGTCAGATGAACCAAGTTATTGCACCTGGCATAAGGGTACTAACCTCCTCAGGATAGAAGTACTGAAGGTGACTGAGGGGGAAGACCGATTCAAATCCATCTCTGAAGGAATCAAATTGTCTGGAAACGCCTTCATTTAGTGCCCAGAAGATAACCAGCTGCAAAAACACACACAGAGAAACACATAACTGTAAAATTACAGCAATTTTAAATAATGCATTATTATTAAGAAAGATGATGATCCGGGGAGAAGAAACTAAAGTACCTAAACTGTAGAAAAAGAAAGCAAGGTTGAGAACTGTCCTTCAAGTCAACAACACCCTTTATTTTCCAGTTACTGAAAATAGTAAAGTAAAAGGCCAGCAATGTTTTCAGGACTGGCTAGTCACCAAGAGAGCAAAGCTGGTCTCGTGAAGAACAACAACAACAATTCTAATTGTGGCTAAGTTGGTACATTCGTCTTACTGGGCGTAAAATTAAAATTAAGCCAGTACTAGAGAGTTAGGTAGACACTTCAACTATAGATGGCTCTCTCGAAAAATGTATTAACTCACTGTACTAACACACATATACACACAGTTACTAGTTAGGGAAAAACTGCTAATTATTTGGTCTGCATTTACACTGTTCAAATAGTCACATCTCTTGGGGAGCCCTGACCTGTTCAGAGCTATGGGACTTTGGTTACTAACTTCAACACAATGTGAATCAATACTTTAGGGTAATGCATATAGACCAGTCATTGTTGTTTGCAGTTAATACTCTAGTAAAAAAAAAGGGGGGGAGACTTCTGGACCCAGCAGACCCTTCCAACATTCTTGTTACTTACTCTGAGATATTCTTCTAAATTGTGGATGGTGACAGGTATATCTTTCCCTCCTTTTTTCAGCTCTATGTTTGGAAAGCCTGGGAGGGTGAAGTCCAACCCTAGATCTTCTACTGAGCAGCCATTCATGGTCAGTGTTTCCAACGCATACTGTAGACTTTCTTTGGTCTAAAGATAAAATGTGACAACTTAGAAATTTTAGGTCTAGCCTTCTATAGTGTAATATTCATAAAGTGGCTAACATTCATTTAACTCCACGATTGTGGAAGCCAGCAGAAGGGCTCCTGCTGGCACAACAGACCCTTCCTCCCCACTGCATTCCCCTGCATCTCCCTGAAATCTGCTGGGGAAGGGGTGTCAGAAGAACCCCTAGAACAGTGCATGGGGGAAGGATAGGGGGGAGAATTTCATCAAGTAAGAAAAAAGGTGTGTTCTGTTGGAAGGATTAGATAAGCACAACACTGAGTTATTTGCACTTTATTAAAAGTTGTTTACGGGGTATCAGCAGGCCCAAGTGCTTCAACACAATTATAAAGTAAAAATCCAAGAAAATAAGATGCCATTAACATTCAACTTAGCCTTAGCTATGCATATAGGTCACAAGATTACCAGGAAACTGACTAGCAGCATTCACAAAATGTAAGTATGGCCAAGTACAACAATAAAACATGCTGTACCCTCTTGCAAAGGCCATTTTAAACTTATCACAGTTCTCCAAGACATTAAAGCTTGGGAATTGTGGTTTGTTAAAACCATGTTTTTCAAGTGGAGTTTAAACTCTGCTTGTTCTCAACCAGTTCCTGTGGTCAGGTGTCAGAGGTAACTATGGCTGGATATCTGAAAGCACTCTTTTCATTACTTGAAAGCACTTCATTGCTTTTAAATATTCACACAAAAGAGAGGGGATGAGGCATGAATCCAAGATTTGTGCAGGCATGTTTATGTAAAACACTGATTGTATTGGATAAAAAGTTAAATGCTAAACCACAATTTGAATTTGATTTTATGAAAACAAGCTGAAGAGAGCCTCAGGTTTACATGCTCTCTGCTGCAGCCACAAGGAGAAGCTTGGAAATGTCATTCAAACCCTGAACACACTGTGGTTAATCTTAACAATGGTTAGCTGAAACAAGTCAACTTCAAATGATAGTTGAATCAAACCAGTTTCATAAGTTAACTGTAGTTTAGATTAACCAGGTTACAATTTTGAATATAGAAGTAAACTATGAAAACTATAGAAGTAAACTATGAGAACTAAACTATGAAAATACAGTACGGAAATCACTTCTTGCCAGTCTGTAATCCGTCTACCACTTAAGCCATGGCCAAGGCAGCCATCAAATGGACTACTATTTGCCACAGGTCTAGCTACCAAGTAAGAAAGACAGATGGATACATTTGGCATCTTCTGTTCTATAATTATACCTACCTGCGATTTATCCTGTTCAAGTCTTTTCTTTTGCCGCACAATTTCTTCAAGATGGTATACTGATCTGGCTACTACAGGATCAATGTTAAACAAGTCATGAGATGTTAGCGACGTCTCCTGTCGCAGCATCCATTTGTAAAAAGGAAGGCCAAGGGGAAGGTCCACCTAGAAGGAAAAAACAGTTTCCCTTTATCTGAAAACAAAACTTAAAGGGACGTGTAAACCTCTACATACCCGCACGCCACCAAGTAACAACTGAAAAAGGCTAAATTGCACTTTGCCTGCTATTAATCTAGTATATGCCATTTGTATAAATGCCATGGATGATGTTTAAGTATTAAGTTTCCAATTACTCTATTATTGCACTACTTAACATACTTAAGCTGAAGACTACTTTAATGCACAAGAGAGCCATTGCTGTATGTAGCTAATCATTTGGGGATCATTAATATGTATTAGCCATCTAAATTCAGAAGCTGCTACTTCCAACAGTATGTTTTTCACAACTAGAACCTTGAAGCCAGGCTTTTAGAATTGCAATTTCAGCTTGAAGGCTATACTGTATAGCAGAGGCTACTTTAAATTTAAAACCAGTTCCACTCTTACCAATCTAAAATCCATGATTGCTTTTGCCATCAGTTTTCCCAGAAAACGGAACTTCATTTTAACTTTAGCAATATGAGCAGGTTTAGCTGTTCTGCCAAAGGGAAGTGCAAACAGACCTTGAAGATTATGAATATATTTGGTCCCTTCTTGGCTTCCTGTTTAATGAAACACAAACAGTAGAATTATACACAAGTCAAAGTTATAAGTTGGCTCAAACTAATGGTCTAGTTTTAAAACACTAACTCAAGGAGATGAACTACATTTAGATATGCAGTCAGCTTACAACATAGGGTTACAACAGCAACTGCATTATCTTGCTCCAAAATAGAGCAAAAGGTTAGTAGTATGTCAAAGCAAGTATAATCCATTGATAATATCTACGTTTCTGTTAAAGGATGGTTTATGGAGCTCCTTTCAATACTTTAAAGCTACACGTAAAGGATACAATTTAATCTCCTGCAACAATGCAGTATAAGCTTTGAAAATTCCACCCTCTGAAAATATCAAGATGATCATTGTAGTTACCTTTAGGATTAGCAAGGGTAACTTCTTCACCCCTCCACAAGCCCAAGTCTGCTCTCTGTAGTTCCTGAGATACAAGTGCATAAAACTCCAGTGTGGGTCCAAGACCAGTGCCAACCTTTTGAGAAAAGAATAGTAATTTAGAGATGTATGTAAAAAGTCCAAACATGTTTTCTGCAACAAGAAATGCTAATTGCAGGAATGAAGGTAGAGGAGGAATTGTTGGCAGAAATGTGCAACAGAAGCGGCTTAATTATGTTAAACTCGGGGGGGTTTTAGACAAATTGTTTAATTCAGAACTTAAAACATTTGCATATTGATATTGCTGCAGGGGACTCTGAATGATGCTTTGAAAGATGGAGCAGGGATAGAAAATAGGTGTGTAATCACTGTACTGGAAAAAGCATCATTGTATCACAACTGGACACCTGATTTTGGTTTCAGAGTTGCATGCTACAACTATAGTATGAGAGTACCAAGACAGTGCTGGGATTTTGATTTGCTTCAAAAGAATGAAGGGCAAACTGCAAGCAATCCTTTCAGAAATATTTTGGCACCATATTCTATCTTATCAGAGGGCATCAGTCCTATTTGTAGACAGAAAACCTCATGCTTGTAACACTCTGAACAGAATCCTTTAAGGGTTTGGCGAGCCTTTCCACAGAAGCCATATAACTCTAAACCAAACAAATAAGCCACAACTTGTTCCTCCAAAGCTTGGTTTGCTTTTTAGCTGCTATGTAGCTTGACAAACATCTGAGGTGGCCTAATAAAATGTTGAGCTCACATGTTACACCAAACCATAATTAAAACAAGCTATGGTTCAACAACCCGGACAAAAATGTGACTCTAAGACCCCTGATTACCAAACCTGCACTGCAAGGGTTTGGACCAGATGACCTTCATGGTCTATTTCAGCCTTACAATTCTATGGCACCATCTTCAGGCCGAACTGCAGCAAAAACCAGGTTGAGGAAATGATCTGCAGCATGTGTCAGGCCCACAGTGTACTGAGACAGCCCCATAGTTGTCAAGGTGGCTACGCTGCTGTGAGCTTGCCATACTAACAGAAAGCAAAATATGATCTGTTAGCTGACTTCAGATGTTCAGAAAAACCACGGCAAGCTAGGCAAACCATGACTTAGACTGATGTGCCAACAGGATCACTCTAGACTACTGCTGAACTTCCTTGTAACTGGGAAATAAACAATTACCCGTGCATGCGGGGACAGGCAGCTATAGTCATTACTTACTTCATTCTCATACTGGATTTCCAACATTGCTCTTGAACTGCCCAGATCCTGCATCACCGATTCAGCTTGTTTCAACAGTTCCTCTCTGTTCACAGTGCGCTGTGTGTCAACGAAACGCAGGTATTATTTTTAGTCTTCACAAGCCAATTGTAGTATTGAAAGCAAAGATAACAGATAACAGCCTGAGTCAAAATGCCCTCTAAATTATATATTTAGAGGGCATTTTATGTAGTGTAGTACTTGCATTGGATACTGAAGTATTTTCCTAAAACTAGTAAAAATCCCTTTCTCATTGCATGAATTACAGGAAGCCTTGATTTTTAAGGTTGGTTTGCATTAAATTGTGTTCTTCCGTTGATGGAAGACTTTTTGATCCAGTGGAGAGAGGTGTGTAGGGTTTTCTTCTCTCATTTGTTTGTTTCTTTGTATTTATTTGTTGTTATATATTAATTTCATTTCTATACTACTTTATATTTTTAGGGGGGGGGAATCTCAAAGTAGTTTACAACCTACATTAAAACATCAAAGAAATCAATCCAGAATATCAAATATAAAGTATAAATTCAAACCAACATAATCAACAGGAAACTAAAATGTTATCTTAAAGATTTCAAAATAAAACATTATAAAAGGAGATCAAGTACAGGATGCACATTTAACAAAAAAGGTTATCTTAAACATTTCAAAGGGAAACATTATGGAAGGAAGCCCAATATACAATGCACATTTAAAGCTGCCAATTCTGCCAATAGTGGTTTGTGGTGAGTGGCGGCTGCAGAAGCTCAGGCCTAATGACCTGGGTCTGCACTAAGAGACAACCCAAATGCAGTCCTCTGACCACCACTGCCTCCCACATTGTTCCAAAGGATCCTAGAGCGTATTTGGGGAGGGGGCGCTACACAGGGAATGGGGAATCAGTAAAAAAATCCCACTCCCATCGTCATTGTCCTCACCTGACCAATTACACATTCATCCCACTCACAAACCACCAAACTTCCTAAAAGTAAAACAAACCAACAAGAGCCCAAGCAAGACATAAGCTCTCTTCAAGTAAGGCAGCAAAATGAACTATCACTCCAAGGGAAGGGTGAGTCAAAAGATTCCTTTGGAAAACTGACGTTTTCCTGCCTTCAAGCAACAGGACCGCTTGTTATTGTCCTAGTGCCCACTTGCCCAAGCCAAATGCACCCTCCATAACTATTCTGCTGTATTTGATACTGGATCTCCCTACACCTTGCATTTGCAATTGTATTTGAAGAAAAAAAAAATCATTATTGAAGCAAGAATTCATTTCAGGTTACAGATCAGAGGATTTAGGTGTTCTAGAATACATGAAAATTAGTAAGCGAGCATCATTTATAAACCATGACAACAATCATATTTACTGCCTCACAGTAGCTTTGAAAAGGCCTTAATGTGATCATTTGGAAGAACTGCAGACTTCCCCAACTTCTTCCTATAACTAATGTAATTCAGTTATAGAAAAGAAGCTTATTCTAAACCTCTGAGGGGTTCAATGAGGTCATTTCTTTCCTGCCACGCCCCCACCCCCAATAATAAAGTTACCTTCTTCCTGTCTAGTCGTGGTGCCACTCTGCTATCCTGAGAATCGGACTGGTTGATTTCTGGATTGGTGTCCAGCAGTCTCTGCATGGCTCGATCTCGGTCAAAGGCAGTTACATAAAATAGCATTTGCCGTGTGTCAAACGGAAAGAAAAAAGGACTGTAAAAAAAGAGATGAGTTTTACACTGCAACTTTATTATTTGGAAGTTAAGCAAGGCTGTATATGCCAACAGTTGACAATGTTTTATTTAAAACATTTTATTTATTTAAAAATATTTATCTATATATATAAATTCAAGGCAGCTTACAATACCAATTAAAACAATGCATTATTATTATTATTTTAAAAAAAAACCTTCAAAAAAGACTAGCTTGATAACAAATTAGTCTATGTTTCCATGCTGGATGCAGAGGAAGCCTCTTAAGAGAGAAAAAGAGACCTGCCACGTGGGCAGTACCTGGATCTTGTTAACATTCTTTACTTAGTCCTTGAAGTTTGTGAATATTATTTTTGGAACAAAGAAAAAGGCCTTAAAGTTGGTTTAAACTAAGCCTTCCTCAAGCTTGAATAAACCATTGCACAGGGAAACAGTATATGGCAACCTGACTCCACTTGAGAAATTTATCATGAAATATATATTCATGTTTAAAACTTGATGCCTCTTCTTCAAAGTCACCTATCCTGTTTAAATGGTTTTGTTGCAGGCCTGTAAACTTCTGAATTCCTCCTGACCTGCTCAATATGAAATTTCAAAGTTCTGCATCATCTCCCTCACTCCTTCATTCCTTTATAAAAATTCTAGTGTTGGGAAGAGTCTGCTCAAAATCTCCACAGTACAATAATGGTTTATAGTCAAATTCCATACCATGATTTCCCAAGCTCTGTCAGCCATGTTGGTATGTTTCCTGTCATTATCACCAAAGGATCTTGAAGCTGTCTGTTTGCCTTTGCTGTGAGTTTACTGTTGATAAATTCTGATGTTGGAATAATCTCTTTACAGCTTGCATTCTGCAATGTCAAAAAGAAAGTTGCTTCTATTTAGAAAAACTCATTCACTACCAAGACTGTTCAAGTTTACAAAACACAGGAACGCAGTGACTGTGCCTTTAGCCCAACATGGGCTCCCTGCAAAACACATCTTGCAAGTCAGAAACTAGCCAAATGAACACACGCTCCTTCACTTTCTCCTCAACTTTGGATTACATTTCCCCGCTATTCAGCATTAACCATGATGCACATGTAATCTGGTGTTGCCACATACCATGGTCAACCCCAACAATGGTTTCTGCTAAAGCCAGGCACTGAAACTGTGGTTTGAAGTGTGTTTGCACACTAGGGTTACAAGAGAGGCATAGCTTGCTTTGTACTATTGTGGAGGCAGGTGACATTAACAGGACTATTGCTGGCTGTGTGGTGGGTGGTAGTTTTAGCCTTGTGAGCCCTTTTCTGATGAAGCTGAACCTGGAGAATTGCAATCTGTTGGAGAAGCCAGAATGCTTGGCCAGCTTGCCTCACCTATGAAGAGCAGTAACTTTATTTATTTTATTTATATAAACAATTCATATACTGCTTACTACAAGAGTCTCTAAGTTGTTTACAAAGATACAATACAGTCAGAAGTTCCTTAAGCAGACAAATATAAGCAAAGATCAGAAAAAATTCAAACACAACAGCAACAAGTGTACTCACATCATACAGGTAATACCAATAACGACTGATAGCATGTAAAACCCTCAGAAGAATAACAACATCTAATGAAGGATCTTCAAAAGTTATATTTTCAGGTGGCGAAGATATAAGATAAACTTCCAAAGGATTTGAAACCAAAGGACATACCCCATCTGAAAAAGGGATAGATTCTATTAATCAGTGGAAAAAGGTTTTCATATATTTTTACTTTCTTTATGTAACAGTCAGCAACAGGATCTTAATTAAACTGTGCTTCAAATAAAACATTATGCAACCTTCCCTCTATGCTTACAGGTGATCCAAATGCTTACCATGCCACAATTCATCATGCTTCTTTGCATTTCTAGGGGATGTTTTCGTAGGAGCAGTTTGTGCCCTTCCTCTTTTACCACCAACACAGTCTTTATTACTATCATCATCTTCTCGCACTGGCTTGTACCTAAAAAGAAGCATTATGTTACTGACTACCTGACCAGATAATGAAATCTACAGGAACAGTAATTTCCTGTGCGAAAAGAGCATGCCAATCCAATACTATATACCTATAAAATTAGAATTATTAAAAGTCTATCTTTTAGTGCCAAACTGAGAACCAATCTACTCATTACACAAGAGATTCATAATTGCTCTCCCAATATTTCCCCACATGGAAGTGCAGCTATGGAGGTCTGTCAATTTATGTGGAGCAGCAGCAGAAGGGTTAACCATATCCCCTTCAAAACTGCTCCAAGCCCTATGGAAGTGGAGTATAAGTTCCTATATTCTCCACTGCTGCCATGGGTGACCAGCAGCGGGAGAGAACAATTTTCATCAGCAAGCTGGCAAAGCGGGGAATGGGCAGGGCAGCTACCAGGCCATAACAGGTACAATTAATAAAAAACAACAACCTGAAGATCAATCGCAGATCTCCTAAATATTGGGCTGCTACACACTTACCAGTAAATCACTGAGTGCTATGTGGACAAGCCTCAGAGCGCATGAGCAAAGCACTGGGCTCACACACTCCCCACTCCTCCTCCTACACAAGGATGGCAACTTCTGCAAATATTACCGTATTTTCGCCCTATAGGACGCACCGTCCCATAAGGCGCACCTAGTTTTCTGGGGGGGGAGGGAAATAAAGGGGAAAAAATTATCTCCCCCCCAGGTGTGGGGCTGGGCCGGGGGAAGCCCGAGCTTCCCCCGACCCCAGCCCCCGACAGGCAGCTCTCTGCAAGCCGTGGGAGCCCAGCGCCGGCTCCCGCTGCTTGCTGAGAAGTGCGCGAAGCCTGGACGCGCTGAGCTCAGCGCGCGCAGGCTTCAGCATGCAGGCAACTCTCCGCAAGCGGCGGGAGCCCAGCATCGGCTCCCACTGCTTGCGGAGAGCTGCGCGAAGTCTGGAGAGCGAGAGGGGTCGGTGCGCACCGACCCCTCTCGCTCTCCAGGCTTCAGCGAAAGCCTGCATTCGCCCCATAGGACGCACACACATTTCCCCTTCATTTTTGGAGGGGAAAAAGTGCGTCCTATAGGGCAAAAAATACGGTACTTTCCAATTCAAAATAATCCTGGTTTAGCATTACATACAAACCAGGAATCCTGGTTTAAAATAGTGGTTAATTAAAAATGGGTTATAATCTGGTTTATGTTGGCCTTCTTAGCAGCTAGTCTTTGTTTGAAACTAGGAATTCTGGTTTGTACCCAAAATATTCTTTTAAACTTGAAGTAAACTCAGAAGAAGGCCTCCTCCTCACTACAGAAACAGAGGAAGGGGAAGGGGAAGGGGAAGAAGAGCTTAGCGTTGCGGTTCAGGCTCATCTTCATAGTGCTAAACCATGGGTTAGCATTATATGCAAACCATTGCTAAGTATGTCTGGTTCACTCAATACTTTGGGCCTTGGGATTTTACCTCTCCTGCTCCCCTTAACCTATGGAGAAAAACAGGGAGATCCTATATTTACTTGAATACAAGCACTCTGCAACCAGATAACAGCACATGTAAAAAGAGAAAGAAAAATAGTGATAGCAATAATGGAACCTCTTTCGAATCTGCTGCTTGAACAGGATGTTCTGCTTTACTTCACAGTAAAGCAATCCAGATTAATTTGTGCTGTCCATAATCTTACTGTCCTAACAGATTCTTACTTCATATTAATATAATGAAGAGTGAAAATGATATTTTACACAATTATTCAATAAGTTTAACACATGAGGGCTACAAACAAATATGCATCTGTAACTCAGTGACAACAGTGACTGTTCCCCTTCTTCTGATTGACTTACCAAATGGTATGAGTCTTTGTCCATATGCCAGCTCTTCCTAAAGGGTTGCTTTCATCATCTGTTGATTCCCTTTCCTCTTCAGCTTGCAAACTGAACTGTCTAACTGCTTGATACACCGTCATGTTATATGGCAGGAGATGATCTCCAATGTAGAACTGAAGCCTGTGCCTCACATTCCCTGAATTTAAGAACTGAGCAGCCTATGTGAAGGAAAGGATAGAAGTTAAAAATCAACCTTCCAGCTGTGAGCAAAGGAGATCAAAACTGAACAAAGCCTTACCAGAGATTCATCTATTTCCTCATCTGATCCATCATCATCACTGTCTTCATCATCTTCTCTCACTCTGCCATAACCTAAAAACAGACAACAGCAGTGCAACTTGTAAAGTGTTTTACAGAGGCTGCAAGAAACACCTCTCATACTATTCTATTCCCAGACGCAAATAAGTCACTATCTAAGAAACATTAAAAATGGATCACAACAGTACAGCTTGCCAATACAGTGGTACCTCAGATTAAGTACTTAATTCGTTCCGGAGGTCCGTACTTAACCTGAAACTGTTCTTAACCTGAAGCACCACTTTAGCTAATGGGGCCTCCTGCTGCTGCTGCACCGCAGGAGCACGATTTCTGTTCTCATCCTGAAGCAAAGTACTTTTTTTTTTTTAATGATATTTATTAAGAATTTTAAAATTACAAGATAAACAAAAAGAAAGAAAGAGAAAAAACAAAAGAAAAACAAACCACAATCAAGCAATACAAATTGATAAAAATCAAAATCAAAAAGTAACAACAAAACACGTAACACAAGACAATCAAAAAGCAAAAATAAACCACAAAAATTTAAAAACAAATCCAATATTCCAAAATCCTTAACTGTCATTGCCTTATTTCATCGACCTCCTCACTCCTCCCTTTTTTGTATCCTAGTTGTTAATTATCACAGCAAATCCTTTCCATTTTTCATAATATTCTGTCATTAAATTACCTTAATCTATTTTAACCTTATCTTACTATAAAAGACCCTAAAACTTAAAACTTAGATCTTATTTATACCAGTTTCTCATAACCATAACATATTCTTACATAATTCTTTTAACATTTTTACTAAAGCCAAATGATTTCGTTCCAACATTTTTCTAACAGTCATCAATTTTATAAAACAATCCTAATAAATTTTTTTTAAAAAAAACTTTCTTCCAATCTTCATCCAGCGTCTCTTCCTCCTGGTCCCAGGTTTTGTCAGTCCTTTCTATCCCATCAATCTAGCTCATTAACCTGGTAATCTTATGTCCGAGGCCCTTAAGTCTCTTCCATGTCCCTTCCGCAGCTCTTCTTCATATTTATACCTGTACTTTACTTTGTCTCCTGCTCCTTTCACTCGTGGAAACTCCAACTTGACAGTGTTTTTGACCCTTCTCGACAAATCAGCCCCTTTTCCATAGTCCACACTAAACTCCATGTGGTATTTAAAAACATGTTTCAAAATCCCTCCAGAATTAAGAGCCCCCACAACCCCAAACATCTCACGGCCCATTGCCAGACTTGGAAAGTCAAAACATCCCTGCATAGGGGGGTCTATCCAACCCCCCATTTCCAAACCAAACAAAACTCTATCTCTCCAAGCCTGGCTTTTTCCAAGTTCATTTGTCAAATCCAACAACTCATGTTCCTGCTGGGCCACAGCTCCCTCCATCTCTGGCACCCAAGGTCCAGCAACATCCTCTTCCCTCATCTGATCTGTCAGAGCACACTCCTGATTTGATTCCTGGGTGGGTTCTATATAGTTACCCACTACCTGTCCAAAATTTCTGATCGCAACAGTCATCAAGTCCGTCTTCTCATGTAACTGTTCCAATAGGGCACTTGTTTTGCAGAAAGCACGCACCAGAGCTTCTGAATACATTGTTATACAAGGTCAGAAGTCTGTTCCCACGATCGTAATCTGTTGCAGCTGCAGAGCTCCCCGATTTAGATTTAGTAACAGTTTCATAGGCTCCTCTAGGGGAAGAACTTCTATTTGATCTTTTCTTTTAAAAGTAGATCTAGCAACAAAGTTTCCTTTTTCAGATATTTTGTCAATATTTGTTCCTTTAAAATGCGAAGGAGAACGATGGAATCACTATGTTTCTCTTCTTTTAACTGTCTGTCAAAGACGTTTGTCTATGGTCAATGAACTTCCCAAAGAACGTCAGTCCTGACACCCCGCTCCCAGGTCCGAGACGGTGGAAAATTACTTTTCTTTACACTCTCTTCTGCAGGTTTAACCAGTCCAGAAAAAATCCCCCCTCTTCTCCTGCTTCCGAAGGGGGTTCAACAATTTTAAATGATGAAAGTTAATCCTTTACAAACGATTTTCTGAACTCTAGTTTGCCATGTCTTTGCTTTAATCTATCTACAAGAAACAGAAGGCTGACTTCCTGTTTAGACCTTCCCGTTTCAGTGCCAAATTGAGAAGAATTTCTTAGTCCACTTTTCCTTTCTACTCGCAGGTCATTATTTAAAGTCCAATTGTTCGAAATTGAGCTACTCATGGGTAATTGTTTTAAAAGCCAAATTGTCCCAGGAAAAAGGCAGCGCTCTCCAGCAACGGCTATGCGGCTTCGCTCCACGGAATAAGCAGTTGACTCTCAGCACCGCGCCACTTCTCCCTCTTCGCTCCGGAGCCCGTAACTGGGTTCCTTTACGAGTTGGGGGGGGCGCGAAAGGTGCCCGGCGAGTCCCATGGTCACAGGCTTCATCCGCCTGTGATTTTTCAAAGGGTCCCCGCTTCGCCGTAGCGGGAAAGACCCGTTTTCCATGGAGCCAGTCCCTCCGGATCAGAGGGAGTCCGCCATTACCGATGGCGCCACCCCGGAAGTCAAACCTGAAGCAAAGTACTTAACCCAAGGTAATATTTCTGGGTTAGCGGAGTCTGTAACCTGAAGCGTGTGTAACCTGAGGTACCACTGTATGCAGCTTTAGTAGCATCCTATGTGCAGAACTGCAGAGTAACCAGACCTCTGCACTGAGGACATAAACTATGGAATTTGCTACCACAAGACACAATGGTCACCAACTCTGATAGTTTTATAAAGGGATTAGACGAATACATGGATAGACTGGCAATAGTTTAGTCATGATGGCAGCACACTACCTCTAGCATCAGAGGCAAAATTCCTATGGACACCAGTTGCAGGTGATCAATTGAGGAAGAGAACTATTGCTCTCATTCCTGTTTGTGGGATTCCCAAAAGACATCTTGCTGGTTGCTATGGAGTAGACTTGAGATGTGAACTAGATTAGACTGGGCTAGATTAGAGAAGTGAAGACCCTCCCTCTTTTATTCAAATAGAATTCGTTTTTTGAAAACACTTTCAAAGAACTTTGAGAAAAAATATACAGAAAGTTCCATTGCTGCTTGGTCTGCGAGTGACCTTTGGCTTAGTCTGGAGATACGAGAAGCAATCTACTGTCCTTTTGACCTAGCACCTCAAACAACAAAGATACCCTGCTTCAAAATTGACAATAATTATGATAGTTATGTAGCTCTATAAACTAGGGTAAAAGTCCACTTTTGAACAATCCACACCTATGTGCCATCTGTTTCTCCCTATTCTTGCCCCAGGGGAAATAACATAGATGTCTAGCATCTGTGGAAACATGTTTGAGCAGTCCATGGTGACGGACAGTGAAGCATTTTAGTATTAGCTCTCCAAAATACTATCTTATAAAGATCTCCCACTAGCAACAATAGTTTTTAGCTAGTGGTATGAAACTTTTAACATGTGGGATCTTGAAGTTTTCCCAGGTTTTTGGTGATACCTATTTGCTATTTACATACAAGCAAACACAGCAATTCTGGTGCAACAAGTGATAAAGTGAACCAGAGAGACCATTTGGGCTGGGCAGATTGCATTCTTGAATACACGGGGGGGGAGCGGGAGCATTTTAATTGGAGATTGACAGGCAGTCTCAATCAACCTGAAAATCTATACAATGATTATTGAACTATAATCAGGAAATAAAAAGGTTCAGATTTTACTGTCAATTTACAACATCATAAATTTGCAAGCTGTACAATGAGACCCTTTATGACACATACTGCAAGAACTGACACACAAGGCAACCACCATACTTTTACAGTGTATCATAAGGAAAAGAGGTACCTCTAACTACAAGGTATCTTTCAATGGCTTGTACCAACGCCAGGGGATCTATCTTCACAGGTCCACCTTTCCACTGTTTCACATTAGCACAGTCTGGATGTCTTTGCAACTGGCATTTTAACTGATGGGTGTTGAAAAATTTTAAAGCTTGCGATCCTCTGTTAAGAGAAAAACTCAAGATAATTTATGAAAAACGTTGCTACAGTTATTCTATTTTCACTTGTGGACATTTAATACATTACAGCAATAAAAATAGTTTCTGCCTTTGACTTTAAAATTAAATTATTAAAACTGCATGCATTTTAAATTGCCATCACCTATTGTCATAGACTGAAACCTAATCAAAACTATTACAGAAGATGTGCCTCAGGCCAGTTTAAGCTGAGCAAGGTGACAATCCTATGCACACTTACCTGGGATAAGCCCAACTGAACACAGTGAGACTTACTTCTGAGTAAACATGCAGAGGATTGCACTTCAGGTGTTGATAAGAAAACAGTAATCAGATATTGGACTGCTATTTCAGTGTATCTTGCTGCTTTAGACGTTCATGTATATCAATTTGTAAGAGATTTAGATTCGTTTTTGTTTGCTTGTTCAGGTTATAGAACAGTTCTAGCTCTGCAGTTATTATATTCACAAAATTTTATGTCACTATAGTGTGGAAACAGTCATTAAATATCTCCCAGTTCAACAAATCCAATGAAGAACAGAAAAAACAGGGTGATATCCAGCTAAGTCATACTCAGAACAGACCTACGGAAAGCAATTTACTTCTCCACTAATTTCAGTGGGTATTATACTAAAAATGGATATCATCCATAGGATCTAACATTTTAATGAAACAGATCCACAAACTTATTTAAAAATTAGCAGTTCTTGTAGTTATTGCTGTACATTTCTTACTTGCTAAAAACTTACTGATAAAAACAGAAATGCATACAATAGCAAATATTACAACCATACATGCACACACACACAGTGTTGGCTGTATTGCTTAGACTAAAAATACCTAATTCGTTTAAGACACGGACAGCAAAATTTATAAGGAACAAAAAGACACAGACTTGCTTGACTTACACATGGATTTGGAATACGGCTTCAACTATTATCTCATTCTAGAGTTTTGGTCAAATATCTGAAAGAGGTACTTCAATGTGTTTTCCTTAAATCCAATATGGAATTTCATAAATCAGCTAAGCAAAAGGACTCATTTGGAAAACCAACCAAGGAAAGTGCTCATCTTGAAACCAGAAAAAATCTTGAGTCTCTAACTACTTCTAAATCTGAACTACCTATTCACCAAGTATCCAATAGGAATACTGTTTCAATTATAGCTTTTGAATGGTGTGTAGAGAGCAATGAATTTAGCCCTAGTATTCTGCTAAAATTGATTAATATAGTTTTGGTCTTACTAGTTGTATGCCATGTCCCCACTACCACTATTCAACAAAGATGTAAGTCATACTCTCCCCTTCTAGTTCCAAACAACATTTGGAAGCTGGAATTTTATATTAAAATGTTAAGTAAGAACAACCTTTATGGAAGTTCATTAAAGATGCTTATGCTAATGATGTTGAAGCTGTAAATATGGTTTTTAGGAGTTTGAAAATACCTACTCATTATTGTGAATTTAGCACTATCATAAGAAGCAAAGCACTGTTTTTTCTACAGGTTTTTGAACTGCTATGACCATAAATGGTAAAATGGACAGCAAACACAACACAATGGGCCACTTAGCCATGCAGAATTCATGATTCCAGGAACATTCTGGAAATGCGACACGTTTACCTGAGAATTAATCCTTACCTGCTCCCTGTTCCATTTCCGCTTGGAAAGTCATGGACTTTAACTGGAAATTGCTCCATCTGACTAAGACAGTTGTTCATTTTGTGGACCAAAGCCAACAAAGGTGCATTTTCTAATGGCTCTAATCTTCCAAGGGGGTCTTCTCCAGGAAGCTGAAATTAAAGTTTTGCTTAATTATTTAATTTTTGAAATAGTTTTTGCCAAGTGGTCACTGAGTAACTCTATGACCAAATACTGACAAAGCAGGCAGGCTACAGGCAAATGCGAGCTTATATTCCACATGCTATGGGCAACCCAAACCCAATGATTATATTTCACCAGGAACATAGGCAAGCATTTGACTTCCACAAAACAAAATGCGCCTGTTTATCCAAAACTACAGTTTAACCCAACTAAGAAAAAAAAAAGTACATAAAAACACAATTTTTGTGTGTGAGATAAAATGTTATCTTCAAAGCATGTTTTAGTCATTTGCCTATCAAGTTCTCTCTGGGGAAAGAGGAAAGCCATATATGGCTACCAGTCAGTTATGTCTTTTAATACCACCTCCCCTAGATTCTTGAAAGAGTAAAAAATGAACAGAAGAATGAAGCGACCCCTTTAATACTGGAGCTGTAAGTACTTACTGGAGAAGAGAAAAACACATGAAGGAACCTTTTCAATCTCACATCCCTGCTTACAGCATCTTTTTCACTCTTAGACGTCAAGTAAAGCAGCAGCTGTTTCATAAACCCACTATGCTGGATCTCAAATGAAGATACATCAGACTCAGAGACTATACTACGGATTTCTACAAGGCACTCAACTCCACCATCCACCTGAAATAAACAGTCTCTGTATGAGAATGAGGCTTAGTAGTCCAGGAACTATTCCACAAATGGAACAAGAACCAGCATATTTAAAAATAAAAACTCAAATCCAGAGGAATACATATCTCAGATTTTTTTTACACATACTCTGCACTGCCTTACTTACTTTACACAACTTAAATGAGCATGTGCAGAAAAGTTCATGCCAATACACCACTAGAAGGCAGCACATATGTAGCGGCCTTATGAAAACGTAACTATTCAGCACATTACACTGAAACTAGGTGCCTAAGTAATGTCATCCAGGATGTTTTCCCCTCGCTTGAATGGAAAGCCTATTCAGAAATATTTTCTACAAGTTGGTTCAATGTTTACTGAGCTAAGAATAAATGTGCCCACATGTTCCCCTGCCCCTTCGTGTGCCAGCTTCAGCATCTCTCTCATGGTTTATGTCACGATTTCCCCAAAACATCTAAATCACGAAACTGTGGCTTGATATCTGCTTACCAAACAGGATATGATCATCACTAAATGAGCGCCAAAGAACTTTTAAAACTAGCTGATGTTTGAAAATACTAGTTGTATGCCAACACCACCATGCAGGAACACTGACTATGTAGCTGTGTGAGAAAATTATGTAAGGAGGGCCTTTTAAAACAGTGAAATGCTGACTCTGCACATAACGGTAAGCCAGGAATCCCAAATAACTTGAACTATGATATGATCAAGCAGTGAGCTACTGCATGAAACCCACTCCGCTTCTCTTCACATAAGCAGGCAGAACAAAAATCAGGTTGTGATAGCTTAGCATAATGTCTAAATGCAGGATTCTGGTCTGTTGCTCCTAAAGTTGTTGGACAACAAATCATGGCTTGTTTGGAAGTCAAACCAACCAGCTAGAATTCCGCATTTGGACATCACGCTGAACTATTCCTTCTTCATTTGTTGTACCTGCTATACCTGAAGAGAGCGCAAGCTGCGTGCACTAGCACACTGCTTGACCGTATTGTACAACTTGCTGGCTGCGCGTTCATCACCTTTTAAAATTCCAGCAATCTTTTAAGATTTAGGACATCATCCATCCTAAAAGCAGAGCTGGGCACACTTTTAAGAGTCCCCTGTTCACTGACCATCTACACAAGCACATGGCGGCATACTAGATCACCGCCAGGAATTTACCACGGGGTAGCTAAAGTGGTGTCCTTCAGATGTTGCCCAACTCCCATCAGCCCCAGACAGCGTGGCTATACAGGATAATGGGAGTTGCAATCCACCATATTAGATGTCCAAATCTATTATACCCTCTCCCCTCCCCACCAAGTTACATAAACATCTATTGAATCCTCTGTGTAAAACTGCATCCATCACCCACTCTAAGGATTGTGTCCCAATATTCATATAGTTACAATGCTCAGGGAGCACTATTTGAAGATTACTGGCTTACTTCAGTTATGAAATTGTTTTTGTAACAAAAATGTAGTGGTTCTTATTGTATCATAAGGCACTGGACATACATAAATTGGCAGTGACAACATACCAATATACCCTCCAACACAGAAGAACTGCAAAATGGAAAAGTTAGTGACACCAATGGCTTTTAAACAGACAACTTCTGAAGCTTAGAAGCTGGATGCAATAAGCACCGATGACCTCGCTATTTTAATAAATAAAGGCAGAAAAGGCTTGGGACTTATCCATGTGTACATTCTAAGTAGTATTAAACTATCTGTTCTTCCTGTGAAAAGTTTGTCCTCTCATTCCAATATAGATTAAAAAGATATTCTAACCTGAAGGTTGAGTTGTTCAGTTGCAGTGCAAAGTCTCTGTAACACATTTAGTGCAGGGTTGCTTCCATCCATGTTCTCAGAGCTAAAATAACGCTCCACAAATTTGTGGGCTTGCTCTTTAATCCAACCCTTAATTTTCTCTCTACAAGAAATGTACAGTTTAATATATTGAACACTTAACAATGGCATACTAAGCACAACTGCCCTGCACAATTTGAGTACATTTTCATGGTGCAAAGAAGTCTCGGAGGTAGGAAAAGCTGCAAGGCCAAGAATTTTCTTCCCACCAAAAAGAACTCCCATTGCACTTTAGTCCAGGTTTGTTAAATATAGACAGTTACTTTATCCAGATCGCTCATGAGTATAACTTCATTGTCCCTGCAAACTCATCTCCCTCTACTCTGCTTGTCCTATGATTTTAAGAATTTATCCTCTGCCTTCCATACATATACTTTTACTCCCCATTCTGTAAACTTCATTTTGGCACATTCTGTCCCAGCTTGAAGTTCTTCATCATCCTCTCCTACCAAAATTTCTATTAAAACCAAGACTAAGCTGCCACAGACAACACAGGTAATCTATAGTAAACTTTTTTTGCATGTCATAGTAAACTATAGTTAACAGTTTACTGTGAACATGCTGATCTGGATCACCTTGGTCCTCCCCACCAGCAAGCTGGAGAAACAGGTCATGGTGCCTGGGCTTACTGTGGGTGTTTGATCTGTTGCCAAGAACAAACCTTGGTTACAAGATTGCAGTTTGATTAAAAACAAACATTGGTTTGAACACAATGCTAAGCCAGGAATCATGGCCTGTTCTGCAGGAGAATGTGACCAAGATCAATGTTCATAGTAAACCATTAACTCTGGTTTACCATGGCATGTGAACTGGGCCACTATAGGCTTCACTGAATGGAGTTTTGTGTAGTGAAGTATGATTATACCTGTTGTTGGATATTGTGTCCTTTGAGGCAGCTCTTGCCAGACCACTCACACCTGCTGTACGTGCTGGTTCAATGTTGTTGCTATTGGACTGTGTGCTTAATCTTCCCCAGGTTTTAGGATTCAAACTTGCCAAGAAGGAAGATTTAGGAGATTGAGTAGCTGTAGGGCTTTTAGCTTTTGGAAAAAGAGAATGGGAGAGAAAGTTTCAAGTTTAAGCTTTAAAAAGTCTTAAGCTTTACCAATTGGCATTAAAAGTTACCAATATTCAGAGTTCTGCTCCCTTTTAATGCATGTCATGTTTTCCTCCTAAGCAAAGCTATGAGATAAGCAATTACAGCTCCCAATTGTGGAATAAAATATTATCAGGTGCATCTTCAAAGTGATTTAAAGACACTTAAATGTTTACAGTTCAAATGTGTACACAAACATACATCAATTCTAAAGCTGCTATGTGCATCTATTTTATCATGTGTCCACACACTACTAAAAGCTCACCAGCACTGTGTACGATGGATTCATCTCATTTTAAAAAAGCTTAATACTCTACACCTTTCTTTTTACAGAAAGAATGGTCACAGCAGAAGCAGAAAAAGAACATTACACACAAAGACACAGCCAAAGGAAGCAAGTAAAATCAAGTAAACTGAACTTCAGTGACAGCCAGGAGGTATCATCACCTACCTATAAAGGGGGGGGGGTTGCTAGGGGGTGGGAATCAGCAGCAGCCTGCACTTTAAGCTTTGTATGGAGCAGATAGTTTCTTCTGCATTTAATGAAAACTTTGATTTCCAGAAACAACAAAAATTTACTTCCATTTGCATAATCTAATAATCTAATCAAAGCCACTTCACACATTTGTGCCAAAACAATAAGTTTCCGGTCAAAAATATATCAGTTCATTCAGTTGCTCAAAATGCAACGTCACTGCTTTGATTTGGAAATATTTATTTTACAGGTCTGCCAACATCTAGGCATTTAGGGCATATTCAGAACTAGAAAACTTTCTTTTCTGAGGACTGTACAGCACTGCTTCTTAAGTAGCCACCATATTTGATTTACTATACCAGTTATGCAATTTCAACAGAAGCTTACCTTGATTGTCTACTTTGTCATCATCTCTGGGAGGTGAATACTTTGGCCGCCGGGGCCCACGTTTTGGCAATCTTTTTCTCTTCAGAACATCACTTAATCGGCTGTCAAATGTTTAAAAATGCACATGTCATACATACACCAGGCCTGATACATTACATTTGAACCAAACTGTAATATATTTGAACCAACCTGGATTTTAAATTATAATAATCTCAACTAATAAACTGGTATGTTAGCATTTTTCTTCCAATTTAGCAGACAGCTCAAATTATTTTAATATGTCTGTCAAAGAAAGCATTCTAATGTGGGACCTCCACCTATTTCTCAGCAATGCCATTAGTAGCGTTTTGTTCACAGACCAAGTCAAACACACTCACCCCTGTGGACTCAGGTCCAGAGAGTCTTCCCTGCTGTGCTGTAAGCTTGGAGAGCCTAAGTCTGCGGCTGCATTGCTAGCAGCAGTGGCTGTTCCAGTGCTTATTGTTGTAGTAGCACCCAGCGTTCCTGAGCCATTAGTGCATGCTTTGGGGGGACTTGTCAGCAAAGCCTCCGATTCTGCAAGATTTTTCACCTGGTGCATTACACCTTTTTAAAAAAGAAAGATAACCTTCAGTGACAAAGACATATATTTCAATGCGGTTTGCTTGTTCAAAACACATGACCAGGGGTGCCAACTTGAATGAAATTGGGGGGGGGGTAAGCCCCGCCTTGCATAATCTATCACAAGACCTTGCACACGCACACCATTTGAAAAGCAACACTCATTAACTTTTTTGGGGGGGGCCTCCCACTCCAATATTTTATTGGGGAGGGGCAAAGGGTCCTTGGCCCCTAGGAGTTGGCTCCTAGACACATTTTTAACAATACAAGGCACATGAAGAGCTACACATGAATCTAACTTCTGCCATTACCTTCTCTTCTGAAGTAAACACTGAAAATATCAGGTAACTTTTGCATTAAGATTTCTGCCATTTGAAGGGCTCCAACTACTATCTTAAGGTCTTGACTTGACAGCATAGAGGCTATATGACTGCAAGAGAAAATGAAGACAAACAAAATTCAGCAAGATGAAAGCAGCTTCATTTACATTTTGCATTCACAAATGAGGACATTTTCAGTACTGGGCAGGTTGCTGAAAGTGGGAAGGAATGTTATATTCCTGGTACCGTGAGATCAATTTCACGCACTGCACGGCAACATGCCTGACTTGTTGCTTTCACACAGACAACCACGATGTGCAACCAATCCTGGGGTTTAAGTTTTCTGTTTACGAATAGCTTTTTAAAATTATTTTGTCTGGTATCTACTTTTTCTCCTTGGTCAACAAGCAAATCAGCCAATAGCTCATTTGAAGACCAATTGCCATATAATGAGCATTTTGGGATTTTGTCACCGTAAAAAAAAAGAAAAAAAAAAGGCGCACACATCCATTGCATATACGCAATTTAGAAAGCAGTTATAGTTAATGAACAATGGATATTCATTAATTAAAAACGCTGTGCCTTTCATTTCTTAGAGAACACAATGGCAATCACAGCTAAACACAGAAGCCTCAAGTGGTAACCAGATATCTTAAGAGACAGTTTGCATTTTGAGACTCTTGTTTTAGTCAAATGAACTGCTAGGTTAAGAATCTGACTCATCACAATATCATTCAGAATAGGTTTTGCATCAAAGTGTACATAACAATTACCTTGATACTGCATGATTTTTCAGCACATCCTTCAGAAGTTCAGCATCAGCAAAATAAATTATCCTAAGAATTGCTCTAAGGCACTTGTGTCTTACTGCAGGTCCAGCTGAAGAACTGTACACTTCATAGAGAACACCAAATAAGGTTTTAATGAAAGATTTAGCCAGTTCTGGGTCTTCTTTCATTAACTGTGCTCGAGCATCATCCTTCTTTGATTCTGGATGTCCACCTACAGGAAAATAACTTGACCATTAAATATCAAGGAATGGTACGTTGTTTAATTTTATCCAGCCTAAACCCCTCAAGGTAACATACTAGCATAAAATTTACAAAAAAAAAAATGTACCAGGAGGTATTATTTATTTATTTCATAAAATTTATACACTGCACTTAGTTGTAAAGAAATCTCAAAGTGGTTTACAAAAAGATGAAACAATACAACCAAGGGAAAAAAAATCACTACCATGTTTAAAAACAGCTGGGTAGGCTTGTCTAAACAAGGAAGTTTTTAGCAGGCACTGAAAAGAGTACAGTGAAGGAGCCTGCTTTGATCTCAATAGGCAAGGAGTTCTGAAGTGCACATGCTACCACACCAAATGATCAAGTTCTTACAAATGCAGAACAGATATTATTTGGCACCTGTAGTAGTGCCAATTCCACAGACTGAAATGGTTGAGTGGGCACAGTAGGGCAAGGCCTTCTCGTAAGTAAACCAGTCCCAAGTTGTTAAGGGCTTTATTATGATAACAGTAACAGCTTGAACTTGATCCAGCAAGCAAATTGACAGCTAGTACAGATCTCTGAGCAGAGGTGCTATATGTTGACAAGGACTCACTCCTGTCAGCAGTCATGCTGCAGCATTCTGCGCTAACTGCAGCTTCTGGATCAAGCCCAAGGGAAAACCCACAAAGAGTGCATTTCGTCAATCCAGTCTTGTAGAAACCAATGCATGAACACCAACCCACTGTGGGCTCCATTTTATTAGCATTCAAATTTAAGTTTATTGACCTTTATCCAGCACCAGTCCAGCACTGGCATAGCCTCTCCTGATTCAGATGCTATGGGGAGAGAAAGCTAGGTGTCCTCCTCAAAATCCCCTGGTGACAGTTCCCTGCAGCTTCATATAGCAGGAGGGACAGTATAGATCCCACAGGGTGCAACAAAAATTGCCCATTGCTACTGTCTGGTAGCAGGTTTGCGGGAAGAAGTGGAACCACTGCAAAACAGTACCTCCCACCAACAACCCACAAAGTCACTTCAAAGGAATACCATTATTGATGGTATTGAAAGGTGCAGAGAAATCAACGAGAATCTGAATTTAAATTCATTTACCTAATTTTCACACTCTAAAAGGGGCAGAGTGGAAATTCTCATCTTTACATATTAGAAAGCATGTGGCCCTAAATAGGATCTCGTTCCTTATGATAGGTATCTGAACGACACCAAACTTTATATAGGAGACATGCCTTAATTACAAAAGCAAAATGTGGGAACTATTTTTAAAATAGTACTTACTAGTGTTGGTATTGGCTAGAGGGTTAGGTTTTCTCTGAATGGCACGTGCTGTTCCAGTATCCTCATTGATCTGCTGCATAGAATTAAAGTCAATTGTATAAACACGCCCCAGCGTAGACAGACTTATTTCATCTTCACCAACCTGATGAGCTGCCTGAAGACAAATATGTAAGTTTAAACTCTGTATGAGTTTTGAGTTTACATAAATGAAGATACCGTGTTCCCCGCTGCTGAGGGATAAAATGGGCACAAAATGAAAGCGTTGGTAACAGCCTCATATATGGGCCATGCCACAAATAAGGTTTTAAAAATTGTTTTTTGCCTGCTTTATGGTTTAATTGTCCTGATTTCATACTGCAAGCTACCCTAAGCACTTGCTTAAATTTATTTTTTGTGGACTACAAGTTTAAAATTAACATTCCAAAGTTTTCACCCTGTACTATACAGTATCAGCAAGGAAACTATTTTAATGGATATATTCAGCTGTCAGACAAAAATATCCACCATTTCATGAAAATGACTATACATAAGCTTCAAAATTAACCTAGCCTGAGGAGATGATTTCCATTTCATAGCTAAAATTTGATTAATAATTGTTAACCAATGTATACATTTACAAGAGTGAACAGTAAGCAATGTCTTTTCTTATACAGGGGTGTGTGGGTTACTACCTCAATTATCCGGCTATCAATTCTGTTATAGGGATGCCAAAGACCTCTGTCATCTCGCCATTGCCATATTGCACCATCTGTGTTCTGTGCGTTTCCTTTCTTTAGCATGGTGTCAACAGCAAAAATTCCTTCTTTCGGTAAGCAAGGCATCAATTCACTGGAAAGAGCAAAAACAAACAAAATTAACAGCAGATTTTTGTGTAATGCTAGACTTCATGCCAGTGTATTATGAAATGGGATCTCATTCCTGAAAGAAAAACTCACCCCCCCCAAAAAAGAGCCTTACCAGATAAGTGATGTAAGCTCGTACAGTTCTTGAGGGCTTCTTGGAACAAGGTCAATTTGTTCCTGACAACTTCCATTGGAGGCTCCACAAAGAAGAAAGTGAAGAGTTTCTGCAATATCTTTAAGCATAAACAATCAATCACAATGTTACTCTGCCATGTCTGTAGTAAGCATTAAAGAATGCTCTCAGAATGGAGCAATCCCAAGAAGAATGCACTTAGTGTGTATTTCTACTGCAAGAATTAAGTGTACACAGTAACAGTAACTGAAAGCAACCCAAAACCATACTGCACACATGATCCTCTCTAAAGCATAAGCCTTCAAGTGTGTGTGCCTGGGGAGGTATATTTCACCCTGGGGGAAAAATGGAAAAATCTTCTGACTCTTTATACTATAGGTTGATGCTGGCAACTTTACACAAAATAAAACTGATATTGGGTCCTTAGCAACGACTTTGGGGGTCACCAGGAGGCCAGGGTCCCTAGTGAACATTACAGGCATTTGTTAGGGTGAGGGAAAGAGAAACCAGTGCATTAATTAGCACAAAGGAATTGATTGGCTGTAATTGGAGCCTACAGCTCATTCCCTCTCCCCACCCCACTGTTAACTAGGATTGCAAATAGTATAGAAAATATAGTTCTGTACAGTGTGAAATCTGTCAGATCTACTGTCAAGACAGAGTTGCATCTAAATCAGTATGAGATGGGGAGGGGAGGCGAGCGCACCTGCCCATCTTTGGGCAGGAGAGTTACTGCTGCTTACCATGAGGGAGGTTGGCATTGTGCCAATGCACCAACAGAAGCAGCTCTACCAGTGTGTTCACACAGCAGCAACCTCCCTCCTGCTTTGCCCCTCCCATTCTCCACCCACGCAAGCAACCACAACTCTGCTACTAGGCAGTCGTAAGTGCCACCTCCTGACCACGCCATCTGCTGCTGATCTGTGCCAGAGCTCCACATTTCTCTAAGCATGCTTCTTTGTCTCCATGTGCTTGTTTTGCCCTTTTCATATGGTGAACACACACACACACACACACACACACACACACACACACTTCTAAGTGATGCATCTCAGTTTACTGTGTCAAGAGTACACCAAGGATAGTCACAAGAACCAGATTTGGAAAGCAATGTGTAATTTTTGCTAAATGACAAGATAGAGACATTTTTCTCATTAGAAACAACATGTGAACCAAAATTCTGAAATTCTGGTTCAGCTATCTTGTTTAAGCCTTCAACTACAAATGTATGTTGTCACGTTGCAGACTTGAAAACATGTTTTGTTACTAAAAAGTTAGAGCTGAAATGAAAATCTGAGAAATATTTGCTGTACAAGCAGAACAGAAGCTGCTCATTGCAGGATCCCACTATCACTATTTATCTATTTTTTTAAGATCCAGTAGCTTGCTATCTTTTGAGTTTTGTAGAATTACTAGAAATTACCCAGTGGCAGTTGCTATTCAAGGGAAAAGCTTTACTCAATTTTGTGTTCTCAATTCATCTCACTCAGCTTTCATGCCTAGATTTTGCAATGAAACAGCTTTGGTTGCCCTGTGGAATGACATTTTCTTGGAGAAAAATGGAGAGTGCGCTATATGTTAATGAAGCTGCTGCAGCAGGCATTTAACTATTTGCTATCATTTCACTTGCCAGTCCTACAGACACTATAACATCTAGTAAACAGAATACTAAGAGCCTACACATGCACTTACTTTGCTTCATAAGTTGAACTGCTAGTGTAGGACAGTTGGAGCACATAAGGGAAAACATGCGCACCACCATGATGAACATCCCTGAGCTCAGAATTGGAGGAGTCACTACTAGGAGCTGCTGAATATTTGTGAGCAAATCCTTAGAGGCAACTTGCTGGAGGAGATTCTTCAAAGGAAAGAAAGAGGGTTTTAAGTATCATTTGGTCAAAACCTTTTTTCAACATTATGCTTAAGACAGAAAATAGATGCTACCTCCTCATGTTGGAAGTTGTCCACTAGACGTGCAAAACAGAGGCAAGTGCTTTCTACTGACTTTTTGTCCTAAGAAATTGAAAACAAGTATTACATTTCAATACACAAGATTTGGCATGCAGGTACATCAAGAATTGCAATCCTGGAATTGTCCTATTACAGTGTTCGGCAGAGTTAACTGAGAAAGCATAAAAAAGGACCTAGTCAAGCTAATACACAACCAAGAATCACAACCCAAGAACTGGGACAAACTTCTTAATATCAATATATTTCCATAGCCAAAATTATCTCCTTTAGGGGGCTGTACTACCATTAAGGTCCGGTGAAATTTCTCCACAGCACATGTAGATCAATCTAAGATTCACATATCAGAACAATTAGAAGATAGCTGACCCAGACAGTTTCTGACCTGGTGGGTTAGTCTTTGTGTAAGCAATGGCAGAGAATCTGCAACAAAGTGAAACTCATCAGGAGTGATGCTCTGGCAGCAGTTGGCAGCAATAGCTAGTGCATTCCTCTGGGCATTTATGCTGAAAAATTCCAGATACAGCAGACAGTCTGCTAAGCCTCCCTATAATACAAAACACACAAAACCAGTTCAAGCAAAGAGAGGACTTTAGATCATCAGGAGAGATACAGAAGTTTCTTGGAGCAAGTGCTCTTTAAAACTCTGGTAACAATCAAGATTAAAAATAGCACCTTTTTTTTTAATCAGAAGAAATACTTACTGCCTGCAGAATAGCTTTACTATGTCTGCGTGATAACATCTCCAAGGCAGTGAGTGCCTGCTCTGCCACATCAATACACTGAATAACTTGCAGCTAGAACAAATAAAAGCAATTTATTTAGTTTTTAAAATGATATGAAACAAGATTAGAAATTGATCTATGCTGTCAATCATTTCCCAATGCTCAAATTTTGAACCATACTTTAATAGTTTCCATTACCTTTAAACATGCACACTTTATAATAAAACTTTATATTCACTCAAAAGCTTAAGCATTATGTAACAGTAATTAAATTGCTCTTGTTATGTACCCTATACTATAGATATATATTTATTTTATACAACATTGGTGTGCTTCATTCTGATTCCTTACTTAATCACATGGAAAGAAAATGGGATTGTCCAGTATTTGTGTACAGTATTATACAAACCATTTCCAAATTGTAACATTTTACCCCATACTACTACTACCTATCATTATTTAATTTTTTATATTATTATTATATCTGATTTAACTCAACCACAGCACTGAAATTTACAGTGTTCTTGAATCCTCCAGAACAGACTGAACAGAAAATTCAGGATTACTGGAACTGGCAGAGTCTTTAAGTTTACACTTTGCCAAATACATTTGACTACTCAAATGAATGTTCTGTAAACTCAGCCATAACTTCTGGCTTTGATGTATTCAGCTTACAGGGCTGTGGGTAGGACAGAAGCAAACACTTTATCCAGGCCCGTTAGTCCAGGCTTGCAAGCCTGTTACCAAGAAGAAACCTATGTTCTCTATACAGTGTCCAGATATTGCTAGAGCCAACCAGAAACATGAACAGAAGCAACGTCCTAAACAGTGAGGTGCTTCTGGCCCAAGGCCCCGTAGAAGAGTGTGTGTGTGTGTGAGAGAGAGAGAGAGTGAGAGAGAGAGAGAGAGAGAGAGAGGACTTTGTTTTAAGTGACAATGTACCACGCTACATTACATGCTCTGTCAAGAACTACAAATCCCAGTTCTTTTAGTTTCTACTGGCAAATTTTATGCAAAGGCAAGAGCTGCCAGCAGGGTGTGGCAGCCAACCAGCAACAGGGGCAAGGGAGAGAACAAGTCCCATAATCATGGACTTTTGAGACCCCAGGGACAGGAGACACCAGTGCTGCCAATAGGATTTACTGGCCCCAGAACATGCATAAACAATACAAAGCTAGGCCTCTCATCTCTAGAATGGTATTAGAACTGGCACTAGATTCCAGGAACAATATCTGAAGGTCATACATCACTCACGTATAACATATATACATACCTGCTATCATATTTGTTCATAAATACAATCAGACGGCTAGAAATGTTAGGGAACTAAAAGCAGCTAAAAGAAACAAGTAAATCCTCTCTTTTTTTCAGGTGTTGGAGTCCATCTTAAAACTTTATACCAGGTTGAGAAAAATTACTCTTTGTACTGCTTCATAAGACATTATGTTACAACAAATGTTAAGTTCATAAAGTTAGTTAACAGTATTACCTTTTCCAAAAAAACAGGAATTGCATCTACTACAACAGCAGATGATCTGGGAAGTGCTTCCATCATATAGGTTAAGGCTCGACAAGCATGATTCATCTATTAAAAGATATAAGAACATAAGAGCCCTGCTAGAGCAGTTCAAAGCCTATCTAGTCTAGAATTTTGTTTCCCACCATGACCAACCAGATGCGTGTAAGAAGCCTACAAAAGTAGAGCATAAAAAGTAATAGGTCTTCCCTAGGAAGTGGTTATCACGAGACATTCTGCCTCTTGTACTGGACCTAGCATATAGCCACCATGACCAGCAGCCATTGATCTAACAATGCTATCTAGAATGTGCAAACTAGCAAAGCCTGCTTTGAGATTTACCTGAAGCTGCATTTAACAAAGTGTGCATGAAATACTTACAATGTCAAAATTGTGCTCCATCTGCAGCAATGTTATCTGCAAACAATACGAAAGGATGAGTCAGCTTGCAAGAACAATTTCTCTAAATTCTAGTAATTTATAAGTGTGCTGAATCTACAATTCCCATCATTCCTAGCTAACAGGACCAGTGGGCAGGGATGCTTGGAAATGTAGTCCCAAACATCTGGAGGGCTGGAGTTTGCCTATGCCTGCCTTATGAGATAGGTTAGGCTGAGAGAGACTTGCTCAAGACCACCCACACAGCTTCATGCCTGAGCAAAAATTTGAACCCATGTCTATCCAGTTCAAATACAAACCCCTACCCCCTACACTGGATCTCAGAATGGCTAGACAAGATGCACATTTATTCCCTAGTTGTCTGAAACACAATCAGTAATTTGCTGTTTCTTTAAAAATGTCACTTTTTGCCAAGGCCATTGGTGAAACATACTGCTCTAAAACATTTAGAGAGAATGCAGTTATTGAAGCATTTACTTCTTCATGAAAACACAGTGGATAATACATTACATGTTCAAATGAATGAGTGAAGACTGGTCCTTACCAGAGCTGGCACAACACTCTTGACTGGAAATCCTCCCAAAGTTTCTTCATTCCCCATGACCAACAACTGACACATTTCAATCACAGACTGTAATTGCTGGCTTTCATCAGTAGCCTGGAGCCCCTGTAGAAGTTGCTGAGCTTTAGAACCTAGAAAAATTGGGGATTTTGAAAGCTTAAATCTTCCACTTCCACAATATATTATCATAGTTCATTAGGAGAGACAGGGCATTTTCATTAGCTGCCTATCATAAATATGAAAGCAGGAAGTCAGTAATGCTGCATTTATATGCATCTTTGTTGATATTTAAATGTTATTAGATTAAAGCTACCAAATAAACCAACAGTATGTGCTTTAAGCTACCGAAATGCACTATAATATTCAAGAGATAGTGCAAACTGAATCCATCCTGATAAGATAGGAACAGAAATAGAAAGACAATTTAAGATCATTTTTTTAGCTAGCAGAGTTCTCAACCTGATCAAACCCTGGTAGATCTATGGGCACATAGTTCTGAATCACTATTCAAAATTAAGTTCCAAATTCACCTGCAATTGAGACACACACAGTTAAGCCTCTTCTCACTCCTGCTAATACTGCACTTGTAGCTTTCTGTACTTCAGGCTTTCTAGTGATGAACTGATGCCAAATGACAGATGCCTCCCCGGAGGACATTAAGCTGAATTGTATATTGTCTTCCTATGCCAACTGTACAGAATTGCCTAACTGTAGAGAATTAGGCTGTTATGCTGTACTGTTGTGTCATTATACTGGAATAATTACACTGGCAAAACTTTGAGAGGATCCCAATTCTGTTTTAAACATTCAAAAACTTTTCTTCTTCATGGTACACCCTCCACAGTGAAGTACCAACAACAAAAAACCTTTAGTCAAAATATGCAGTTTTAATCAATCATGAGAGATTAGAGAACAATGTGTTTCTGAACTGCATCTCACCAGTCAAAGTTTCACAGTGTCAATAGACTGGGCGTACATCTAAGTCTGGATATGTCATAGGCTAGTGCTTCTGTTAACATATGCATCATTTACTTAAAATACAGAGCTACTGATGAAACTTCTAACAGCAAGGTAAGTAGATACATCTTCCTAATTTAGGAAAGCTTAGAAAATGTAAACCACCTTGGTCAATGGACTGAATCACTGTAGAAATATTTGATTACCTATGCAGAGGCTGTGTTTGGACAATGTTGGTTTATTAAATGGGGATTTAACTGTGAACCACTGCACTGTGAACCACTTTTAAACCAGAAAGCCTCTAATTAACCATCAAGTACAATAAAAATAGTGAAAAACACATTTAAACTTTAGGATTCCTGCAAAAGCAATTATTTGAGAGAACAACCAGATAAGCATTAAAAAACAACATACTAAAGGTTGAAGATGGGTACTTTTCATTCCCAGCTGTCAGGCTGACCTTACTACAGGACAGATGGGGACAACTGTTCCTAGCATTGCAGGCCCTCCCTGTGGGTCCATGTGGTTCAGATTCCTTAGAAGGGGCCATGGTCCAACCAAACAGGAAGTGACTCTTGGACACTGTCAAACATGGCACCCCTTAGTCAACAACAGCCAGTGAAATTGGGAATGTGCTCCCATGTCTCCAATCACCCACCCACAACTCCAGGAGAAGTGTTTGCTAGAAGACAGTACTGAATTAGGTACATCCCAATGATTCTTTCTGGCACAAGAGTCAAGCGTGGCACTCCAATTCCAATAATAGCCAAAGTGTTTAGAAATGAAGAACTGGGGGTGTACACCCCAAGCTCTGAGCCACCACAAATCATATACCTAAAAAAAGGCTTGTACAATCAAAGACAAGCTTCCATGTAAGATGGCACAGAACTGGCATCCAATCCAGAGAAATAATCATGTGCAATACACCATCCCATGCCAACCATAGCCAATGTATGCAGAATGAACAAAGTATCAGGTGTGTGTGTGTCTGTGTGTCCTAATAGGTTTTCAGCCACTCTAAATCATACAATGACATTACAGCGTTGTGTCCATCTCAGTGCTTAGTTTGAGCACAAGACACGGTCAAGCATGGTGCCCCCATGCCAGTAGCAGCCAAAACGTTACCCAAAAGCTAATTTGGAGATGGGGCAGGGTGTGTGTCCTTTGGACCCCTCGTAAGCAGTGGTTATTACTTTTCAATCCAACTACTTGGGATGATAAAACATTATTTGGCAGGAATGTTAAAGGTCAATCTTGTTTTTACTGCACTAAAGTTTCCCCCTTTGTCCAAATCATAAAATGATGCCCACCACATATGGAACAAGTCAAAATCCTAAGTCACATTGTGAAGCTGGAAAAGGTTTAATGGTTGAATCATGGTGAAAGTGCTGTGCATGTAGACAAAAACCCCAGATTTAACTTGGCTTAAGAGACAGAGAAAGGATCATCCAAACCCTGTGATTCAAGTCTAGAAAGAAGTAGTTGTTTAAACAGGTTGCTTTAAATATGTTTCCTTTCGGCTGCAATAAATATAATTCAAGTGATTATGAAGAAATCCACAAATGTGGAGGTTTGACAAAAGCCAGTTAATAGGATGTTTTTGTTTTTTTACTTGTTAATAAAAGTTACAGTACAAGATCTAAGTATTCTGAGAATTTAGTCTTAGAAGTAGTCCTTCAAGAAGCTATAAGGCTGAGGAGGGACAAACTTCCCAAGAGTAGTAATTCCAGAAACTTCCTGGATGAAGCAGCTTACTTACTAGCTCCACTTCCAATTGTCCGATGAAAAAGTTGCGACATTCGAGGACCAAGAGGACCAAACAGATGTGGAGGAAGACCTCTAGCTTCCAACAGAGCTAGAGACAAAAATATACATATAACTTATTTGAAACTCATGCACAGCACCGTAATTTATAATTCACATCACAGACTTTCAGTGTTGTAGCACAGATTATTAGGATGATTAAACCCTACACCATAACAATAGTGAGCCAATTCTAATCAAGATCTGAGTGCAGTGAAGAATTTTAATATGGGCTGAGCTAGAACTGCTAACTTAGAAGCAATATTTTACATGCATTTACCTAGTCAAGGGCCCCAAGCCTTGAAAGCAGTACGAGTTTAAAATAATTACTAGCATACACCCCACTTGAACACCTACTTAAAACAACGAAAACTTAGATAACCTATTTATTCTGATTGAAAATGAAAGTTCTAATACCTACTAATGGTACTACTTAAGACAGCTAAAGGTTTCTATTAAGGACAATAAGCAGTTGAATCCTCTTTGCTCTTCTAAAAAGAAAAAAAATTAAGAGCAAGGACTGCCAACTACCACCTAGAAGGTAACGAAGCCAGTCTTTAGAGGATGCAGCGCTAGAACAAACAAAAAGATAAAACAGTTTCTAATCACCATAAAAGCTTTTCCTTCCAATAATGAAACTTTGACTTTACAGTGTATGACGGCAAATGCAGTTCCAGAAATCAGAATGGGCAATATCCAGTGATAAGCAGACCCACTGTAATCTATGTACATTTATTTCCATCAATCTATTCTAACTTAATTCTGTCTACTCAAAAGAACAATTTAGCTGGATATCACCCAATGCCATTTCCAACCTTCTCACCTCAAAAGTTTTATTTTTTTTTATTTTAACCATGAAGATTTCACTTAAGTGATATGCCATCAATAATCAGAGTAGAAACTGGAGTAGAAGGAGTGAAAAAAGACATACAAGTCCTGGGAAATTAATGCTGACTGATCTACATTTCCTTCCCAAAGAATATAAAAGTGCAGCATTAAAAATCCTTAACATTTTAGAACAAATCTAAAAGCTGTGTTAATATTTATTTACTGTAGTCATGAGTGTAACATAAGCCTCTTAGTTTGTACCTTGCAATCTCCCCATCTCAGAATCATCCGATTCACTTTCACCAGAGGTAGTCATGCCCACAGCCCCAGCAACAGAACTAGAAGCTACAGGAGGGAAAAAAATTAGTGGCACTATATTAATAAGTCACACAGTATACATACTTGTTAACTCTTCCTGAAATCCTCCTTCCAAAGTAGTCAAAGAAAACCTTTAATGACTCCAGTAGGAATAGGAATGGGCATACAAAAAAAGCAGGTTTATTTTTAGTCTTGACCCACATAGTATGGAATGACTGCACTTGAACACACAAGGTCAGTTTAAACTTTCAGCCATGCAATATGGTTGAAACTTTGGGGCTTCTTTTTCTTTAGTAAATAAGCAATTTAAAACAGAGGGCAATGGCATTATACCATATAAAACAATAACAGTTCAAACATATTTGCTTAAACAGAAAACTGACAGGAATATTCAGAATTATGAGCTATAATCAGAACTTGGTGTGCTTTGCACCCTGCAACAAGGCTGCCAAGCAGATATGCACTAATACAGTTTGTAGGATTAAACTAGTGTAGCAGCTTTGTAGCTTTCACAAAACCACAGAGGTTAAAGAGGCAGAGGAAACACTTCCCACAGACTTGTGGAACAGACAAACGTTTGTTCAGGGTACTATTAGTTTGCTTGCTTGCAAGGTAAGTTGCTAACAACAAAAATCTATGCATGTTTACTCAGAACTAAATTCCATAGATTTCAGGGGGATTTACTCCCTAGAAAGAGTGCATATGTCTGCCCATAACAATGAGAAGTGAAGGGTGTTAAGATGCTTCTATTACCTGTTAATAGAAGTATAAACAAAACTAAGCAAATTAAAACATGCAAAAACAGCCAGTGAGAAAATGGCTTTACTTATATTCAGCAACACTTCTTACCAAAATGAAGTCAGTAGATCTATGATCCTATTAAGCACATGGTATATTGGACAGGAGCCAAGGCAAATGAAGGCTCACTCCTTTTTAACCACAGGAGAGGTATCAGGAGTCACATACATACACCCTGCCCTCACTGTCCCTTGACAAATATATTTAAAGGAAAACATCAACATTAAACCACAGTTAATACTAGCTAGGATTCCTTGTTTTAACAAGAATCTCAGCCAAACTTGAAACCTCAGTAAGAGACTACATATTTTTAGAAGGTGAGATCTAAATTTATCTTCAACTGACTTGAATAGAAACATAGGTATCACTAAGTGTAGCTGGTGCAAGATAAATAGAAATAGCAGTCCCATCCAGAGGTTCTTAAGAGGAAACTGTTGGCAGAATATGCTTTGAAGCTAAAGAACTACTTTAGGTACATGGTTTGGGAATGCTAAATGGGTCCTCTTTGAACAAGCCTCTATGCTATATTATAAACTGTCTTCCAAAGTCTCAAATGGAGTATAACAGATCACAAAGCGGAAACATTTCAAGTAACTCAAGTCCAAAGACCCTTTGAGCATTTTCTCCTTTTTTAAATCTGGTCAAAACGAGCACTGAATAAAGCATGTAACCTCAGCTACTTAAGTGTACTAGTATGGACATTTCTAGGCAGAGCAAATACAAACAATTTATGGACAATAACTGCTTTTTCTGTGCCAGTGTTGAGTGACACTAGTTAGCCATACCTGCTGCTCCTTGTGGAGCCTCATCAGCTCGTGCAGCTGAAGAATTAACGCCATCCTGGTTGTTATCAGGATCAGCCATTTTCTCCTGTCGGCGAGCTTCAGCTGCTCCTCTTTTGCCCAGGCCAGAGCCTCGCCGACTGAAAACAGAATTATCATCAGAAGCCATCGAGATTACGCTATGTGGTCTACAGTGCTGGTGCTATCAGCACTCAAAATTAAACCATGCAGACATGGAGTCATAACAGAACAGTTAAACTATATGCAAAAAGTTTTTAAAAGGGAAGTTCAAACAGTCACATCTGCAGATGAAGCAGATGAGAGGCATGTTGAGAAAAAGAGATGCATTATCAACATTATCACATCCATGCTTCGCTGACTTCAATAACTACTTGTTCAGATATGCCTACAAAGAAATTTCCTTCTATTTTCCTAATTTCTATTGAAAAACAGAATTTCTGTATTGTTCAAAACAGCTGGTGAGTAATAACACATCTTCAAGACCTCACACCAGGCTAGTTAACAGCACTGTAATTAGATTATCTGAATTGGGCCGTACTTCTCTTGTAACAAGTTAGGTTATTTTGTAGTGTCCATTTCAGCGCTGAGAAATTGGGCCCCTGTATTAAATTATCCTGTCTCTTGGGTGGTTTATTGCATATTATCCTGTAGCCACCACGACACAAATATAGGTTGTCAATAAGAATGTGCTTTCTAAACTCTTCGGGGAGATTCCCTCAAACACAAATTCATCTTCACAACCTTAACATACATGTAATTTTTAAAGTTCGAAAATACCTGGTACTAGCACAGGAGCCCGTGGTCTTTTGCCGTGTGCTCCGCCTTAAACTGGGGAGCTCCGCAGGTGGTGATTCACTGCGCTTTTTTGTTGATTTTCTTAAGCCTAAAGAGAGAAAAAGACAGCTGAAACAAAGACAATTCTAGTTTCTTTACGAGGACTGTGCTTCAGAAAATGAAAACGAAGCTGCACATTCTTCCTCCTCTTGACCAAATGATGCATTCAGGGGAAAACACAAATTGTGTTTATTCTCTATCAGATACAATACCTCCTGTATTGCATGTATTTATGTGGTTAACAACAACATCACATTATATGCAATAACCTTGCCCGGCTATGCCCCTCTTTAAAAAAAAGATGGGGGAAAGGTCCACATTGTATGGTGGTGGACTTGTATTCCAATACTTGAACCATAAAATAGATAACAAATTTCAAGATTTTCTTCCGCCCTGAATTGCAAAGCCTTTTTAAAGAAAGAAAACTTATTGAAGCATGCATCTGAAGTCTCTGGGCTAATTTGCATATCACAGTAAACCATGACTTACCACAAACAGTTTGTTGGAGCATACTGAAGAATTTTCTACCTTTACTCTGTTTGGCTTAGTGTTACATGGGAACCAGTCTTGGCTTCCTGAGTCTCCCCAAAACAAATCACAAGCAGTAAGCCAAGGTTACCAGAACTAAGCCAAGTCAGAACTTGTTTGTATTATTAGCTGAAGGACAGGTATTCAAAGAGTATGCATGGATGGAAGAATCTCAAATGTGGATTTCTATCCAATCAAGCTCAGCAACTGCAGCTGAACAAGTTCCTTTCTCCTTAAAGCTAGGGTCTTAAGAGGGCAGTCACTTTTAAAAAAAATCATATATAAAATAATGGGAAACGTAAGACAAAATCCTTGCTAGTCCTGTGAAGGAAGTATAAGCAACATTGTGAAAGATCCACTTATTGAAGGCCAAAGTCCTAGATTAAGTACTATGCGTGAACAGAGTGATGTCCTTGGTCTACATCTTAAAAGGACCTCAAGGCCTCACAAGGCACAATCTGAACTAAAGCTAGAAATGCAGGCATTGCCACCGGGGTCATTTCAAGTGCTATGCATTTTTCCTTAAGCTTCTTTTGAAGGAAACTAACAGTTGTATTTAGGAGTACCAGTTTGTGATATAACTTTGAACACAGATTTCAAGCAGTACTCTGGGGCAAATTTCCATTTTAGAGGGAAGTTGAACCTACAGAAGAGCTATGAAATGTGACTGAGCAGCAAATTTTTATTTTTAAATATGCAAGAGTTTGAAATCTATGTTCTAACAGTAAGAATGCAAAAGATATCCAAAACAATAGCATTGTTTAAACAAAGGAAGGTTATTCCTTTTCAGAAGTTTAGAACAAAGGCTATGGGATATGAATGCATGGAAAACTACTGAAGTGACACAGTCATACCTCATGTTGCGTCCGCTTCAGGATGCATGTTTTTGTCTTGCGTCCCGTGGCAACCCGGAACGGGTTACTTCTGGGTTTCACCACTCGCACGTGCGCAGAACTGCTAAATCGCGCTGCGCACGTGCACAGACATGGCTCTTCAGCTTGTGTTAGTTCCGTGTTACAGATGGGCCTCCGGAATGGATCCCATCCGTAACACAAGGTTCCACTGTATTTTGGTAATAATAGCTAGCATATGTGATAAAACCAAGAGACGTTAGAGGTTATGAAAGGTTGTGTCTACAATATGCATTCAGAAGTGGACCCTATCCCTTTTCCAAGGAATGAGGCACTCTATGTAGAAAATGAAATATATTCCGATCATCTTAGAAACTTAACACCAATTTTTAAATAAGAGCTCAGAACTGTTCTTGATCTGGGAGCTGAAGCAACTTAGCTGAACAATGTTTAGACTAGTAGCTTCTGTCCCACACCATGTTATGTGGTTTAATCTACCATCAGACCAGGGTGTATGCCTAAGAGCATCCAAGCAACCTGTTGCAAAGTTGACTTGAAAATGCTTTAGCTGCTCAGTTACCAGACAAAGCTGAGTCATTAACAACTTGAGAGATAAATTTCCTCCTATCACTCCTACCCATCTCAAGGCTCAAAAGGATTCTGAAACCTTGCATATGCCTGAATTCAGGCCACAGGTTGCATAAACAACCATTTCCCATCAACGGATAGCAAGCTGCAAATTTATTTTACCAGCATAAGCCTTCCTAAGATCATTTATGTATCATAACCTTAAGATGAGACTACTACCTATACATCTAGGACATAAGCACAAGCTCTCCAGAGTCTTAGCAAAGGACTTTCTCATCAACTCCTACTTGATCTATCAAACTGGAAATTATTACTATTATTATGTACCTGTCCTCCTTTCCCAAGGTCCCAGGGTAGGTTACAACACCAAAATACAACATAAAAATGACTTAGAACAACTTAAAATCACAAAAATAGGGTAGGCGCTAAAAAATATACACCTCAAGTGCCAAAAGCCAGGGTAAAGAGGTGTCTTCAGAATCTGCAGCAAGTTGTAAAATGAAGGTGCCAGAAGCACCTCTGTGATGAGGGAGTTTCACAACTTGGGGTCTGCCACAGAGAATACCCTCTCTCAGCCCACTCCTACCCAAGCCCCTGATGGTGGAGGAACTACCAAGAATGACCCTTCTGCCACTCTTAGCACCCCTTCACTTATGAAAACACATTGTGGCCTATTCTGACTAGTAGCAGCTTTGTAAGGCCTAAATTAGAGGTTTTTCTTAGCCTTACTACAAGATACCCATTGTTGAAGTGTCAGGGATCAAACCCAGGCCCTTTTGCATGCAAGGTTACACAATTGGCTCTTCCCATATTTTTACCTGATAACAGCTTGGAACTAACCTTTAGGATTAACTGGTGAATGTTATCAGTTGTACCAGTGCTTTCTTTCTTCCCTGTTATTTCAATCTATGAAATCTAAACTACCGTATTTTTCGCTCTATAGGACACACTTTTTCCCCTCCAAAAATGAAGGGGAAATGTGTATGCGTCCTATGGAGCGAATGCAGGCTTCAGGAAGCTATCCGCAAGCCTTCGGAGCCTGGCGGGAGTGCCCGCCGGGCTCCGAGGCTTGCGGATAGCAGCCTGCAGCCCGAAGCCCAGGCAGCGCAGCGCTGCACTCCCCGGGCTTCGGGCAGCTATCCGCAGCGCTTGCCGCCGCTCCCGGGCCTGTTCTGGGGGCTGGGGTTGGGGGAAGCTCGGGCTTCCCCCGCCCTAGCCACGCGGCTAAAAACGAAGCCACGCACAGCCTCTCCCAGCTGGAGAGGTGGTGCGTGGCTAAAGAGGAAGCCAAGACAGCCAGCGGGATAGATCCCGCTGGCTGTCTTGGCTTCTTTGCTCTTTGGGGCTGGGGGGGGGAATAATTTTTTTTCTTTATTTCCCCCCAAAAAAACTGGGTGCCCCCTATGGTCCGGTGCGCCCTATAGAGCGAAAATACAGTATATAGACAATGTAAAACAAAAACAAAACCCTATTCTCTACTGTTAAGCATTTGGTCTTCTGACTGTACTGATTTACAGTAACCAGAACTTGGTCCTGTACTAGCCAGCCAGCTCATGAAGTTAAGTGTGGGGCTCTTCTGTTTTTCAACTATGGTGGAAGCACAACTGGTGGGGTCAAGAGATAGGGCTCTCTCAATGGTCATAACATCCCAACTGTCTTCTCTTAGTTTGTGAAGACTTTTTCCTGCCAGCAGACTAAATCTCATTTTTTTCCTGGAAGGTTGTGTTTGATCTGCTATGCCTTGGTTAGATTTTATTTATTAAATTTGTATTCCACCCTTCAGCCTAAAGGTACGCCAGCTGAGACCCTACCTGCCCATGGACCGTCTTGCTAGAGTGGTTGCATGCTCTGGTTATCTCCTGCTTGGACTACTGCAATGCACTCAACGTGAGGCTACCTTTGAAGGTAACTCCGAAACTACAACTAATCCAGAATGTGGCAGCTAGACTGGTGACTGGGAGTGGCCGCCAAAACCATTAACACTGGTCCTAAAGGATCTTTATTGGCTCCCAGTGCATTTCTGAGCACACAATTCAGAGTGTTGCTGCTGACCTTTAAAGCCCTAAATGGCCTAGGCCCAGTATACCTGAAGGAGCATCTCCAGTCCCATTGCTCATCACAGACACTGAGGTCCTCCTCTGAGGGTCTTCGCTGTTTCCCTCACTGTGAGAAGTAAAATTACAGGGAACCAGGCAGAGGGCCTTGTCAGTAGTGGCGCCCTCCCTGTGGAACACCCTTCAGATGTCAAGGAGATAAAGAACTACATAACTTTTAGAAGATATCTGAAGGCAGCCCTGTATTGGGAAGTTTTTAATGTTTGATGTTTATTATGTTTTGATATATGCTGGGTGGAGTAATTAATAATAATAAGGATGATGATGTCACTAATGTATGAAACAGACATCAAAAAAGCAACACATCTGAACAACCTCCCTCTCTCCAAAATATCAAACCAATTCAACAGCAGTCTGGGTCGCACACCAGTTTCCACAGGCTGAAAAAAGAGATTTGATGCTGCAAAACACCTCTGGGCTACTTAATCAGAGGTTATGGACTGTGCTCCTGGGTAATATTACTAAACACAAATAGTTCTAAGGCATAGCAGAGAAGGGGTATAAAACCTTGGTAAATAATATATAAATAAGGTGATATCAGGGGATGAAAATATTTCAGGGTCCATATTAAAAAGCATACCCAATGTTAAGTTATTGTACAATAAGACAAGCAACTTGGAATAGAGACTAAGGACCAGTTCATATTTTGGATTAAATCTTTGCATCCAGAAAACTAGCATGCTGAATAGATCAGGTCAAACCCTCTCTTCTTCAACATGGAGTTGTCCCCCTATGGGGAAGTATTCAAATATACACCTCTACATCTATACCTGAAGTATTACAGTAGCTTCTCCTTGGCTATAACAATTGTACAGACTTCCCCTCCCCATGATTCTCACCTGCAAATTACCTCTTATACTATTTAATGCAAATCCTGCACAATAAGCTTGTTACATAAGGTGGTCAATTTTCAAGCCCTCACATAAGTAAAAACATTTTCAACTTACTTGCTAGTTTAGCCTGCAATCCTGAAGGCCCGGGTTTTGATGCCTCTGGCTTAGAAGAGCCTGGCAGAGTCAGTTTTGTTTTAGGCAGGCTAACCTTGGGGCTGAAACGAGCAGCCCAATCAAACTTTGAAGAGCCACTTATTTTATTCTGTTCTTTATCACGGCTACTTCTCCGTGGGCTGGGGCTGGATGCAGATCTGGAACGCCTGGCCTTACTCTGGTCTTTCCCCTGTTTCACTCTGGCACCCTGAGGAACAGCAGAAGAGGCAGAAGCAACAACAGAAGAAGAGGAGGATGTGGAGGCTGAAGAGGAAGAATCTGTGATGGTGCTACACCCAGCTTTGGCTGAGCTCGCTGATTTTGAAGCCAGCTTGGTGGGTTTTGCTGGTCTCTCTTCACTGCCAGTCGATTCAGCTGGTGGACGACTCTTTACAATGGATGAGGTCTCTGTCCTTTTCCGTTTCTGGCTTCGGGAGCCACTGGCAGCTCCACCCTTTCTGGTATGAGCCTTGCTTGTTGATGGCAATTGTGAAGACTTTGACTCCTGCTCTTGATGCAAGTGTCTTTTCTTAGACTTAGTCTGTGGCTTGTTTGTTTCCAAATCTGAGGAAGAATCAGCGTGCTGAAGTGCTTTGGTTTTTTTGGCAGGGCTAGGAGAATTTGTCTGGTTGTAATCTGGGCTAGCACTGCGTTTCACTCCTCGAGGACTGTCCTTTTTAGGCACCTGCCCTGGTTTTTGCCGCTCCAAAGTATTGTCTGTGTCCAGAGCCTCTTGTTGTGGAATTATAATAGCAGATGAGGTACAGCCTCTGTTGTGGGGGAGAAAAAAGCAGTATAATCATCATCATCATCTTCTACAGAGTCATCCAGCTATTTAATTTGTGGTATTCCAAGGAAAGGAAATTATAATAGCTACTTTTTTTACTATCTAAAATGCAAAAATCTACATTAAACTTTTAATTCTGATTTTAGTAAGCAACTTTGATTGAAGCAGTAGTGCTGAAAGCTTTACAGAAACTTGTATTGTCAACACGTGTGTCTCTAACATACTAAACAATTAATAATGAAAAGCGACCACTTCAGTATTGCATTCTTTTTTTTTTCTTTTTCCATTTTAGAATTTTCACCAAAAAGGTAATGGATATTCAAAAACGCAATATAGCTGGGGAAAGTTTCCAGGCTGCAGTTCAAGAAATAACAGATATAACAGAAACTGGGGTCATCAAATGAAGTGGTGGTGGTTCAGGGTAGACAAAAGGAAGCACTTCTTTACATAGCACATATAACTATATAGCATCCATAAATAAAATTGTTATTGCTTACAATAGATACAACAATGAAGATTACAATATATACTGCTGAAGTTATATTTGTAAATTCAGAAAAATAAAAGTTACCTTTTAGAAACTTGTCCCTTGGACTGTTCAGAAGTAGTATTGGACTGCACTTTGGGTGCCTTTGATACTGATTTTCTACTTTCAGAAGGGCTATGTGCCTTATGTTTTGCCTGCCCTAAATGTGACCTATCAGCAAATAATTAAGAACAGAAAGCTATCAGGAAAACTGGCATACAAACACAAATGTATACATGGAGTATATTTGCAGTATAGTTTTCCATTAAGCCTATACAAAGATGTTCTAGGAAGAAAAGTTAGGTATATCAAAACATCAATTCTCTCAAATGAAATTATATCTCAAATTGGTATTCTTTGATATTTCCTGGCCTTTTCAGTCTTTCCATCATTGGCATTAAGCAGAGATTTGGAATCATGAACCTATTTAGAAGTCTGTAGTTTCCTATATTAATTTGCATTTCCTCTTACTAACAATATGCATACGGACAACTAAGAAATGCTCCAAACTTCTCACTTTCACTCTACACAAATGATAAAAATTTGCACAATGATTCTGTAGTTGATAAATCCTGCAGCTCCATAAAATTATTTGTAACCTGAGCAATTATTCACCAAATATACATTTAGCATTTTTATTTACCAAAATAAATCAGATGTCAATGGAATAAACAACTATCTGACGTTTAGAAGACATCTGAAGGCAGCCCTGTTTAGGGAAGTTTTTAATGACTGATGTTTTAATGCATATTTAATCTCCTGTCAATAAAGAAATGCTAGTGGTTGGCAACAGTTTATCATTATCCTTGGGGGGGGGGAGAAGAATCACTGTCCCCATGTAATACAGAAATTAGAAATAAGTGAAGAGAAGGTGAAGCACAAGCTGCCACATGCTCTACTGATGTAATGCTGAGGGAGATGTGCCCAGGCACGGTTAAGTAATATGATCAGCCACCAGAGTCCATCTCCTTCTTAATTATGCAGACCAATTGCTTGATATATCTTGGCCACTTGAGAGTTCAGTTACTCAATATTTCTAAAGTTAATAGCATTTGAATTAAATATCTGAAAATTAAGCTGCATCTGTTTAAACATAAATCTAGTCAGTCATACCACATCCTGTCAAGTCAGATTCACCAACCTTTGTGTGGAGAATACAGGGCATACAGTAATTATTAAAAAGATGCTGTTGTATCTCTGGATTTAGAGTAATTTATTTAAAATTTATTATGCATCCCTGAATGTCAAAATATGTTTCTAAATGGTTTACAAAGCATCAAAAAACAGTTAAACAAACTATTAAAAGATAAATATCCAGGTCAAGATATTTGCGTAAACAAGTGCTTCAAAAGCCAGTGGAAAGCTAATATAGATGCCCCTGCCCCGAGTATTTTGGTTGGAAGTACATTCCGTAAAACCAGTGCTACCACTGAGAAAGCCCATATCCGTGTTACTACAAAGCAACAATGATTAGGCCATGGAAGTCTAACGAGGTTCCATTTGTTTATCTTAATGATGTTACTGGGCAGTGGAGGGGGATTTGGTCTTTCAAGACATTAAGGACTCCAATTTACGTAGTTTAAAAAACCATCAACTTCAGGAACTTCCGGGTTAGCGCCATCGCCGAATGGCGGACTCCCTCCGAGCTCCGGAGGGAGTCTGCTCGGCAGGGGCTGGGTCCTACCGCGCCGGCGACGCGGGGACCCTTAAAAACCACGGGCACGGAGTCCGTGGACATGGGTGACTCGGCTTGCACCATTAGCGCCCTCCCGACTCGTGAAGGAGCCTTTTTAAAGGCTTCGGATCGGGTGCCGGGAGTGGCGTGGTGCTTTGAGTCCACTGCTTTCCCTGCCGAGCGCAGCCGCATGCCATTCGACGGAGAGCGCTGACTTCTTCTATTGAAAATTTGGACTATTAACAACAACCCGTGAGTAATTGGGAAACCGGGTTCAAAATTTTGGATTTGGCACGAGCGGGGCGATTTAAAAGGAAGTCAATCCCCCCCCCTATTGTAAGCATTCCAAAACAAGGACTGGGTAACCAAGGTCCAAAGGGAAGTATGTCTCTGATAAAAATCATTAATTTCACGATGGGAAATTATAAGAAATGTGCTGGAGGAGAAGAGTGGAGGGTGAGAAGAAAAATGCAACCCCCCCCCTGGGAACCGGGGCGATTCGTGGAGCCTGGTGAAGAGAGACGGAGACTTTGACAGCTGTCAAAGTGGCTGTCAAAGCTGGAGAATATAAAGAGGACTTTGTTATGAGGACCTTGCTGGTTAATTTTGTTACAATTTGCTATAATATGGATATAAACTGTTGGAAAATAAGCAACAATTTGACTTTTGGATTAGAGGATACAAAGTTATTACAATCCCCCTAGAGGGGTTTCGGGATACTACAAGAACGGTCGTAAGTGGAAAAATACCCTGGGATTCGCACAGGATTTGTTATCTTCTGGGAAAGCTGCAAAACTGAAAGAGTATTTTGTCTACAGAGGAAGACAATGGAATTTTTATTGAAGAAAGAAAGGGACTGGACGTAAGTTTTTGTTCCTGAATAACAAACCTCTGCAGAGACACTAGATTTCTGAATTAGAAAGTTTTAGCAGCTGAACAGGACAAGAAACCTGAGAAAGTGAGGAATAAGAAGAATAAAGGACTGATTACGACACGGAAAGAACAACGGGAGGAGTGGTAAAGATCAAGGAAATTAAAGGCCTTTGTTAGATTGGACATTTGAAGTCAAATATTATTTAAATTAATAAACTAAAAGAAAACCGGCAAGATGGAATCGGGAGAAATCTGGTCATGAAATGAGACTTCCAAGCTGATAATGTATAGACTGATGGACATGGGGAATTCAAACCGGGGAAGGGGGAGATTTGAAATCCAAAGGCTGTGTAACCATTTTTGAATTTTTCTATATCTCTTATTTTCTATTTCTTTACATAACTTACGCATGTTATTTTACTTTGATCGGACGTGTTTAAAAAAAGGGAATTTGTGGAAGGAACTGGGGTGGATCTTGGGGAAAATCTTTTTCTTTTTCTGTTAATGATGTGGGACGGTGGTAAGATTTGTACAATTCAATCTGGATAGTGGGTTAAACAAATTAAGCTTTAAATTGGGAGTGAGAGCTTGTAGAACCAAATTAAGGAAAGGGGAATACAATTGGGGGGGGGAGGGGGGGAGTCCCAGAAAGTAGGGAATGAAAGTAAGGTTTTTAAATATCTTCTTTCTTTTGTCTTTTTTCTTTGTATTTTTATATGTTTGGAAACTTTAATAAATATGATTTTAAAAAAAATAAAAAACCATCAACTTCAGAACCCATGGTCTGAAATCGGCTTGTTTTGAAGCTGGCCATCTTTATTGTCCAACCATGACTCCTAGTTTCAGACATGAGAGGAAACCATGACCAGCTTAAACTGAAATTAAAACTTCCAACGTCCTGCTCCTATACACAGAGAAGGAAAGGAGAGGTAACTACAGTGCTGCTAATGCAGCGGTTTGACTTTACCCCTGGAGGCGCACTCCATTGTCCTTGAAGACAGATGGATGCCAACACCAAATAACTATGTGCATATGTTATGTCTGCTGCGTCAAAAAAGCCATGCTGAGAGGCTGGTGCATAAATCAACACTCAGATGTAAAATTCTTTTTACATTCTTGCTGCAAGATAAAGCCAAATGTACAACAGGCCATTTTAGTCTCTTTTCCAAAGAAATCTGTACTAAAAACCTGAACCAAAAGATTGCATGTGAGCGTCAGTCCATAGAACAAGACTTTAAACCTAAATCTGCTTAAGCCCTGTGAACTAGGCATTCTAGTTCAATGCTTAGGAGGAGGTTGTGCATTTTATGTTTATATTCACAATTCTAACTGTTAAGGCCAAAAGGAGACATTTCAGAGATGCTAATAAATGCAAGGGAAGTACAGTTATCTGGCCTAAATAAAGAAAATGATTTATTGGGTTATCCCCCAAGTGTTAAACCTCTGATGATCAGAAGCTTGTAGATAACGAGTCATACCTTCCTCCTACTGCGTCGTCTTGCGGTTGGGCCCCGACAGTGTTCCTTTGTGAACGTCGCAGTGAGCCCCCTGGACTGTTACTAGGCCGGTTGGACATTGGCACCTCTCTCCTGAAGGGACATACCCTTTCTAGACACTACCATTCACTGAAAGACAAAAAAAGAGCCCCAATGAGAATATCTGACCTCTGTTGCAATGTTTACATCTTATGATAAAGGTTAATTAATCCTCACAATATTTTAGAAAAAACAGAATTATATACCAATGAACATTTCAAACAATGACCAAATATCACTTATTAAAGTTTCTAAAGCATTGCTTGCTAGGATACATTAGCAGATAGAAAGAGAAAGAGAACACAATCAATGATTTAAAAAATAATAATCAACAGATTTAAACCAAATCAGAAAGGTCTTATGTACACAATATCCCCTTGGCCATCACTAGGTTGCAGAAACATAGTATTCTCTTTTTCAGAAAAACCCCCAGCTTCAACCACTATTGATGCCAACTAGAGTCATTACTAGACAGTTAGAACTAGCTTCAAATCCTGGCTAAAACCCTAGTTAGTGCCGTGAATAGTTAAAGTTGGTTCCAATATAAGCCTTAATCAGTAATAGGCTGATTAATTCATGCAGAAAAATGAGAGTTGTTGAGTAATCCCTCACGGTTAAGGGAATGGGAGAATTATGAGAGCATCACATATATCAGTTCTTACATGTGTTGCTCTCCAACGCACAAACATCACTACTTTATTTTTATGACAGTCCCTTCAACAAGATTCCTCAATAAATGCTTGTATAAACGAGCAAAGAATGCTCAGACTGAAATACTAGTTTATTGGTTTATTAAATTTCTATACCACCTTCATCCCAAAATCACAGGGCGGTTTACATTATAAAAACTGAGAAATACAGAACATAGAAGCAAACAAAAACAATACCACTAGCCGCCCGTCCCCCCGTCCCCCGAGTTTAAAAGGCAATAGATGAATATGCCACTCTTAGCCAGGGAGAAGCTCAAAAATGGCTAATCTGCAAGGAAGGAAGACCTTACCAAAGGCGTGATTTCAGCATACACTGTCAATAAATAGCATTTAAAATTGTCCAATGTTTAAAGATAAATAATGACTTTGGGAATGTAACAGCAACTACATTGTGGCACTGCATTTTAAGGGTTTATGAAGAGCAAAAATGCATACGATGGCTGTGAGGCTTGAAAAAATATTGCTTTGCTAATGACATCAGAAGTAAAGCTCCACACTGCAATGCCAATGTCCTTGGTGATAAAAATCTAACGTTTGCACCATTTCCAAGTGCAGCGGCTAGTCCCAGAAGTGTGTTGACCATGACATTTTATACTTAAACCATTCACAGTATTTCACCCTCCATCCGTTCTTTAGACTTAGCATGGAAACAATTATCTAGAAAACAGGTAGGAAAATACCTTTTGCTTATGTTGCAGTCATTTACACACTCGGAAGTAGCCCCAATTGAATTCACTGGAAATCACTTCCAGGTAAGCAATCTTGTTGAGAATATACCTTCCATCAGCCCCAGCTGACATGGCCAATTGCCAGGAATGCCCTTTTTTATAATCCAACAACATTTGGAGGGCCACAGATTTCCCACCCCTGAAGTACAAGATCATACTGCTTTACAATAAACACAGAAGCACAGAGACAGAGCAGAGGATCCTGACAGCTTGGTTTCAATAGTACAGGAGGGCAGATGAATAAGATGAATGGGGGCAAATTCTATTCTACATATACAGGCTTTGTTTCAGTTGCTAATGAGAGGTGAGTGTTAAATGTGAGGTGGTTTTTGAAAGACAAGGTACTATATTGCCAAAAGTTCTGGCAGAGAAGACAAAATTATCAATTCAGTGTTGCAAGCCCAAGTCTGTGAATTCACTCCCAACTGAGATTACAGGCACCATCCTTGCTGAACTTCAGGTGCATGACAAGGTCTTCCTTATTCCAGTACACATCTTATGGTAGTGCATGGGCTTATGCTCAGTTTTATATAAAACCATGCTTTATTTACTGATTTCAAAAATATTTGTACTTATAAAAGCACAAACTTTGACACAGTAAGGTGAACTATGGCTTATTGGGAACATGCAAATGTGTGGGCTCTCAGAAAAAGGCTTAAGCCAACATGGTGTGGTGGTCTTGTAATCTGGTGAGCCAGGTTCGCTTCCCCACTCCTCCACATGCAGCTGCTGGGTGACCTTGGGCGAGTCACACTTCTCTGAAGTCTCTCAGCCTCACTCACCTCACAGAGTGTTTGTTGTGGGGGAGGAAGGGAAAGGAGATGGTTAGCCGCTTTGAGACTCCTTAAGGGGAGTGAAAGGCGGGATATCAAGTCAAAACTCTTCTTCTTAACAGCACTTTGGTCCTTACTCATCCTTTTTGCTCTGGCAGCAAGCTGAGCTAAGCCAACGCTTGACTTAGCATATCATCCCAACTCAGGCTCATGATTAAGGTATCGCCTCACTAACCACAAGCTGCAGCCAAAAACAAGCCTTGGCATCCAACTGTGGTTAGTGAAGAGAGACCTTAATTGCAAGTGTGATTTTAGACAACATGTTAAGCCAAACTTAACTGATGAGCCATAGCTTGGCCTATCATGCTATGCAAGCAATACCAATATATTGGTTTGTAATATGGAATACCACAATTCTTACTTAAGCCTTTATTGCGGTTTCATGTAATTTCACCTTTCAGTTCACAACTACAAGGTTAGCTTTGATTTAATCATATATTCCTCTAAACTCACCTTTTAGTATTTTTCTAATGTTTAGTAATTGCCAGTTTTGCTGATGAATCAGATTGTGCCATTTCTTTACAGTCAGTTATATACAGACTCTGTGCAAAGACAAAACTATTTCAGCTCTGAAGTTTAAAGAATAGGGAGGAAGCTGTAACCGTGTGTGTGTGTGTGTGTGTGTGTGTGTGTGTGTGTATAAGAGACCTCGTGGCTAGGTGTTACAACTAATCAATATTTAGCATCATTATTACAAATATAGTAGCATTCCGGGCCGAAACAGCTGTTATACCAGTATTAGTCCTCAGTAACAGATTTAAGTATTGTGAGATAGAACAGCAAATTATAGGGTGTAACAAGTTTGAACAGAAGTTAGTGCCTTATCTTAAGAATGTTCTGTCCAAAACACTCCAACAGTTATCTGAATGATTTGTGCTTATTTATCCTCTCTTGCAGGAGCAAGATGCCATCTGAACAAGATTCTTCTTCCTTTCAGACTTCCGGGGTGGCGCCACCGGCAATGGCGGACTCCCTCTGAATTGGAGGGACTAGCTCCGCATGAAACGGGTCTTTCCGCTGCGGCGTAGCGGGGACCCTTCTGGAAATCACAGGCGGATGAAGCCTGTGACCGTGGGACTTGGCGGGCACCCTTAGCGCCCCCCCAACCCACAAAAGAACCCACAAACGGGCTCCTAAGTGAAGAGGGGAAAGTGGCGCGGTGCTGTGAGTCAATTGCTTTTTCTGCGGAGCGAAGCCGCATAGTCGTTGCCGGAGAGCGCTGCCTTTTTCCTGGGACAATTTGGCATTTAAAACAACCAACCGTGAGTACTGGAACATTGAATATTTGGACTTCAAATAAGAACTGGCGAAATAAAAAGGAATTTGGACTTAAAAATTAACCCTAATTTGGTACTGAAACGGGAAGGTTTAAACAGGAAGTCACCCTCCCGTTTCCTCGTAGTCAGAACAAAGCAAAGACAACGCAAACTAGAGCCTTAAAAATCACTTTTAAAGGATCAACTTTCATCATTTAAAATCGCTGAACCCCCCTTCGGTAGCAGGGGAAGAAGGGGGACCTTTTCTGAGCTGCTTAAACCTGCAGAAGTGAATCTAAAGCAAAGTAATTTTCCACCGTCCTGACCCTGGAGCGGGGTGTCAGAATTGACGTTTGAAGCTCATTGACCAGAAACAAATGTCTTTGACAGATAGTTAAAAGAAGAGAAACATTGTGACTCCATTGTTTCCCTTCGTCTTTTAAAAGAACAAATATGGACAAAATATTTTAAAAAAGAAACTTTGTTGCTATTGTTTTCAAGAAAAAGAATAACCAGAAGTTTTTCCCCCTAGTGGGGAACTGTGAAATTGTAACTAATTCCTGGGAACTTGCAGCTGTCACTGATTACAACTGTGGGAAAGGATTTGTGACCTTGTAGGACAATGTCTTCAGAAGCACTGTTGGGTGCTTTCTGTAAAATAAATGCCCTATTGGATCAGTTAAGTCAGAAGACGGATTTCATGACTAATGCGGCCAGAACCTTTGAACAGGTAGTGGGAAACTATATGGAGCCCACCCAGGAATCAAAACAGGAGCGTGCCATGACAGAACAACTGAAAGAAGAGGACCTTGCTGAATCTTGGGCGCCAGAGACGGAGGGAGCTGCGGCCCAGCAGGAATATAAACTCTTGGATTTGATAAATGAACTTGGGAAAAATCAGACTTGGAAAGATAAAATCTGGTTTGGTTTGGAAATGGGGGGTTGGATAGACCCCCCTTTACAGGGAGATTTGGACTTTTCGAGTCTGGAAAGGGGCCATCAGATGTTTGGAGCTGTGGGGGCTCTCAACTTTGAAGGGAATCTGGAGCATGCTTGTAAATACTACATCGAGCCTATCCTGGACTATGGAAAAGGGATCGTCTTGCTGAAAAGGGTCAAAAACACTACCAAGCTGGAGTTCCCACGAATAAAAGGGAAATATAAAGAAGAGTACGAAAGGGACATGGAAGAGACTTGAGGGCCTCGGATATAAGATTGCCAGGTGAATGTGCTAGATTAATAGGATAAAAGGACTGACAAAACCCGGGACCAGGAGGAAGGGACGTTGGATGAAGACTGGATTGCTTTTTTCTTTTATTTTTATCATTAGGACTGTTTTATAAAATTGATGAATGTTAGGAAAATGTTGAAATGAAACTATTTGGCTCTTATAAAAATGTCTAAAGAACTAGGTAAGAATGCTATGGTTTAGGAGAAGTTGGTAAAAATTAAGATTTAAGTTTTAAACTTTAAGGTTTTCTATAAGATAAGATGAAAATAGAGCAACGTAATGTGATGACAGAATACTATGAATTATGGAAAGGATTTGCTGTGATTATTATAAAACAGGATACAGGAAAAGGGAAGAGGAGGAGGTCAAGGAAAGAAGGTATTGAAAGTGGAGAATTGGAGAATGATGGGTTTTTTTAATTTATTTTTATTTTTATTTTTCTGTCTTGATTTTTCCTTTGTGTAATTCTTTAAAAAAAACTCTTTTTTCAATAAATATCATTTAAAAAGAAAAAAGATTCTTCTTCCTTTCTTCCAGTTTCTTTCAAGTTTCCTCATTTCTACCCTATTGTGAGTACACCATAGCCATGTCCGTTTGGTCACATTTTATTAAGTGTTGCAGTAATGCAGTTCAAGTATTTAACATGCACACAAAAGGTTCTGTTTCATTTGTTCATAAGCTTGCCAAAATGTTATAAAACATGTATGGCTTTGGGGTGGTTTGACACAGAAGCTTCATTGTACTAAATAGGTTCTGCTTAAGCCTTCTTTTGTAGAGCTTTTAATATTTTTGGATAGGACAGGACTAGAGGATCCATCAGTCACCTGGCATGAATGCTTAAGGCATTAAAATGTATACAAATCCATTCACAATTGCCCCAAATTTTCAGTATAATGGCAAGAGAACCAACCAAAAATGAATTTTTAAAATTAATAATTAAATGTGGTTATACCTAAATCCAGATTTGTCTGTTCAGTTGAACAGACACATGGAATCTATGCAACTGACCTTACTCTTCCAAATTACAAGTACCCAACTGGCAAGCAATACCACCCACACAGAATTACGGAGTTGGGTGGGACCTTAGAAGTCATCTAGTCCAACCCCCTCCACAATATTTTCAGTTGCATGAACTCCATGTTTCTGTTCCAGTGACCAAATGCATTTGGAGTTTTGCTCCACTTCTCCATCACCGACATACATCCTGCTCCAAGTTAGCGATGAAGCTTGAACCAAACACAATATAGCACATCACAATACACCATACACATATTGCCTAAATAAAGTTTCCTGGCATTTGTGGAGTTTCTGTGAACATGGAAAGCCCTTAACAAAACATGTTAAACTCAGAGTGGAGTTTTTTTTGTTAATTTATACTTGCTTTATAATCTTAATTTTCTAAAAAGGTCTGAACCATTCTTAAAAAGAGAACCATGTTTAGGCCACAAGCTATTTAATTATAATGTGAGCACCTATTATTGTCTTAGCTAGGTAAACCGACTTCGGTTTTAAAAGTTACTGCCAGCCCTGCAAAATCGCTATCTGAAACTCAAGCTAGATTTCTGCTCTTATATCCTTAGGTGGATTAAACTACATTGTTTACCTGTTTAATTTATTGTGTTTGCATGGTTTGTGCATATGCAACTCATTAGTTATACAATGCTAGTTTGAATGTTTTTTGTCAGTGCCAAGGGCAGAGTCATCTTTTAGTCCCCTGCAGTACAGAAGCCTTTTGCAAACACTACTATTTATTTAATGTCTCCATGGAATAACAGCCAGAAACTTGATTTTTAGAAGAATCTAAAATGCTAGTTACTAGATTCTGCAACTGTTACTAGATTCCATGCATGCTGCAACAAAAAAATGCAGATGAGTACATATCTTAACATAAGGAAAGGAGGAATCTGAATAATTTCGGGTACAGTACTGTACTTTTATCCTCTACTGCAAGGGTGAAATTGTGACTATCTTTCTAGCCAGTAATTTTCTTTTTTCATAGCTCTGGCTACCAACACTTTCTTAATGATTTATGTCCCATCAAAACTAACAATTAGTCCATAACCTGGGAATTCACAAACTTCATTTCTCACCATCAATTTCTAGTAGTTTCTGCAGGAGGTGGATCTAAGTCACTTCTGCAAAGCAGAAAACATTATCATCCCCTTCTTTCGTTCATGCATAAGTATGATATTGCAATTAAAGCACAACAGTACATGCAATACTTATGAACATATGCACATGTCTGATATCTCAACTAAGGTTTTTTGAGGCAGAAGGCAGAAATGACAAGGTCTATTTTTGGACAAGAACTGCTTGTCAAGATTAAGGCAGATTCCCACATGACCAACCTGTCCAGATCACATGATGTTACACCCTTTAATATATATATTTCTAGGTAAGTGTACCTAAGGACAGGCTACACAACTCAAGTTTGACTAGAAACATTTTCTGGTCTTTGGGAGGAAGGAAAGGCACCTATTTATTTGAAGTTACTACAAGATTGAAATACTAGTAACTCCCCCCCCCCATTATCTTCCATCTATTCAGGATCCTTTATAAACACAGAACAGTCATCCTTATTCTATTGTTTCTAAACAATCTATGTACCACAGAGGGCAATTAAAAAAGTTTAAGGGTTTGAGAATAATTTCATTTTTAAATGGCTTAAAAAAATAATGCATGTTAAAAAATAGAGTTAGAAAAAAAGTGGGCTATTAGACTTTATGGGCTTATTTGCAAGGCTACATTGCTGCCCTGTAATTCCATACTCTGTGTCACCATTTGCCTACTTAATTCTTAATTTATCTCATTTAAAGTGTTCAAACTGTTTCCTATATTCTATTTCAGCTATTTTTAATAATATTTACAACTACAAAGTTATTCTCACAGAAGACACTAATCCTAACTATGGCTAACCATGAATGAGCAAGCATATTGGGGGCACATTTAGAAAACAGCAGCCACTTTGCTCCCCCACACAGTGCAGATGCTATTGTGCTGCTGGGAGCTAAGCCATGTTTGGCTTAGAGTTACAAAGCAAAGCAAACATGATTGCTTGTTCATACTTTGGGCTTAGCATTACATATGAACCAGGACAACAGGTCAGATAGGCGGGCTGAAAGAGTTATGACTTGCCGAAGGCACTCACTGAATTTGCAGAAAAAGTCAGTTTGCAGCAGAAGAGATTTGCATCAGGGATGCTACAGTTGATCAATTCTATGCTTTGTTACTATGCTAAGCAAGATGTAGTTTTTGTTTTAATTCTGATCTCAGTTACAGAAATTACAACAGAGGCCAGAGTTACCAAACATGAGGCAAGAGAAGAAAAGGGAGGGGGGGAAACTGGACAGAGTAGTAAACCAATGATCAACTGCTGAGATCTGAAGTACAATACAAATTAAAATTCCCTTAGAAATGTCTATATACTTTGGAGGTAATGTAAGTTAGAACTATGGGCAGTTAAATGTAGGCCTCTCTCTATTTTAGTAGAAAGGCCACCTCAGAGTGTCCCTTCCTAGGAGCAATATTAGTACCCATTATCTAAAAGGTACTACCTACCATGCTGAAGGGACGCGCATGGCACTGCGGGTTAAACCATAGAGCCTAGGACTTGCCGATCAGAAGGTTGGTAATCCCCGCGACGGGGTGAGCTCCCATTGCTCGGTCCCTGCTCCTGCCCACCTAGCAGTTCGAAAGCACATCAAAGTGCAAGTAGATAGGTACCGCTCCGGCAGGAAGGTAAATGGCGTGTCCATGCACTGCTCTGGTTCGCCAGAAGCGGCTTAGTCATGCTGGCCACATGACCCGGAAGCTGTTCGCCGGCTCCCTTGGCCAATAAAGCGAGATGAGCGCTGCAACCCCAGAGTCGGCCACGACTGGACCTAATGGTCAGGGGTCCCTTTAACTTTACCATGCTGAAGGTAAATCATCTACCCATATTAAAACAGCAATTCAATTACATACTTTAGGTGTCAGTTCCATTGAGCTCAGTTTGACTCCCTTCTGAGTCAATTGTGCATGAAAGCACAAGACAGAACAAGGACCCAAATTATTAGACAGGACAGTGATTAATTTATTTTAGTTAAGAAATATGAATCAAGGGAAGATTGTACAAAGAGTTGGGGGGAAAAGAATAATGTTGCTAAAATCCATTTTTATCTTACAGTTTCATTTTCACATCAGGTAGCTCCAGAGGAACAAAGATTTTGGGCCAGATTCAACTGAACAGTTGCTCTGGCAGGGCCAGCTCAACAAGTCCTGCTAACACAATGGGGCTTTCCACCACTCTCCTCTGCACCGCCTCCCGCCAAAACAGTTCGGTTCTGTGTTTTAGTTAGATGAAAATTACTGCAGCTTTCTTTCAGTTAATTGAACAGAGTAGAATCTCTAGGGATTTAATCTCTAGAAAATTAAGGAAGAAAATGCTTCTTCTATTAGTAAAATAACGTATGAGCTCAAAACAACAAAATATTTCTTTCTAGATATAATTGTGTTATTCTGTTACTATATCCAATATGTCACTTCTTCTGAGACATATGTAACTACCCCACTTTTTAATTTTTGACTACATATATTACACTATGCAAAATGTTAACATTTATGCATTTTTGAGGCAGCCAAGATTTAATCAGCTGGCCAGTTGTTTTTAAAAAGCGAACAAACCAAAAAAAAAGTTAATGAGTCAGATCAAACTTTTGCCCTTAACTGCCGACAGCAGCGTTCATGACATCATGCCAGTGCTGGGGATTGTCATGGATTCTATTCAGACGCCAATAGCTCAGTCGGTAAGGCATGAGACACTTAATCTCAGGGGCGTGGGTTCAAGACGAATGTTGGGCAAAAGATTCCTGCACTGCAGAGGGTTGGACCAGATAATCTCTGTGGTCCCTTCCAACTCTACAGTTCTATGATTCAATCTATGTGCACTTTATACCAGGGCTAACCCTTTCTCCCTATTCTATAAGCCACCACTCAGCTCACCACTGAAGGATAAGAAAAAGGGCTGCCTTTGTTCACTACAGATCACATAAACCATGAGATTATTCAGTATTTGGAGATAAAGCATGGTCATGCTCACTGAAAGCAATATTCAAATATATAGAAATACTTGCTTCTACATCTCAATTCAGTCTGGACACACCATCAATTGTGGCTCCAATATATAATCAACTCTGATAATTCACATTAACATTTTTATCGTACAATATTAACTCCAATATTCTTTTTGGAATTAGGATGTTCATGGTAGTATATATATAGGATTTTTTTGTGATCAGCATTTATCTGCTTCTCACTTTTCTTTTCCTGTTTTAGAGGGTTTTGGGGGTTTTTTGGGGCGGGTAGCCTAGTTGGCATATTCTGGTCTCCTCAAAGCCCAAGGTTGGGACAGAAAGACAAACTGCTAAAGTGATCAAACAAGCTTCTTTGTTAAGTTAATAGTTCTAGCTATGTGTTAAGTATTTCTCTGCATGACTTAAGAATTCAGCTGACTGGTTGCCACAGAAACTACTAACTGATGCTTTCAGAAGCAGAATAAAGGGGGGGGGGCTTCTCTCCTGTCTGTCTGGAGGGAATGCAATGGGGCAAGTATAAGAAGAAAATTGGGCTGGAAAGAGACTCAGGCTTGACTTGCTCTGTGTGCTGAATCCAAAGTTCTGGCTTGCAGGGCAGGGGGACAATGAGAGATCCAATAGGGTAGCAATATTATTTGTGTGTAAATAAAAACATCTATCACACAAAAACCAGACAGAATGTCCTTCATCTAAGCCTGAGTTGTATGCTGGCACTCTTGAAATCTCTCACTACTTAGAGAGACTGACATGTGCACAACATACCTATCTCATTATTTATACCCCAGTCCATAACTACATTTGGTTAAACTTTCCCTTATTAAATGGAAACATCAGACATTAATCAATAGCTGCTTCAATAGACAGACACTGAACAGTCCATGATCATCTAGTAAGTGTTGTGTCCATACATGTGTTCATATACATTCATCCCCTTCCTGTTACTAAATTGGAGTAGCATGGGAACTACTGTAAAGCGAAAAGACATAATCCAAAGGAAATTTTTCATTTATAAAACTGATGTTTTATGAAACAAAACATGCTCAGAAAAAAAGTTTCAAAAGAATGAACCAACAGTGGTAATTTTTCCACTTGTTACGTAGTGAACTGCCCTTCACTTCCGAATCACTGCTCCTGGCTGAGTTGGGTTATGAGAAGAGACACAATGGGAAGATGTTTAGTCTGCCACAGCCCTAGAGGGAAGAAACATGGTCAAGTGACTAAAGCAGCAACCTGCCCCTTCTGACTCCTAGAGCTGGAGTAAGAAGCTTCTTTTGCCTCTTATCAACTGTATTTGAGATCACAACCCGTTTACTTTATTCAGTGCTCTTTTTTCTCTAGAAAAAACTGTTTAGGGGTACTCTCATATTCCTACTCATATTGAAATACTGCCCCTCAATGAGACCAAACTTAGATTCACAAAACATTTGGGGGTATGTGTACCCCCACATCCCCCCAGAAAAAAACACTGCCTTTGCCACATTAAACTTACTGACAACAGCAGCCAGTGCTGTCTCCATGGTCTCTGTAAGTACTGTTTTTTAAGAAGAGTGTTGCTAATTAATTTTCTTAAACACATGACTAACAAACCTCCTGCCATTATAACAGGAAGGATGTGTTGAAGGACAGCCTGTATATTGCAGAAACATCATAGGAAGGGAAGTTGCAAAGCTTCTGTTCCCAACAGTGCCTTCCTACCTTCCATGAATGGCAGCCAACCCCATAGGTATGTGGGCAGGCCATTTAACCCATTTGAACACATCCATTTGTCCTACAGAATTCTGTAGCAGATACTAAGAGCCATGGCACCCTATCTGGATTACCCTTCATGGGCTCCACTGCTTGGAGAGAAGCTGGTGCCGTGAAAAGTTAATCTTATTTTATTATTTGTCTTATTAGTTTATAAGCCTGCCCTGTTCCTACTGCTGCCATACTGCCGGGGAACAAATCAGAGTCTGACTTGAGAGGATGCTTGAACCAAAGCTCATGGTTTGTTTCTCTCCAAACAAGCCATGGGTAACCAAGGCTTGCTCTTGGGGGAAACAAACCATGAACCTGGGTTTGGAGGGATATGACAAGTCCTACTGTAGTTTGATTTGTCTGCAGTGCAGCAGCAGCAAGAGCAGGAAAGGAGTGCAGCATAAACTTTTCAGCAGCAGGCAGCACTACACTCCTATATGTTAATGTTAAACTGACATTTATGGTTTAAATTTTACATGCATACTTGACCATTTTCAACGGGAAGTCTGGATGGCACACCACCTGTTTCTTCCTCTCACCTGCTGTTATGTCATTTTTAAAATGTAGACTGTGACACCACTCAATTTATTGGTCAAATATTAAATTGTCGGTTTTAAAAAATAAAATCCTTTTCTAAGTGGTAGTCTATTTTATTATATATTATCTTCCAGTTTCAATAGCAGGAATGCAGGCCTATCCTGCTGTTAGACACACAGTGCCAAACTAACATAAGCACTTGCTCCCTCTACCCCATAACTCTCTTAAGAAAACAGCTGCCCTCCATTATATCACACAGTCTCACCTTATTCAACTGTTATCTCTGTTCACACGCACTCAATAGCAAGCAGGATGCACCTGCACTTTTCACAGTGACACAGGTGTAGCTGGTTAGGATTTTACATTAGGTTGGTCACTGCTTGGTAGAATGAACATGCGTGCACCATTAAGACTTTATACTAAGAAAGTGAAAGCACCAAGTCTGTGCATGTCCATATAGCTCTGCCCTTTAAAGATATTGCATCACAATACTTGGAGAAGGGGGGAAAGTGGTGGATTGCTCAGTTCTGATGCAGACAATAGTCTGAATGATTCAGGTCACTTTGCACAGGAATTCACAAAGATCCAATTCCTAAAGGATTCCATGCTAATATTGACCTTCTGCTCATGAAAGCCGTCAAAGTGAGACGATGAAGCTAAGTTGGGTATATTTGCTCTTCTACATATATACGCCAAGGTTGATCTGCCAACATTCTAAGACGACTGAAATCACAAAAACTTGTCTTGGTAACCAGTCTCAAAGAGTAATATCTATCTACACACACACACACACACACACACACACACTTTAGGCCAAGGTTGGGCATATGTGATCAAACATCAGCTTTTGCCACCTTCATAAAGCAGTAAGGTTCAACAATTGATAATATTCCTAAAGTCAACATGACTTTAAGGATACATGTCATAGCATTGCATTTGTTTTTAACTATGTCATTGAGATTCCAGGACCACTGACTATTAGAAGCAGCTTCAGTTTTTGCAGCCTGATGATGCTAGCAACGTGTTTGTGAACATGCATTCAACTATTTCCCCCTCACAACCCTTGTCCGTCATGGCTAATTAAAGCCTGGGTGGGTTCAGGGTGTGGTGAATGTGCCTTTGTATGAGAGGGGTGTGCCTGGCACCTTGAAGGAGGCAGCTGTGTGGCCACTCTTAAACCTCATCTTGGACCTGATGGCATTTAACAGTTGAAAATATCCACTTTAAGGGTAAGGTAAAGGGAACCCTGACCTAAGGGTAATGTACTGAGCGCAATTTTAGACGTTCTTGTAGGAAGCAAATTATCTGGGTTATGATCTGGGCTCAGGACTGGATCAGCCTTCAGAGGGAGGGGAGTAAACCCTTGCTCAATCTCTTATGAACTTCTGATACAATTGACCATGGTATCGTCAGACAGTCTATGAGATGAGGAATCTATCCTGCAATGGCTATGGTTTAAACTTAAGGCAGTGTTTCTCAAACTTGGGTCTCCAGCTACTGTTCGACTACAACTCCCATCATCCCTAACTAGCAGGACCAGTGGTCAGGGATGATGGGAGTTATAGTCCAGCAACAGCTGGGGTGCAAGTTTGAGAAACACTGCCTTGAGGGATGGTTCTAGATCAGGGGTAGTCAACCTTTTTATACCTACCACCCACTAATGCATCTTTCTTGATGGTAAAATTTTCTTACTGTCCACCAGTGCTCGATGGAAGGAGGATTCAGCTTGTACCGTAGAACCCCCTACCACCCACCTAGAATCCTGAAATGCCCACTGGTGGGCGGTAGGGACCAGGCTGACAACCCCTGATCTAGATTATTACTGAAAAGTTTAAAAGGCCATAGATTGGCTAATTAAAGGCCTGGGAGAAGAGGAATGTTTTTGCCTGATGCTTAAAGATATGTAATGAAGGCACCAGTAGACACTCCCTGGGGAGAGCATTCCACATGTGGGAAGCCACAGCAGAAAGGCCTGTTCTTGTGTTTCTGCTCTCCAGACCTCTCACTGAGGAGGCACATGGAGAAGGGCCTAAGATTATGATCACAGGGTCTGGGGCGGTTCATACAGGAGGCAGAGTCCTTGAGTTATTACAGTCCTGAGCCATTTAAGGCTTTATAGGTCAAAACCAGCACTTTAAATTGGGCCCAGAAACTAAATGGCAGTGCATGCAATTAGATCAAGATTGGCATTATATGCTCAAACCATCTTGAACTGGATGATTGTTTCTTGGCTCTTAAACTCTGGGGTGCCACAGAGCACCATGCAGTCTCTACTGCTATTTAATATCTATGCTAAGCCTTTGGTTGCCATGATTAGGAAAAATGGAGCAAGATGTCAACAATACATACATCTCTATGTCTCTGTAGCAAATGAATCTGGAATGGTTAAGAAGGTGTCTGTATGCAGTGTTAGCTTGGATGAAACCTAATAAACTGATTCTCAATCCTGGCAAGATGGAGGCTCCATTGGTAAGTGGTTCCCAGATCTGGGAAGTCAATATGTTGCCCATCTGGATGGGGTTCAATACTCCCTGGAGGAGGTGCAAGTGTCCTCAGTGTCTAGGACTGCCTTTTATCAGTTTCAGCAGGTAAGACTATTACGGCCATTTCTGGATTGGGATACTGTGAGCCCTAGTAACCTCAAGGCTCGATTATTGTAACATGCTCTATATGAGGGCTACCCTTGAGGTTGGTCCAGAAAGCTGCTGCTAGTTGCAGAACATGGTGACTAGGATTCTTGTGATGGCAAGCAACCACCAGCATCATGCTTGGGAATTTTTTTTTTACCGGCTGTCAATCTGTTAGTGGTCAAATTCCATGTTTTGGTACTAACATATAAGGTCACAAAGTTCAGGACCAGGTTACTTGAGAAGACTGACTTTTATGTACCCAGTAGGTTACACTACATTCTTTAGGACTGTTTCTCATCCAAGTCCCAAATATATCAGAAGACCACTTCATAGTGGCCAGAGCAGGGCTTTCAGTGTGGCTGTCCCTGTTCTGTGGCACAGCATTCCTGTCAGGATAAGACAGACGCCCACTATCAGTACTTTCCAGAATCAACTGAATACCTTCTTGTTTTGACAGGCTTTTCCAACTGGATGAAAAGTTATCTGCCTTAGGTTTAAAAACAGTACACAATGATCATCCCTCTTCAGTTATTTCTGTACTGTTTTAAAAACTATTTCAGCTGTGTTTATGATATTTCTGAATCACCCTAACACATATGTAAGAGGTGATTCATAAATTAAAAAATAATAATAGGTAACAAATCTCACATGTTTAATGGATAAGCGGCACATCTCTCTAACTAAAATAATCTTGTTAGCAAATACCTTAAGAGAAATTCCTTTGGCATGACTTGGTTTGCACATAACGCTAAGATATACTTTGGGCAGTCCACACAGGTGTGCAGGCTCCCAGAGAGATTACCAGTATATTGTTCCTCCTCTAGTCCTACTGTACCCATTGGGAGCTAAGTCACACAAATTCAACCTATGTCTCACCCCTGACAACCCACAAGCTGTAATCGAAGTTTTGTTCAAATACGCAGTCAGTGTTTTCAGTCCTATATTCCTAGACCAAAACACACATTTATTTCTCTATCTCAAGGGTTCCCAAACAGTGGTCCCTGGACCACTAGTTGTACACTTGTTTCATGAAGCTGGTCTGTGGTGTGTACACATTAAATATTCAAATTGATTTTAATTGTGGCTTATTGTTCTTGATTGTATTAGAATTCAAACTGGAATGTAATAAAATACAATCAAAGAGGAGAGAAAGAACCACAAAAATACAATTAAAAATCATACAGCACAGTGCATTACAACTTTTACAATGGACAGAAAAATCATTAGGTGGTCCACTAACACCCTGAGCAATTTTCAAGTGGCCATGAGAAAAAAGTTTGGGAATCACTGCTCTACTTTACTGTATTTCCCAACTTCTTAATACTTAACATCTGCAGCTCTCAGAGGGCATTGTGCCACAGTTCTACTTTGCACATAGTGAAGCAAATATGCTAAAGTTGAACAAGCTGACCTATTCCAGTATTTACCTCACGTATGTACTAAATTTACTTCCTTCCAATCAAGTCCCCTTCTCCTCAGCAAAGCTGCTTAATCTAGATTCAGCAGTGACAAGATGTATGATTGGCAGATACACCATGTCTGAAGATTGGATGGGGAAAAGGAGAGAAACCTTGGACTTTGTAAGCACAGTTAGAGCACCAAACTTCATCTGACACCAATGTTAGAGAATATATGGTAGCCATACCATATATAGCATTTCAAATATTTGAAGCCAAAGTCATTTAGGGCTAGAAACACTAACATAAGCACTTTGAATGGGACCCAGAAACAACCTGGCAACCAGCGCAGCTGTATTAAAGCAGGAGGTATTAGATGAGCTGCACATTTGTTGCCGTTTAACTTTCCAAATAGTCTTCAAGGGCAATCTCAAGAAGAGCACATGGCAATAGTTCGATCTGGATGTTACCACAGCATGGAAACCGTGGCCAAGTCATCCCTGCCCAAGTGAGGCCACAGCTAGAGAACCAGCCAGAGCTAGAAAAAGACAATGCTAGCCACTGAAGCTACCTGAACCTCCAGTGGTAGCACTGGATACATGAAAATTCCCAAGCTAAAGGACAGCAACCCTGTTCAGAACATGCTATCTCCCCAGCTCCCAGACTCCCAAACTGAACCATATGTGAAAGGCTCAATATTATTTAATACAAAAGTAAATGCAATGGAGGGCCAAGGATTCACACCAGCCCCAAGAAGCTAGACTTGCTGTCCTGATAGAAATAGCCAAGAATAAGCCTGGCTCATCTCAACATAATGTCCAAAAATAGTATCATCCAGAAAGCCAGCAGTTGGGTGGACAGTGCACTTTTTGAGCCTTTAGCTGATCTCTGGTCTTGGTCTAACACATGAGACAAGTTAAGCAAGATACATCTTTCAAGAACCAAGATATCTGTACATCACCATCAGTCTCCTAATCATTTACTGAAATCCTATCAACAGCTCAGCTGATTCTATCAGAGTTAAAAGGTACATATACAGTTGTACTCCTCATATCGCATCCAGAATTATATATAATTAAAGTTGTATTACCACTAATTGTTGTATCCTATTTCAGGTTGCTTGGGTTCAGAGGCCCAGCTACCTTGGTTTGTGTCCATAGCTGTATTTGCTTTTCCACTACATTTTCTCCTGACCATCACAACTGCAAGCTTCCCACCGCCCCTTCTACTCCCACTCTAGCCCCTAGCACAGGGGTTGTCAACCTGGTCCCTACCGCCCACTAGTGGGTGCTTCAGGATTCTAGGTGGGCAGTAGGGGGTTCTACAGCACAAGCTGAATCCTCCTTGCATCGATCCCTGGTGGGTGGTAAGGAAATTTTACCATCAAGAAAGATGCATTAGTGGGCGGTAGATAGATAATTTATAACGGTCAAAGACCAGCTCGCTAATGGGCGGTAGGTATAAAAAGGTTGACTACCCCTGCTCAAGCACATCCCTTTGAACCAATAACTAACTACCAGGTGACTGAGCAGGCAAACAGATGGACAAAATCTACAGCCATTAAGGCATAAACTTAACAACAAACTTCTTATCCTAGATACACTCCTGTGTTTAATGTTGGAGCGCCACTTCATATCCCAGGATATTTGCTACTTTGTAGCTGGAGGTGCTTGGAGTTCAAGCAACTACACACACCAGAAAAGCTGAAGACCAAATATTAGTTAAACTTGATTTATACAGTGGTACCTCGGGTTAAGTACTTAATTCTTTCTGGAGGTCCGTACTTAACCTGAAACTGTTCTTAACCTGAAGCACCACTTTAGCTAATGGGGCCTCCCACTGGAGCACGATTTCTGTTCTCATCCTGAAGCAAAGTTCTTAACCTGAAGCACTATTTCTGGGTTAGCGGAGTCTGTAACCTGAAGCGTCTGTAACCTGAGGTACCACTATACTTTGTTTTATTCACCAAGACAGTACGCTAGGTTAACTGAAAACTAGCTATGAGCCCAGCAGATGAAGAAATAATAATATTGACTGGAAATGCACACTTTCTTTTTTTCCAAACTATATACAATTGAGAATATAATGCCAATCCAGGCCAGACTGCACTGGCTACCGATTAGTTTCCGGGCCCAATTCAAAATGTCCAACATGGCTCAGGACCTCAATACCTTAAGAGCCACCTCTCCCTATATGAACTGACCTGGACACTGTGCTTGTCATCCGAGACTCTTCCCTATGTTCCCCCTCTCTGAGTTCAGAGGGTGACAACAAGAGGACAGGCCTTTTCTGTGGTGGCTCCCCATCTGTGGATTCTCTCCCCAGAGAGGCTCACCTGGCACTATCATTACATATCTTTAGGCACCAGGCAAAAACATTCCTCTTTACCCAGGCCTTCAGCCATTAAATAATCTATGGCTTGTTCAAGGTGGGGGGAATGTAATGATGATTATTTTTACTACTGTGCTGTCTACGATTATACTTTGTTTTATGTTTTTATTATTATGCTCCATAAAATATGTTTTTAATGTTGTCCATCAACCTTTGATCTTTTGATAAAGGGCAGTATGTAAGCTGAATAAATTATTACTACTACTAAAGTAAACATTCCTAGGCAGACCTAACAGTACTGTTGGGAGTAGAAAAGGCTAACTAGGTGATTTAAGGAAGCTCAGGGAAACTCACTTTCAGCCAAACTGAAGACTAGCTCCAAATACCTCTGCCAAGCAATTTGCCTTTTGCAGCAAAAGTCTTATGGCACCTTAAAACAAGAACGAAAATTATTAAACCTTAATTATTGGAGTCGACTTCGTAAGAAGTGATTTCAGTAGAACTTCCAGCAACAGAAATTCTGCAAGTGAAGAACTCACTGAGCACCAATTAAAATATATGCCAGATTATTTATTTTCAGGAGCTATTCTGTTCTCCAGGTCCTTGCTCAGGGGCTCAAACAATCCAACCACTTACAGATGATCAGAATAAGTGGCATTAAGACAGGCATGCAAGTTCTGAAACAGGTTAACTGACTGCCTATTTACTCATTGTCAAATATTCCAAGCATGCCACTGGGTAGATGCCAGCCTACCATTTTTATTTAATTACAGAAACATTTATCAGTAAGAGGAAAAACAGGTTGTCCCTTCCTCTGCAGTAGCCAGGGGGCTAAATCTAGTACTAGTTACCCATTTATAGCTGCAGTCATCTCCAAATACAAGTAGGGAGTGGCAGAGGTCTTTGCCTTGTTATGTACTTGTTATCGCACTAGATAAGTAAGACTCTGGTTCTAATTCCCATTCATTCATGATCACTTCAACATTAGACCACTCCTACTCAGACTAACCTACTTCCCAGGGTTGTGGCAAGGGTAATGGAGGAGATACTGTACACCACGCTGAAGTCCTTGGGAAAGAGGTGCATAAACATGGAATAAAAATGATGGCAATTTTTGAAAGCTAGCCATAGGGTCACAAAACAACTTTCTTGTTACTCTATTGAACCTGATTATCTTTTTTGTTGTTATAATATTAAAGGATCGACAATACTGACAGTGTTTTTGATTGGACAGATATTGAATCCTAATTGGCATCATTTTGTATTAATGGCTTCACAGGTATGCAGCATATACTCAATTGCCAGGAAGTCAGTGATTAAGCGACTGAGGAATTAAATAGCAGCTAATTGTCCAGCAGCAGTTCTTCACTATTTCTTGCCTACTATGGAAAGGCAATCTTAACATATATAAGTAATTCTCATTCAAGCGGAACGCTAAGTAAAAATTGTTACTGAGCCTTGATTAGAAGCTGGTAGGGCTAACTAGGGACTAGATAATGCTGCTTTGGAATTCAGATCCAACTCACAGGCACCAGCTTGTTATCTTTCGCACAGAGCATTAATGAAGGCCCAGATTCTAAGCCAGGTTAACTTCTTCTAGAAATGTGGCATTTGAGGTTTACACTTTATTCACATTTAGTTAGAGGTCCTTGCATCCAAGCTTATCTGAGCCTACTGAATTATTAACTCCACAACACTTGCAGGCAACTCAGCTACTCACTTAAATTTCAATAGTGACCAATATGTAAAATAAGTCCAAATTATGTTCACTGGAGACATTGGTTTTTATAGCAATTTTAAGTGCCATGCCTTTCTCCAATGAATGCTTTAGTATGGAAAGGGCATAAAGAATTCTGTGTGATATCCCAATCCCCCCACAAACAGAATCACTCTACCAGGGTTTTGTAGGGAGAGGAAATAAGTTATGAAACTTGTTCAGGTGTGTGGAAAAGAGATGCTTTTATTCTCATAACTCAGTTGTTGCCTGCCCTACAACATTTTAAATGGTTTCAGAGTTCCTGCTCTACCACAGCTGTCCAGATATATTCAACGGTTCCTGAAGGTTAGATATCTTGAAATTTGCCAATTCTAATTTAAAATAGCTGCTTCTAAGCTAAAGAAACAAAATTATTTATGAAAATTGTCTTTTTAAAAATGTCTTTGATATTTAACAGCCTTATCAGAAGCTATCAATTTCAGGGTGTCTTTTTGTATCAATTACAGGTGCATGCAAGTCACTTGGGCCTTTTTACAACTTCCTCCTTGCTCCATGTTACAATATGGTTTTTGATAGATGTAGCTCCCTACCAGTCCAAAGCATATGGTAGATAAATATTCATTCTCACTTGAACTATTGTTTAGTTCCTGGGTGCCAGCATCACTTACACACCAAGGTAACAAGACCCTCAGGAGTATCAGAGCTGCAAAACTATAGCAGATAACATTGATCCCATTGATTAGATTCCACAATATTAAAATTGTTTACTGTAAATGAACAACATAACTTTGGTACACTTCCCATGTTTTTCAAGCCACCCCATATCTACCTAACTTCTTATTTCATATTATCTTTCTCTTGTATTATCTTGTAATACAGCCCCAGGGCCTTGATCTTCTACAGCTTCCTTCACAGCCTTTCATATCTCTTACAGAAGAGAGGATGTAACTCCTAGCAATCAATCTAAAGTGGCATCAAACACAGCCTTCTATCTGGTGGCCACTCTTATTTTGTATAGCATTTAACTCAGGAGTCAGCAATCTTTTCCAGTCATGGGCCGGTCCACCATCTCTCAGACCATGTGGGGGGCCGGACTATATTTTTTTTTGGGGGGGGGGGAGATGAATGAATTCCTATGCCCCACAAATAACCCAGAGATGCATTTTAAATAAAAGCACACATTCTACTCATGTAAAAACACGCTGATTCCTGAACCATCCGCGGGCCGGATTGAGAAGGCAAGTGGGCCGCATCTGGCCCACGAGCCTTAGGTTGCCTACCCCTGATTTTAACTGTATGCATGTGTGCAACACAAAGATAGAGGAAAGTCAGAGGTACCTGAAAGAAAGGCATAAAAAAATTATCAAAACACAGAAACAGCAGCAACACAACACCTGCTGATACATAAGTGATGGTGCTGGAGATTAGTTTCTATTCATGCATCACCTTTTATCTTCTAGACCACTTCCAATGCATCAGCTTTCTTAAATTTTAGAGAAAGGCAAGCAGTAATTTAAAAGCTGCACTTAAATAATACAAGGTAATAATGTTTACCTTTTTAAAAGATAAAGTTAGTTGAAGGTTCTGGTGGACTGAATGTATAAATGTGGACAAATCTTTAAATTTAAAAGAGCTTTATTTTATATCAGTATTTTTAAACAGTCTCAAAGTTATTGGTTGCCTTTCTTCAGAATAAGTTGAATGCAATAAAAGGAATAAAAACTATCCCTCCCACCCCCAAAAGGGCAACATTTCTGTTCACATTTATGTATACACGTTTTGAAGAAAACTTCATTTTGGGTTGCTATGAAAGGTTTCTCCTTTTCACTGCAAAGGATCTTGCCCCATTTTCCTTGAATCCCCCCTTAATATTTTTTTGAAAAAAAAAGTTGGACAGGCCTAACAGTACCAAGGGTATTTCCATAAAGTCACAGTTATGAAAATCACTTTGTTTTTTAAAAAATGGGATCTTGCCTTAAATCTGTATCAAATCAATTCTCCTGCTGATGAAAAGGGTTATGAGAACAACTACTTTCATTAAAAAAAAAAAAAACCACAGCAGAACTATTAAATCTTGGTTGCAGTATGAAAACAATCCTGAAATCCAGCTACACGAATTCTAGAAACGTTTCTCAAATGCATGGCAGGCACTGAATCCATAGACCAATGCCAAGATCTCATTTCTTTCCTCTGTGTAAATGCGACATAGTCAGGCCTAGTATGTAGGCCTCTGATACAGGCAGGACCTTTGTTCCATACATCGTTGTTTTTCCCTAAAGCCTCCGATAAAACTTTCCACTCACCCCGCCCTAATGTTTCCTTGTTCCTAATCTAAACTTTTTCGAATTCCTGATGCCTTTAAAAACCCTACTGCGAAGAACACCCCACCCCGACAGGACTAGCCATTAGGAGGAACAATAAAAGTTGTACAGCAGGAGGCTGGGCCTGTACGGCTGGCAAAAGCCCCGGTATCAGTTTGAATGCTAGCCCGGTAGTAGTCGGCAGATACAAAAGCGAGGCGTGAGGAGAAAAAAAGAATGTAAATAGCCAAATACGACGCGTTATGCAAACAAGCCTCACGCTAGTTTCTTCTCGAAGGCGTCAGGAACACAAACCAACTCTAAAATCATAGGGGTGAAAGGAATCTGCTCCGGTAATGGGACCAAGTGCCGAAAGGGACTGGATAAACAAACACCCTTTTCCGCTTAGCAGAGTACGATTTCCCCCTTCCCCAGCCCCCAAAGCCAGGCCAATATGGAGTCAGCAGATCATTTAGCATTTCTCTCTTTTTTTTATTGTCGACGCCGACGCCGCCGTTGGGCTAAAAGGGGGCTGCTTTCCACCCTCCCCTACGCCTAATTCCGTGGGACTCAGTAGCTCACTTCAAGAAAACAAAATAAAAAGGGGCCTCCCTGGGGAGGACAGGGGCTAGCAAAGAGGTTGGGGGGAGTTTGTGAAGCAGGGCCGAATACAAACCCGGGCGCAGTGTCAACACTGACATTGTCCTTTTGTATTTAATCACACACAAGCCAGAACGCCAATCTTAACCGTGGCGGGGGGGGGGAGGTTTAAAGGTAGGCCCGCAAAGAGGAGTACGGCTGCGATATGGGGCATCCTGCGCTCCTGTGAACCCAGGCATAAAAGGTGGGGTCCAGATTCATCCCATGAACAGAGAGCCGCTTACACGGGAGCGTGGAAGGCGAAGAAAAGAAGGGAAGGGCTGAATGACGATAAAGCTTCAGGCAGCCGTTTGGCCATTTTGTCAGCTCCCATTTCTGCCACCCTGGCTGCTTCTCCTCTTCACTATTCCTCTTCTTAGGAACGGAGCGAGGGGGTCGGGGAGAAAGAAGCCAACCTTTTCCGTTTAGTATTTCCTCCTCCTCCTCCGCCCCCCCCAACACCTTGTATATTAGGTACATATTAGGAGACCTCTTTATGGCGAGGACTTCCTGAAAACCTATTCAAGGCCTCAAAGCCACCACACACACACATACCACCAACCTTCCCCTTTCTCTCCCACCCGCCCCCGTCTGGCCCGGGACTACCTCACCACCAACCTCCCCCTGTCATGTTCTCACCCAACGCCGCCCCACATTCCCCGACTCCGGCCCCCCGGCGAAGAACGGGCGGAGGGGAGGGGGGGAGCCGAAGAGTCGCTTTCCCTCCCACAGAAACCCCGGCGTTGAAAAACAGGCCTGGTCCGCCTCGAGCCACAGTACCTAGTTTATCCCGACGCGGCCTCTGCAAAAGCGCTCTGTGGCTCTCCGGCTCCTTTTCTGTCCTGCCCGGCGCCTCTTCCCTTCAATTATCAGCTGAAGCCGCAGCACCGATCAGTGCGCCGTCTGCCTCCGCACCGTACCCCCTCCAGCGGCGTAGGGGGAGGCCGGGGACTACTTTACCCCCAAAGGGGCCCGGGGGCCCCCGTTCTCCCCCCCCCCCACTCGCCAGCAGCGGGTGTTCTCCTCCTGCCCGCCTTGGCGCTCCCTGCCGCGGAGCCGGCAGCCCCCCCCTCTCCTCCCACACGTCAAGGATCGGCGGCGGTTCTATCCTTGCCGTCCCCCTCCGCTCGTCTCAGACGTTCCTTGGCTGAAAAAGAGGTATCCCTCCGCTGGGGTCGTCACCCCCGGGGTGCGCGCAAGCGTTTATCCCCCACAGGGTCAGCGAAGCCACTGGCGGCGGCGGCGGCGGCCTCCCCGTTGGCGGTTTCGCCCCGATTTAGAGACTTCCTCCCCCCCGTACGTTCGCGGGTGGTGTAAGACCCGCCGACGTCCAGCACGGAGGAGCTTGCCCGTCTCCTTTAAGAGGGGAGGCTGGGCTTCCCGTGACCTCTCCGTGCGGCCGCCCCTTCCTGGTTGCCATAGCGATTGGCCGCTGGCGTCCTAAAATGGCGTCGCTCCTCACAGACACTTTGTTCGAGGCGCGAGGGCAGGCCCCGGCGCCCAGCAAAGACTTCTACCAGCTCCTTGTCACCAAGAAGGAGGTGAGTGAATTACCTCCCCTCTCAGGGGGTCCTCCACAGATTTCTCCTCCTCCTCCTCCTCCTTTCTCGCTGTTGTTACGGGGTGAGCGGCGACGGCCTGACGTGATAGCGAAAAAAGTAATGGAAGTTGCCTCACTCGAATTTAGGGCTATTCGTTAGTTCTTCCCAGGACTGAACAGGTGCATCCTAGAAAAGTGTAGGGGAAATTCTCCGCGCGCTCGACTTGCTTCTCATTCAGGAAGGGAAATGGGGTCCACTAGAACTTAAGCAAAACATTTCGCTGATAATTAAATTGCCATGCCAAACCTCCCTACTAGAACATTCCTGGGTTCATTCTCTAAATCTCTGATTTGGTAGTCCTGTCCCCTAATCCTAGATGCAGCCTTTATTTTAGGCACATTGTACCTGGTTAAATGCACACCTTTCTGTATGCGTGTCCCCATTTTGAGCTTTCTCATCCTATAGTCCCAGGCATCTCCCATGGAGGTGGGTTTTCCAACAGGAGTTACCGTATTTTTCGCTCTGTAAGACGCACCAGACCACAAGACGCACCTAGTTTTTGGAGGAGGAAAACAAGAAAAAAATATTCTGAATCTCAGAAGCCAAAACAGCAAGAGGGATCGCTGCGCAGTGAAAGCAGCAATCCCTCTTGCTGTTCTGGCTTCTGGGATAGCTGCGCAGCCTGCATTCACTCCATAAGACGCACACACATTTCCCCTTACTTTTTAGGAGGGAAAAAGTGAGTCTTATAGAGCAAAAAATATGGTATATTGGGTGAATTCTAAATAGATGAAAATTCATATTTCTATGTTATACATCCTGCTCCATCAATGACAGGGATAGGGAGCCTCGGGCCCAAGGTCCAAATGAAGCCCTCCAGGACTCTTTTTGGCCCTCAGTGCTCTCCTCAGGCCACACACCCTTCTCAGCCCCTCGTTGGACCACTTTGCACCATCTTTGAGTCTTTCATTTCTGCTTGGATGGAGAATAGAGAGGGATGCAATTGTGAAAAAACCTACCCTATAAGATACAGGGACAAAATTCACATTTATTGCTTACTTTTGCCTCTGACCATGATTTTGACTGTGTGTGTGTGTGTGTGTGTGTGTGTGTGTGTTTTTCAAACATTCCTCCATTCTTTCACCTGAAAAATATGAGGCAATTGGACTCCAATATGTTGCAGGGCTGTATACTTGGCAAATTCCCAGATTGCATTTCTGCACCAAATACCCAAAGGTGCTCTGCATTCTGCAACATTTGTGAATACTTTTTCCAACATCAAATCCTAATAGTGTTACTTACTCAGTAATTCAGTAAAATGTTGTCACAGTGCTATTATAGCTAACAATATTAGCTTTGAAATTCAGATCCTTTCTCTTCTTGGAACTTTGCGTGCACACTCCAAGCATCTTTTGCTCATTCCCAGGTGGGTTTGACCCACTGTTTGAGAAGTAAGGTTTAATCTCTAGTAAAAGTAATATCTCTCCTCCAGAGAGAGTGTTATGGCAAGTTACAGTATTTTGTTTTTAGGCTCTCAGCATTTGTGAGAGAGCCGTATACAGAAATACTATACCTGGTACTGCAAAATTATTTTTAGTGGGTGTATATGTAAATCAAAGTGGCTGTCTGTTCAGGGGGAGACAGTATCCCATATCATTGCCCTTCTTTGACCTGATACTGCTGCGACATCACTCTAGAATCCAAAGAATTGAGAATACTGTCAGTATGCTTTTAATATAGAGGTTTACCTACTAGTTCTGTTGTTTTTTCTGTAGTATAACTGACACATCTCCTAACTGCTTTGATTCCATGGGATCCAGAATCATGAAGGTTCTGTCTCTAGTTGGTGACCTGTTCTGGCAGCTCAGAAGGGGAAATTGAGCTTTATTTTGCTTTTTTCCTTCATCCCTTAAGTTGCTTTTCTGCCACGTTGATCTCTCTGGCACAGTGACTGTTACGGCTGCATCAAAGCAACTGCTTCTGTGGAAGCATTAAGTGAGTGAAACTTTCAGTGTTAAGAAGCCATGTGATTTCCTGGAACAACTTCCTCAAAAATGAAAAGTTTCTGGAAGTATGGAAGAGGAAGCAAAGAACAACATTTTGGTTTTTCTTACTGTAAACTCCCAACAATTTCAGAGGAAAAGAAATACATTTCCACTCTGTGTATGTGAGACACAGTATATCCCCAAACTAATGCATATACGTAATATACAGGGATTGAGATTCTCTTTCAGTTACACCAAATCTGGTGCCTGCAAACAATTTGCCACAATTCTGTTTAGGAAAGAACTTTCCTGAGGGTGCACAGAAATGGAAGAGTACCCGGTTAACATTCCAGCTGCAAGTTATTGTCATGTAATAAAAAGATTCTAAATGTAGAATACAGTATAACTTCTTTGTTTAGATTATGAAAAGAAGTGGAAATTAGTAAGCCCAATATTCTAATCATAAATATACAACCTAAATAACTGTAAAATAAATGTTGTTTGGTTAGTTGTGAGGGAAAGAATCTTTTAGGAGTTGCTCTCCCCCTATAACAGCAGCATGAAATAAAGAATGATGATAATCATGTTGATGATGTTGATAAATATAGCGCTATCTATGTGTATTGCACTTCACAAAGTATGACAGAACAGATACTCGTCCCAGGAGATTTACAATCTATAAAGCAATGCAAGCAAGACAACAAAGGAAGGAGAGATTTTCATTTGAGAATTAATCTTCATGTGAGGGGGATATTCTCTGGATTTTATCTCTATAGTCAAATAATTGCCAAACCCTGGTTGCATGTTGGCATTTCTTTTTAAAATGTATTGGAGATGGGGTGGTGAAGGGAGACTAACAGCAGATCATACGAGGGTACACAGAAGGACATAATGACCAGCAATCCAGAGACACTAATAAAAGCAAGGTAACAGTTGAACTTCTAAGATTTGGTTTTTTAAAAAAAAAGTTTAATAAGCAGTAGTGAGTCATGAATCAAAGAGACTAGGTGGGTAAAAGATGGAAGTCTGTTAATGCAAGGAAGTTGTTCTAGATGGTAAAGTTAAAAGAGTAGGATTATTATGACAAGAAAGAGACAAAGAAATCTGGCACTTAAGCTTCTTAAACAGTGGACTCATAAGATAGGGTTGATAATAGAAATGTAACTAGTGAATATTCTGAATGTGTAAGTAATATTACATCTGTCATCAATTTGATTTGACCAGGCTGGTTAATTACTGTAATGCATGAAATAATTATCTAAGACAAATGCATTGATTTCTATGGAACACCTTATTTCTTTCCATAAAGGTCCAAGTTGTATTTTCCTATATATTTTAACCAGTCTATTTTTCTAGAAAAATAAGTGTCAGAGCTCACCATGAACTTCTCATTTGTTCCCTTAGAATGGCAGTGGTGCCTACCTGAGAGGTGGCAGAACTGAGCTCCAGTGACCTCTGGGTGAAAAAAAGCCCCAATTTTAACATAAATACTTGCGTATAAGATTTCATTAAGTCCTCTTACAGAAAAAAGCACTTCATAAGTTCCACTGATAAAAACATCTAGTTTTAACAGTTTGGTTGCAATTAAGTGAATTTGTTCACCTGCTGCTTCCTTTTATTGTTCCTTTGTCTTCCCTTCAGACTAGATTTCACTGTGGTTGTACATGGACAAGCTAGAGCTAAAATGGTGGGAGGGGCATAATAGATAATTGATCTTTGAGAGAGCTACAGGGCTACGTCTGAGGGAAATTTTTCATCTGGAGAAGAGATGAGCTTATACTTTGTAGCAAAATTCTGAAGTGCTCAGAAACCTGGTTAACTACAACCTTAATTTTGTTCAGAACTTTTTTCTCCATTTGCAAAATAATCATTTTTATGGCAGCTCAAGCATTCAGACCTAGTTAACCAAAGTGTTTCTCAACTGCCCACTTCTTCCAACAGAAAACTATACCATTTGAAGCTATTTCTTTTAATCTATCCAGACTCAAATGTCCTTGAAAAGTGCAGGCAGATGAGTGATTCATGGACGCTTCCCAAAGCATTCTTAAGACAGACTCTAAATGGAGATACAACTTTGAGAATAACAGTGTAGTTTAGTATTATATCGAGAAGTGTATAAAGAGTAAGTATTTTATAAGAATGCAGACAGCTGGAAAGATTAGATTAAACCAGAAATGGGTAAGATAAAATTGCAGGAAAAGGCACTGCTGTTAATGTGGGAGGTGTGGACATGAAACCATTTCAGAGAGAATTGATGATATGACAGGAATGTAGGCATCTGTGTCTCCTTCCCTCCACCCTCTGGGGATTTTTTTCTCTACAGCAAGGATGAGAGTTACAGCTGATTTTAAGTATATTAACAACACTGAAATCCACAAGTTCTATCCTCTGAACACCTAGTTTTCGCAGAGTTTGAATTCATATCTACCTCCTCCGTTAAATTAATCATTTCAACGGTATGTATTGTGCTTGGCCTTCTTTTCCACAGGCCGCATTAGATTTCATTGGGGCCAGCCCACTACTTGCTCAGGAGAAGGGCCGGATTTAGGTTTGATGAGGCCCTAAGCTACTGAAGGTACTGGGGCCCTTTATATGTCCAGCTGTCTTTTATCAACAACAAATTGTCGCTGTTTTTTGTGTTGAATATATGCTATATGGTAATTTATGGACCTGATAGGTATCTAAAGCCATTTGCAAATAACAAAATATGTATTTTATCAGAGTAATTGATATAGAAATGAGCAAACAAGTTATATTTTAGGGAGCAGGCTAGCAGGCGGGGCCCATTACTTACATAGTAGGAGCCTAGACAACACAAAACACGGTTGCTGTATGTAAGTTTTATTTTATTTGTTTTTTATCTTATATTTTGGAAATGTACATCCAGTTGTTTTTTTCTTTAAATTTTTTGGGGGTCCCCAAGAGAGTGGGGCCCTAAGCTATAGCTTGTTTAGCTTATATGTAAATCACTGCTCAGGAGTGATGCTTTCACTTCTTGAAGGTTTTTTAAACAATTTTCTTGCTTCAGTAGAACTTGCTATTTAGTACATTTATATCCTGCCTTCCTTGCATCCCAGAAGTTAAAATGTGTTACATGGGATTCCTAGGTGGTTTCCTATCCCAGCATTGACCTGCTTAGCTTCAACAAGGTGGCTTCATCACATGCCTTGTAATCTTGTCCTAGTAAGTGGTAATTCTATTGTGGGAAGGATAGATAAATGTAAGCATATATGAAGGCCTATGTCTTATAGACTAGGATTTTTTACACTCCAGATGTTGTTGGACTATAACTCTCATCAGCCCCAGCCAGCTTTCCCAGTGGTCAGTTTCCCCACCCTGATACGGATATTCACAATGATGTAGCGCATTCACCCTGCTCCTTAAAAAAGAATGGGCATAAGCCCTCCAAAGTTGTGCATTTCAAAGTTTTGTTTATTTCAGTAGAATAAAAGCATGTGCATGGTTAACTGAGCACAGACGTCCACCTGACAGAGTTGCTAACTTTGGAGGATTAATCCTACTATATCGTATACATAACAGGTTTACAAATAATAAAGGGATAGCTCATATTTTGGATGTGGCTGCTGTTCTTTACTGACTGGTCCAGCAGGCAACCTCATAGATAACAACATTCACAGAACTTGTGATGTGCCAAAACACATACACTGTTCATCTTAAATACTGGATAAGCCCAGCCCTGTCTCTCTAAGTCTTAAAAACTAGATCAAAATTTCCTTTTGTTTCCTTTCCCTTCCTACAGAGGTTTATGAGCTAGCCTCATATGACTTATTCTAATACCTTTGTGTACCCAAATATTTTAATTAAAGTAAATTGCAGTAAAAAATCAAGGAAAAATACAAAAATGGGGGCGGGCAATACAAGAAGAAGGAAAAAACATTGTCAGTTCACATTAACATTTATACATCATCAATACATCCATCTTAGTTTACACATAGAGATCAGTATAGGCATTCCAAATGTCAGCTATTTAATTTAGTGAAGTTGGTGTTTATAGAAAGTATACTTCTATAGTTTCTCTAGATTGAAGATGATATTTGGTCCTTTTTTTATTCAGCCATCCAGAAAGCTACTAGGTAAACAATTTTTTTAATTGCCCATGCTGGGGTATTCATAGAAAATGAGACTTGTCAATCTTTCATATGTGTTAACAGATATGCCTCATAGTACAGAGTACATTTTAAAATTAATAATCTATGTGGCCATCTGCTGCTATTCAGGTTCTTCAGAATGTTTAATTGTACAGGAAGAGAGACATTAAATCAGGCATCCCCAAACTTGGCCCTCCAGCTGTTTTGGGACTACAACTCCCATCATCCATAGCTAACAGGACCAGTGGTCAGGGATGATGGGAATTGTAGTTCCAACAGCTGGCGGGCCAAGTTTGGGGGTGCCTGCATTAAATTATAATGTTACTATGCTACTGTTCTTTACTGTTATGATTAATGCTCATCAAACTATTTTTAACCCTTTATGTCATGTTACCAATTCTCAGCTTTCAGTAAAGATTTTAGTAGAAGACTACTGAGAGTTCCAGATTTTTAGTACCTGCTTTAACCAACCTCCACCTCAGGGCAACCTAAGGATTCTGGATGCTGAATATAAATTATTTTTCTTCAGATTGTGTGCCAAATCAGCCTATCCCAGCCTGTGGTTTTGCCACACCTATCACTGTTTTCCTTTAGCAAAGCTGCTCTGAATTCTCTGCTAATATGCATGTACTAGGACATACTGTTCAGGATTACATATGCAGCTTTAATGACAGACAGATTTACCCAGTAGTTCCATTAGGGAACACAGGAATGGCACATTATTTTTCTGAGCAGTCACAGGTAAGAAGTGCTTTCAGATTTGTTCACTCAAGCACATACATGCATACCTTTCCCCCCAAAATAACTTCTGGGATCCTGGCTGACTATCTTCCATTGAACCCTTTCCCCTCACTAGGGAAGCTGTATGCCATGAACTGGCAAGATGACAGCGAGAAGGGAGAGGTGAAAGAGGATCCCTGTGAGGAGTGTAGCCAGGACACACTGGGGCATGCAGGGGATGGGGAAGGAAGTACTCACAGGGTTACAGAGGATGGTGAGGGAATGAGGATCAGTGCGCAGGAACCACAGCAGCAAGACCCATCACCAGAGCCGGGCGATGGGCCTGTCTCCATGAACATGGTGGGCACTGAGAGGTAGGGAGCAATGGAAGGGGGACTCAAGAAGGCTGAGGCAGGCAAGGGCCCACAGCCCAGCTCCCTAGCTAGCCAGGTAGGGCTCGCTAGCTCTGGGAGGAGGTGTGTGATTCCTCAGCTGGAGTAGGCTTGGAACGGGTGAGGGTGATATGCCTCATCAAGCCCAGATGCTGCAGCCAGCATGCAAAGTTCCAAAGGGCAACTGAAGTGCTGTGTCTGCTCAACTGCCCATGTTGATGGACCTTGGCTTGAATTCTCCTGGACCTCTATGGGACTGCACTTCAGGTTTGACTCTGGACTATATCCTGACTGCTAGACTTGAGACTATTGCAGGCATAGGTAAACTCCGGCCCTCCAGATGTTTTGGAGCTACAATTCCCATCATCCCTAGCTAACAGGACCAGTGGTCAGGGATGATGAGAATTGTAGTCTCAAAACATCTGGAGGGCCGGAGTTTGCCCATGCCTGGACTACTGCAACCCTGCCCAGCTACAGCTGTGGTTGTGCCATGAGCTTAAGATGATGGAAAGCACTCCGTGCGACAAGACCACCTGTGCCTCAAGTGTCAGAAGTGAATTCGGAACCCCCAAACAACAAACCCAGTCATTCAGAGGAAGTGTAATTTAATTTAGAAATGACCCCACAGGAATTTATACTGGCGAATCCATGGAGCAGTCAGGTCCCACCTGGAGCTAGGCATCCAAATAGGAACAGCACCACTGCAATGCAGTGCCCCCCAACCTGACTCAGAACAATACCATGATTGATGATGTCAAAATCCACTGAGAAATCTAATAAGAATCAACAGTCACACTTGTCCCATTTCTCTCCCAGGCACATTATGAGCAAGGCATTTTCCACACTGAAACCAGGCCTGAATCTCAATTGAAATGGATCTAGAAAATCTCTCCTGCAACCTGGATCTGGTTGGTACCCAACCACTCAAGTAGCAAATGTCCCCTTTCTGGGCAAGGTTCTTATCTAACTTCGAGGTGTAGGGAAGGCTTCTTCAGCAGTAGTCTTGCAACCACCTCCTTCAGGCAGCCTGGTGTATGGGAAATCCACCCAGAAGACAAAATGTATATCAAGGAGTTAAGTGATTATTATTATTATTATTATTATTAGTTGAATTTATATACCTCCCTATACCGGGAGGTCACATGATTCTAACATGGTTACCCTTTCTTTCTCTGTTTCTTACCCCTCCCTCCCAGCCTTTAGTTTTTGAAGGTGTGAGAACAGTCTTTGGTGTCCTAATCAGTTGGGAGGAGGTGAAGCCCCCCCCCCAGCTGCCTTAATCAGTCTGGGAGGATAGTGCTGGAAACCTTCTTTGATGTTGGAAATTATTAAAGTGAGGCATTGGGAGGAGGTGGCTGTTTATAAAATTGGTTGGTTTGGGCAGATTCTTTCAGAAGCTTATGCACAGACTGGGCCATGCAAACTGAGGCTACCTGGGGGAGTCACTTCGTCGCTTCTTGAGGGCTTCCAAGTGGCTGAGGGAAGGGCATCCTTGGTATGTATATATTGCTTTCTGTTTAGAAATAAAATCTTCTCACTCACTTGTGTTTTGTATTGCTTCTGAATCTCTTTTAAAAGAACCACCTTGCATTTGGCAAGGCACCTGGGACCACTCCTTGAAGCATTAATCACCTTCCTGGCCCATTCAGCTGCCCCCTTTCTAGCAAATTTTATAAGCCATGAGGTGCAAGGGTCCAAAACACAAGTGGTTGCACAAACCTAGCCAAATACCTTGTCCATATTCTCAGGCCGCAGCAACTGAAACTCATCCAAGACAAGAAAGCACTTTCCTTCAGCAGGATCATCAGCTGAGCCCAAATCCTAGAGGATGGAAGTAGCTTTATCCTCAAAATGCTTGGCAAGCATGTCACAGCAAATTCACCTTCCTAGGGCCAGTAGGCAAGAATAATCCTTTATGTAGTTCATATAGTTCCACTCAGTGCTTTTTTTCTAAAAAAATGTTTAGGGGTACTCTCATTTTTCTACTCATATTGAAGTACGGCCCTTCAATGAGGCCAGACACAGATTCACAAAACGTTTTGGGGTATGCATAACCCTGTGTACCCCAAGAAAAAAAGCACTGGTTCCACTAGTGTGGTAGCAATATATCTGCTCCCTGGAATAATTAATGTAAAGGTTTGTTTTGACCAAGTTTCCAACATATCCAATATTTTAATATTTTGTGTGTGTATGCTAATTTAAAATTTGTCAGACAAATGAGTCAAGGTTCATGAATTGCAATCTGTTCTGTAGTTAGCTCCTTTGTGCTCATTTTTCTTGTGCTTAGTGAGTCACCTAACAAATGAACAACTAAATTAAACAGACTGTATATTAACAGATTTCACATATATGGGGTATTGTATGTCTGATTTAACCAAATGTTTGTATCATTTCCTTTATGCGGTTATAGAACTAATAATTCACTCGGTGTGCTGATAACGGTGAGTGGTTTGTTTTATAACATAACTGATCCCCTTTAATAGTGAATTGTAACTGAACTGGTATATTTCCCATTACTTTGAATAATAGAATTCTAGAATTGGAAGGGACCCTAAGGATCATACAGACCACCACACCAGAAGGAAAGAAAGACAGAAAGTTAAACCCAAGCTCCTTCTGGCCTGTTATTATATTTCCTTGAGAGAAAGAGATAACAGAACCAGTTTAAACCAGCTGTTCAGCTTCTCTGAAGGAATAACCCAAACATCAGGAACCTTTTGCTTGTTTCCAGGCAGAATAGAAGCTTATTTGTCAGCTAGAAATTTCTAGCTTCCACCAGCTTGTATCACACAGAGAAGCCTCTAGAACCTTCTTGAATAAACTAGAATAGGAAAGATCTCTACACTTTAAGCCAGTATTTTCTTTACTAAGAATGCAAACTTGACAAACTCTGGCACCTTATTCCAAAGTATGATTCTGTCTACACTGCTACTTATTCTTTGAACTTAATGGACACTGCTAACAAGTTTTGCTAAAGTAATGTAGGATGGTACCAGTAGCTGCAAATGACCATAGGTAAACTTTTTTGAAAAAACAGGTATAGACAAAGCTTCCTTCTCTGTAGATGTATCTAATCTACCCTGCACTAATAATACTGGGGGAACATCACAATTCTGTAGGAAGCTGCCCCATACTATTCTAAGCATCTTGTTTCAGGTTGATACAAAGTACTTTTGTTTTTATTGTAATTATTTGTAAGTTTTATAAACACATAAAATTTTAATTCTCTTAATGTTTAATTGTTTATAGTTATTATTTTTCCTATGTTTTAAGCGATTGTTTTTATCTGTAAGCCACCTTGAGTCCCATCAGGGGAAAATGTGGGATATAAATATATACTAATAATACTTCACAATTTCCCTTCTTTCTCAGTTTTCTAGGGCATGGTTATCTAAGTGACTTCTGTTGTTCCTCAGGACAAGGCAGCAGTAGTAGTTGTTGGGCCATCTTGTGGGTGGGCAGGGGGACTGAGAACAGCAGAGAAGGCATCATTGCCTCTGCTGCATATGAATTAGCATATTAAACTGCAACAATTCCTATCTGTTTCATGTGTATATATAGCAGTTGTTTGTTTATTGCAATATTTACAACACAGAGATTTTTTTTTTTTGCAAAAGTGTAGTGTGATTATTTTTATTTATTTCATAAAATGTATATACTGCTTGATTGCAGAAAAAACCTCAAAGAGGTGTTAAGACTCAGTTTTATTTTGCAAATTGTCACAGTGCTCTGAAGACCACTTTTGTTCTGTATTTTCCATACTCTCTGGTGCACATTTTCATGAGAGTGAAGCACAGCATTACAAAGTCATTTTTGCACTACAAAGCTGTATGTGTTAACAAGCAGTGTGTTTATCCTTTACTTTGGAATGGGGATCAGAACAAAAATGTGATAGAAAATAGTTGCAAACTTCTCTAGAAATGTGTGAGGTGATGTTGATGTCATTGGCATTAGCCAATAGTAGCCCCCAACAGCTGTTTGCATATATACTGAATGTTCCTTTCTAAGAAGAGGAACTGGGGCTTTCCAGCTTCACCTTGAGGCAAGGTGAAAATAAGAAAAACCAGTTTAACCAAAGCATACAGTGGGACAAAAGAATGTACATTTGTATTGCAAATAACAATGGCAGCATAAAACCACCCCATCATTTTGATGGAAATGCTGTCTGCCTTTATCCCAAGATTATTAGAATCTTTATTGGAGACTTTAGTCCAGATAGACCTGCTCCCAAAGACTGGGTGAGGGGCAATTGAAAATATGGTCTTTTCTGTTGTGATGTCTTATTTATGGAATACTTGAAAGAGGGATGCTTTTGGAATAGTCTCCTTATATCTAGATGGCAAGTTGGAACAGTTTTGCTTTTACTGCTATGTTGTTGCTTTTTTTATTCAGCATGTGATATTTGCTTTTATTGTAATTATTTCTTCTTTCCTTGTAAGTAGTTGTGAGGGCCATTAAGATGCAAAGAAAGAATGTAAATCACTTGTAACTTGATTTGTTATGAGAAACCCCTTCATATAAGATACATGGAAATTCTTTCAATTCTCTAAACAGGAATGTGATTTTAAATGGCATTATTTCTAACAACAATCTGAGCATAGTATCCAAAAAAGTATTGTAGGAATACATTCGGTACCTTCCCTTATTATTCTGTTAATCTTCTCTTAATATTAATTTTCTTGCAAATCAAAATGATGTGGCTCATTTCAATATCTCAGTTTCCAAACAGCCTGTTATTTTTCTGCTAATGAGTTAGTAACTGTATAAAAAGATTATTGCATGTTCTTGATTTCAGTTTTTGGTATAATTGCTTCATTTATCATGTGCTCCTTAGATAGTTCCTTGTAACTAATTAAATGCAAACATTTGACCATATGACATGCCAACTTCTGGTGTTAACTGATGGCGTTCTACTGTAGTTAATTATGCAAATAAATTATTTTTAACATGTCAATCAAGCTTTTTCGTATTCTATCTGCACTGAAATAACACTTTTTAAGATACTTTTCAGATTGCTTGTCAAAGCCTGAATGTTACACAGTGCAATCCAATGCATGCTTACTGAGAAGTAAGTCGTTAGCATCCTTACAAGTACAATCTTAATTGCCCTAATAAAATCAGTTCTAGCTATAGGATGTACATAATTCTCACAATCCGAAGGCCATACAACCACTCTTGGAAGAATCATGCTGCTTACGTTGTCTACCAGCATGACTTCTAGATCAAAAAAGAGTAATAGTCACTAGAACAAGAAATAATAAGGATCAGACTAAAAAATGTATTTGTCCTAAAAAGTGTATGCTTTCCATGTTCAGGATTGAACAGCTATAGATAACAAATACATTTCCATTTTCCATTTTGGTTTTCCCATTCCCTTGGAGATTTCCCCCAGTGTAAGGAAAAACAAAACAAAACAAAGAACACTACAAATGATATGCCCCTGGGTAAGCTCCAAACACCTATTGTGGCTCCTTGAGGGAAGACAGATTGTTGCTTTGAATAAAGATGGAAGCCTTTCCACACTTTAACGGTGATTTCATTTTCTGAACAATTGTTTTTCCTCATAGACCTGAAATGTGAGCCATCTCTTCGATTACTCACATTAAACTGTAATTGGATCGTGTTTCTCAAGAATACACATTGTCTCACAGAAAGTCACCGAGAAGACATAAAACTAGGTAGATTTTAAAAGATTAATCCCGAAGAAAAAGCTGAATGCTGGGGATTCAGATATTATAAAACAGATATGTTGCATATATGGTGGATTATCCGAGCATACAGAAATTTTGGGCAGGGATATTAACAAAGACTAAAGATGTAATGAATGCGGAAGTACTATTATACCCTGTTAGAGGGTTGCATGGAAGGAAAAAGTTCAGAAGAAGAAATGGAATTAATTTATTATTTATTGACAGCAGCAAAGGTTTTGTGGCGTTCAGTATTTGAAGAGAAATGAAGTACCTGGAATAATGGATAGGGAAATAAAGTGCTGGATATTGATTAAATCTGTGAAACTAATTTTACTGGATTAAAAAAAAAAACTAGGGAGGGATGAAAACAGTGCAAAATGAATTGTTCTGAGATTTAAAAGAAATAACATGGTAAGGAAAATCCTGTTTAAGAGAAGATACTGATTTGATAGCACTAGGAGTTAACTTTTAAGAAGGACCAAAAGAAAAGAAAACTATATAAAGAGTTACAGAAGAACTATTAGAAAGAATGCTATTTTGAATATTGCATCTGCAAAAAAAGGTTGTGTTGTGATCAATATTTTCCTTTGATTATATTTGTAAGTTTTGATATTAATAATAAGGTTAATAAAATTCAGCAAAAATCAAAACAATGCATTTAATTTTTATGTGAGTGGAATGCTCTGGCCATATTTTGTATGACGTGTTTCAAACTGATATTCTGCTTTTGTGCCTGCATGTTCAGCATTCCTCAGACCAGGCCAGCAAGGCCAGTAGCTGTTGCTAGCACCTGCCAACAACCTGATCAATTTTTTTAAAATGTATTTTTATTAAAGATTTTCTTGATTTACAAAGGTATGTGCAATGTCTCTCTCTCATATTCCCCCCCCACGTAACACTTTTTTTTTTTTTTTTTTACAAATCGGTTTCATTTGTTGAGACATTAGGAAAAACAACCTGATCAATTTAACCCCTTATTCATTCTCAGTTAGAAATTGTCCATTCTTCCTGACAGCTGTGTACACTGATAGTAATCCCAACTGTAGGAGGTGGCAGGTTTCCCAGCCTATGAGTCATAAAGATGTGTCCCTGCAACTCCTGTTTCTATCAGGAACCTGTGCTGTCACTTTCCAACATCAGACTCTACTTCCACATATCAAGGAAAACCTGAACAGAAGTGGAGAATGCATGGTATTGAAACACAATACAGCTGCCTACCATATGGTGCTGTGGTCTAAACCACAGAGCCTAGGGCTTGCCAATCAGAAGGTCGGCGGTTCGAATCCCTGCAACGGGGTGAGTTCCCATTGTTTGGTCCCAGCTCCTGCCCACCTAGCAGTTCGAAAGCACGTCAAAGTGCAAGTAGATAAATAGGTACCGCCCCGACGGGAAGGTAAACAGCGTTTCCGTGTGCTGCTCTGGTTTTGCCAGAAGCGGCTTAGTCATGCTGGCCATATGACCTGGAAGCTGTCTGCGGACAAACGCCGGCTTCCTCGGCCAGTAAAGTGAGATGAGCCCCACAACCCCAGAGTCGTTCGCGACTGGACCTAACGGTCAGGGGTACCTTTACCTTTCCCTTTACCATATGGCAAGCAAGACTGCTACCACTGATGTGGCTAGAGGTGCTGATGTTTCCTTTACCACCACATTCTACCAACCAACCAAGGGCCTGGGTACCAGGACACATGACAACATGCCACTGTTTGACCGCTAGACCCTGCACTACAGTCCCCAAGTGGCATTACATAGACCTATGCCAAAACATCACCAGCCAATTTAGTAATCCCGAGGGAAGGGGATCTTTTTCAGCATCTAATTAGTCATCTCTGTCCACCACCTGAGAGTAACAATTTACAAATCTTATCAAGTGGACTCTAGTGTGTAAAAGCATATGGTGAGCCGTAAAGTTGTTGGCTCTTAAGGTACCACCAGACCCCTCTGTATTTTTCATTATGGATATTGCAAAGGAAATAAACAATGCCCTTTGGGGTTTATTCCTAGCTTATCCTTCAGGAAAATTACCGTATTTTTTGCTCTATAAGACTCACTTTTTCCCTCCTAAAAAGTAAGGGGAAATGTGTGTGCGTCTTATGGAGCGAATGCAGGCTGCGCAGCTATCCTAGAAGCCAGAACAGCAATGGGGATTGCTGCTTTCACTGCACAGCGATCCCTCTTGCTGTTCTGGCTTCTGAGATTCAGAATACTTTTTTTCTTGTTTTCCTCCTCCAAAAACTAGGTGCGTCTTGTGGTCTGGTGCGTCTCATAGAGCGAAAAATACGGTAATTGATGCATAAGTGCTGGTATCCCAGGAACTAATTTTGTTGCATTAATGAGTGAGCCATTCCGTCCCAAAATGTACAATTTAACTGCAATAGTAAACATGCCAGTGTTTACATATTGTGGGAGGTATGAAAGTTATTATTATAGGTTTGTCTCTGCAGTGAAAGTTCCTTTGATAATAACAATAGAAAGAGAAAGAAAAATACTGTAAATACATGCTCATCCTCTAGTAAATTGATTTACATTCTCTTAAAAGGCTTTTGTGGTTCTAATTTTTAACAAAGAGGTGCATATGTGGGTGAAGGACAAGCAATCTTCTATTTCTCCATCATGATCCTTTTCCTAAATTAGCTTATGGCTACATTTCTAGAATTTCTGGCCCTCCATGTAGCTGAGGAATAGATGGAAAGCTTGATAACCTTTTTCCACAATAAGGATGTTCTAAATATGAGGACACTACCACAATTTTTGGCATTGGAACTGATGGTGTCCTGTTTTGAGGATGCTTTCCCCTAGATTACTCAGTGTGCACAAACTTCATTTTTAGCAATAGGTGAAGATATATTTAGTACCCTCGGTTTGTAATAATTTTTTCCTGCTTCTTTCTGATTCTGGTGTTTGCTGCTGTCTTTTTTTTTTTTACTTTTGTTGTCACTGGAGTAAATTTCGATTTCTTTCTTCTTTTTTGTTCATTTTTTTAGTTGTTTGCTAGAAGTTCCAGTTCAAGCAAACTTTTCCAGGCAGACGTTACACTAAAAATAGAAAAGTTATAGTAGAAAACATAAAATATATCCAAGAAAACAGCAATGAGATCTGAAACAGCAGATGGCAGAGCAGCATAAAAATCACCACAGAAGATTAATGTTAAAATGCCTGGGAAAATATTTGGATGCATTTGGTTCACCTGGAACCAAAATAAGTGTTAGATTAGCCTCTCTCTCACTAAAATGGTAATTTACCTCATTGCCGTTCACTATAACTGGCAGCTGACAGACCAGGAAGAGGCACCTGAAGATGATTTCAGCACACAGGTAGGCTCATATGCAGAAAAGTGATTTGTCAAGTACCCTTGTCTTAAATGGTGAAGAGCTTCAAGGTAAACACAAGCAATTTGAATTAGGTTCTGAAACATACTGGGAGCCAATACAGGCATTTTAGCACTGGCATGATGTGTCCCCAATACTTTGTTCCCATTAGTGCATTAGACAGCTGTGAGCATGTTTACTGCAATTTCTGAACCATTTTCAAAGGCAACCTTGTGGCATTAAAATGATCTCGTCTAGAAGTTAGCAGAGCGTTGATGACTTGAGGCTATGGTATCTCTCTCCAGCGAGATTCATAGTTGGTGCAAGCTTTTTTTGCCACAGAGGCCACTTACTTATTTTATTTATTATAATACCATTATACACTGTGATTTCACACACAAAATCAAAGCGGCTGTACAACATTAATAACCAAAATAAACACCAGCTAAGACTTCTCAAAATTCTCCTTTATAGGTAATTTTCAGGTGGTGGAAAATTTCTCTTCGGAGTGAATTTCGTGAAGCAAGACCTGGAGAACTTAGAGAAACTCATGAAGACTTCCTGGATGACCCTTCTCTCCAAAGTAAGATACTAAAAGTATAGCTTTAGTCTGATGGTTGTTCCAATCCATCATCTGTATTCATGTTTGCATGAGACCTAGATTAATAACATATTTAAAGGTGATCTATGACGGCAACATTTCAGATGATGGAAACTGCACAGTTTCTTTATAAAAGATGACAACAACAGTGCTATTGATTTGGCTTTCTTATATCAAGAATTGGGGGGGGTACTTTTGAAGATTTCAGAAGAAATACTAATTTGGGGATGGAATTGATACCATCTTTTAACTTCATATGGAGTGGTTTTGAACCACATACTGGTTTTGGTGGAAACCCAATGAAAAATTGCAACGTGCAGGTGCATATCCCTATTTTTTAAAAAAGTTCCATTTCCCCTTGGGCATCCCTTCTAACCCTACAGTTCTATGATTCCTGCAGAGTACAATGTTCAGTTGGGTATATATGTGATGAGACATTCTTTTAGGTATTACTATTCATTTCATTTCTGGACCAGTTTATATTTTAAAGAAAAAATCTCAAAGTGGTTTACACCTTTCTTTCTTTCACACTGGATTCAGTCAGGATATGACTAAATTCAGACGGACTTTCTCCTCAAGCTCTGAAGAATGAAGCACACAAACTAAGGAAGCTTGCATGCTGCCATTTATACCATACAACTCACAGCGTTTATTGATTTAATTACATCCATCATCTGGTTGAGTTATCTGTGACCCTTCACCTTGTTTAACACCTTTAGAATACTGAAAGCTTCCACCGTAGTTAGTATCTTTAAAATACTGAACATGACGCTGTGAACAATAAAACATCATAATAAAAAATATATATATAGAAGATATTTGGTCACTTTAACATCCTCCCCTGATCTATCAGGAACTTTTATGCAAGTTCTACTTAAATTAAGAAAAGGAAGCATATCAGAAAAAAGCCATAATTGTGCTTCAACAAAGCTTGTGTAACATGTTAATTTTCCCTATTCAATCAAAACGAAGACTTCCCCCCCTTAAGGCAGCATCTTAATCCCAAGAAATATTAAATATTTGTCTTCCTATGAGTGTAGGGTGCAATTCTCCAAAATCTTCCAGTCCGGCACAGTCCTTACTCCTGAACACGGCATGGCAATAAGGATTTGATGAGTTGTGCTCCATCCAGTACTGGAAACAGCCAGAAACTCGTCAAACAAGGTTTCTATGCTTGACAGAGACATCTTTTTCTTCCATCATAACTTTCCATTGCCTTTTCTTGTATATAAGCCCAGGCAGGAACATAATCCGGTGCAACTGAGAAACAGAATCAGGATGCATCGCCTGTATCCATAGCTACCACAACAGGGAGCCCAATCAGGAGTGATAAAAACACTAAGAAGAGCTGGGAAGCATTCCCTGTCGCACCCATGCTGCCCATCATTGTTGATCCGATGATCCTGAACCAAAGGCTTAGCGGGGTAACAGCCTGTGTATTTAGGGTATTTCCTGGAGTGGTTGGTGCTGGGATCTTGGGAAACTGACAGTCGTCTTCGACAACACCTACTTCCTGGAATCTGCCATTAGAAAGAGAAAGAGCATGTGATTGATTTGTGCCCCTCGGAACCGCCGGCGACTACAACTCCCCATTCGACATATCAAAAACACCAAATAAAACAATCCAGAATAAAACATTACTAAGGAAAGTCAAATATAAAGTATACAATCAAAGCAACATAATTAGCAGGAAACAAAAATATTATCTTAAACATTTCAAAAGAAGACAGTACTAAAAGAAGTCAAATATAAAATGCACATTTAAAACTGCATAATTAGCAAGAAAATAGCATATTATCATAAGCATAGAACAAACCTGCTGTTGCTGCCACCAATGGTGGACGGCAGTTCATGGTGGACGGCGGTTGTGGAATCTCAGGCTCAATGACCTCGGCCTGCACTAAGAGACAGCCAAGATGATATCTGCTCTCTTCAACAGCCTCAGCTTTTGTAGCTGGAGTCAGTGACCTCTCAGACCAGGTGGAAAAAGGCTTGCAAGGCAAGGAGCAGGTCTTCCAGGACTCACAGCCAAGATGGTCTCCTGGTCCCAAGCTAAATAGGGTTTGCAATCCAATACCAACACCTTGAATGGGCAGCCAGTACAATTCTGTCAATAGTAGCATACCATGATGGCAATATTCTGCCCCAGTGAGCAGATGAGCTGCCACATTCTACACTAGTAGCTTTCAGATTAAGCTCACATAGAGCAGTTTGCTGTCATCCAATCCGGTTGTTACAAGTGTGTGGATGGCAGTGAGCAAGCTATCCCCATCCAGAAACAGCCATTGATTACCTTACCAGCTGAAGCTGGTAAAAAGCAATCCTAGCAACTGATGTCACCCAGACCTCTAGTGACAGAGATAGATCCACAAGCCTGTTCTTTCATATGCAAAGGAGGGTGGGGCAGCAAACTAAAAACCACACAAGACAAGTTGTCGTTTGAACATATGTGAGCCAAATCCCGACTTGTTCAGCAAATGATGGCTTAGTGTTACTTAGGAACCAGACCAGTTTGTATACTGCATTTGAACGTTATATGTGTTCAAGTTAGCACTATACTTTTGGTTTAGGAAAGTGAGTTTAGTGTTGTTTTTAATTTTACATTTTTAACCCTCAGTGTTAAAATTACTGATAAAACCGGTAGTCGCTACTAAGGGAGTTAACTGTGTATTGCAACCCAGCATTATATTCAAAATCATATCAGATTTACCCTTCCACTGTAATGAATAATTTTGGAATAGTTCTACCATATGTATGGTGAGTCTGCATATAGAACTTCACCTGTTTTTACACTTAAGGTCATCCGATAGTGACCTCCGAATACCACCTCCATCAGAAGCGAGGCTTACATCTACAAGGGAGAGGGTATTTTTGGTAGTTACAGACTGCCCTCCCTGGGGAGATATACCTGGCGTCAACTTGTTTATTCTTTCAGTACCAGGAAAACAATTATTATTTCAGTCATTTTAAAACATTTTTATTGACTTCAAATTTTTTCGCTATTAATTGCGCTTTATTCCTGCCATTTGCTTTTCATTTTTGTAAACTGCGTTGCAGTCATTGGTAAAGGTGAACATATAAATGTTTTATATAACTAAATATCTGACAGCTATTCAAGTAATTGGGATAGATAGATCATTATGGACCAACCTTTGGGGCATTTGTGCCATACAGAATAGTTATTCGGGTAGCACCTATAGCACTAGAGAGTGTGCTTTGCATGCAAAAGATTCCCGGTTTAAATCCTGGCATCTTCAGCTGAAAGGATCAGGTAGCAGGGCTAAAACAGGATTCTTATGTGAGCCCTTGGCTTTCTGCTGCTGATTGGAATAGACAGTGCTGTGTTGAAAACAGTCTGGTTCAGTGTAAGGCAGCCTCATAATCCACTCTCCTATGTCCTGTGCTTTAGGGTAGTCTTGCTTGATGTGTATTAAGTCATGAGCAGGCAACAGAAACTCGCTGGGGGGGGAGGAAGTAGTATTTTAGAGCCTAATGGGGTAAGACCCCACTCCCAAAGCAATCAGCTTTCAGGCTCTGTGGAAGTATTCGTTGCCAATTGAGGAAGCTAAAGGCAGTAGAGCAGTCCAAGGCAGGCACAGGTCACCAGCCAGAAGTAGGAAGTGTAGGCCAGGGCAGTTTCCAAAGGCAGCAATGACGCAAGTGGCCTCATCCTGTACAGCAAGGCAGGAGTTTGGGTTCTGGAAGGCAACAGAAGAGAGCAGGGACTTGGTTTGGTTTCAGGAATCTGTAGCACATCTATCCTGTGACAAATCAGGCCTTAGCTTGAAAATATATATCTTGCAACCGCAAATAATTAGACATGTTTTTTCTGTGTTGCCTCCTTGCAGTAATGAACTACAGGCAGAAAATCTAACAGAAATTCAGTCCGGACAAAGTTTAGGGAGAAATGATCATAGTCGGCATGAATATGTTAGATTTTGATGAATTTGTAATTTTTGCAGTTTTTATTTGTATTGTTTTATTGTTTTCTGGGTTGTTTTTGTTTTTATTGTTTTAAGGTTTTATTGTTTTAGGCTGCGAAAGAATAACATTAATTGCCATCAGTGGAGGCTACTATGAGGCTTGGGATTGCTACCGTGGAGGGGCGAGGGAGGTATGGCGGTGGGGGCAGATGTTATAGGCGAAGGGGATCGAGATACGGATATGCTTGTACCCCTTCCAATCTGCGCCTCATCCTGAGGGACGAGGGTAGGGTGAGCAAGGATTATTCACCTCGGTCACTGGTGCTGTGCAATGCCAGGCCTATAGGCAACAAAACCGCCACCCTGCAAGATTTCTTTATCTCGCAGGGGGTCGACCTGGCTTGTGTGACGGAGACCTGGGTGCGCGAAGGGGCAACAGTTACCTTATGAGAGATGGCGCCCCCGGGTTTCTCCGTCCTCCACCAGTCGCGGACTGTGGGCCGGGGGGGGAGGGGTGGCATTATTAATCCAGGAAGATTGTCCTTTCAGGGCTCTACCATCGCCATTGATCCCCGGCATTGAATGTGTTGGCCTAGTGTGGGGCTCCGAGGAGAGCCTGGCTGTCTGGCTGGTGTACCGGCCACCTAGCGCACCAGCAGCCACCCTGTCAGGCCTATTGGAGGCGGTGGCCGGCTGGGCCTTGGAGTTCCCTAACCTATTGGTATTGGGGGACTTCAACATCCATGCTGATGCCACTCCCTCCTCACAGGCTCTGGACCTGGTGTCTTCCATGGCGACACTAGGGCTCTCCCAGTTTGTTTCAGGCCCCACACATCAAGCAGGCCACACGCTGGATTTGATCTTTGGCGTAGGTATAGATGTGATCATGTCTCCTTCGATGAAGGTGCCATGGTCTGATCACTACGCTCTGAAAGCCAGGATTGACTTTCCACCCCCACCCTGCTTAGGTGGCGAGCCGATTTGGGCTCGCCCGCAGAGGCTGATGGACCCTGATAGATTCCGCCAAGCCTTGCGGGACCTTGCTCCCCCTGGCGACTCATTGACTGAGCTTGTTGAGGGCTGGAATATCCAGCTCCTGGCAGCCATCGATGAGATCGCACCTAAGCACCGTCTGCGACCCCGGAGAAACCGGGCTCCCTGGTTTACCGAGGAGCTCCGGAAAATGAAGCGGGACCTCAGACGGCTAGAGCGAGTATGGCGGGGTGCCCGTGACGGAGCCTCAAGAACATCTTATAGGGCTTTTATGAAAACCTACGAGATGGCGGTGAAGGCTGCTAAGAAGTCTTACTTCTCGGCCTCCATTGCATCCGCTAGCTCTTGCCCGGCGCAATTATTTAGTATAATCAGGTCTTTAACGTCCCTTGATGGACAGCCAAATTTAAATAACAATTTGACACACAGCTGTGAGGCATTTGCGAGCTTTTTTGCAGAGAAGGTCTTGTTGCTCCGCCATGACCTCCCTGCCAATTTGGATACAATAAAGGAACTGGAGGCCCCTCGACTGTCCTCGGGTCCAGTATTGGACCACTTCAACCGGATATCCCCAGCCGATGTGGACAGACTCCTCCGAGCTGGAAAGCCCACCATCTGCCCTCTCGACCCGTGCCCGTCTTGGCTGATTAGAGTGTGTCCAGACGAGGTGCGGGCCCTCCTGGGGGATATCATCAATTTGTCCCTTGGCACGGGGACATTCCCAGGGGAACTGAAGGAGGCAGTGGTGCACCCGCTCTTAAAGAAAACATCATTAGATCCTTTAGATCTATCCAATTACCGCCCGGTTTCGAATCTTCTGTTCCTGGGTAAGGTGATTGAGAGAGCGGTTGCTGAACAGCTTGCTGGGTTTCTAGATGAAACATCGGCTCTGGATCCATTCCAGTCCGGCTTCCGCGCTGGTCATGGGACCGAGACGGCTCTGGTTGCCCTAACAGATGATCTTCGTAGACAGCTGGATCGAGGTGGGTCGGGGCTGCTGATTCTTCTAGATCTGTCAGCAGCTTTCGACATTGTTGATCACGAACTTCTGGACCACCGCCTTGCCGACGTGGGGATCCAGGGCACAGTCCTTCAATGGCTGCGCTCGTTTCTCTCTGGTAGGGGACAGAGGGTGGCGCTTGGGGGGGAATTGTCATCGCGCCACTCCTTGGTGTGTGGAGTACCTCAGGGTGCGATACTCTCCCCGATGCTTTTCAACATCTTTATGCGCCCCCTTGCCCAGCTTGTCCGGAGTTTTGGGCTGGGTTGCCATCAGTATGCTGATGACACCCAACTCTATTTGTTGATGGATGGCCATCCTGACTCGGCCCCAGACACACTGACCAGATGTTTGGAAGCTGTGGCTGGATGGTTACGTGGGAGCCGGTTGAAGCTAAATCCTTCGAAGACAGAGGTCCTGTGGCTGGGACGGGACGATATGGGATTGGGGGCAACTCCCATCTCTTGCGGGGCGCAATTAGTGCCAGCACCGTCCGTTAAGAGTTTGGGTGTAATCTTCGACACCTCCCTTTCCATGGAGGCGCAGATTGCAGCTATAACAAAGGCGGCATTTTTCCATCTCCGCCAAGCTAAGCAGTTGGCTCCTTACCTCTCTCGCCCTGACCTAGCCACTGTGATCCACGCGACGGTCACCTCCAGACTGGATTATTGTAACTCGCTCTATGTGGGGCTGCCCTTGAGACTGACCCATAAACTCCAGCGGGTGCAGAATCCTGCAGCGAGACTCCTTACGGGGTCTTCGCTGCGAGATCACATTCACCCAGTGCTATACCAGCTGCACTGGCTCCCGGTGGAGTACAGGATCAGGTTTAAGGTGCTGGTTTTAACCTTTAAAGCCCTATACGGCCTAGGACCCTCGTACCTACGGGACCGCCTCTCCTGGTATGCCCCACAGAGAAACTTACGGTCTTCAAATAAAAACATCTTGAAGGTCCCAGGCCACAGAGAAGTTAGGCTGGCCTCAACTAGAGCCAGGGCCTTTTCGGCCGTGGCTCCGATCTGGTGGAACACTCTGTCACAAGAGACCAGGGCCCTGCGGGACTTGACATCTTTCCGCAGCGCCTGCAAGACAGAGCTGTTCCACCAGGCCTTTGGCCAGGGCACAGCCTGACTCCCTCCCTCAGCAATCTTCGCGGAGCTCTGGCCCAATGGTTGCCAGTGGCTTGAATTAATTAATTTTATAATGAATGATTTTAGAGTGTTGTTTTTGCTGTACTTTTGTACTGTTTTATTGTTGTTAGCCGCCCTGAGCCCGGCTTCGGCTGGGGAGGGCGGGATATAAATAAATTTTTTTATTATTATTATTATTATTATCATTATCATTCCACACAGCTTGACAGAGAGGCTTCTGTGGGGACCTATCTGGAGTCAACTGCCAAAAGATTTCTCCAGCAGAACTGAGACATGTATGATGAGTTCAGAAAATGGATTGGGATATGGATATACAGTGGTACCTCGGGTTACATACGCTTCAGGTTACATACGCTTCAGCTTACAGACTCCGTTAACCCAGAAATAGTACCTCGGGTTAAGAACTTTGCTTCAGGATGAGAACAGAAATCATGCTCCGGCAGTGCAGCAGCAGCGGGAGGCCCCATTAGCTAAAGTGGAGCTTCAGGTTAAGAACGGTTTCAGGTTAAGAACGGACATCCGGAAATAATTAAGTACTTAACCCGAGGTACCACTGTATAGCCAGCAGGAGTAGTAGTCTAGGAAATAGACTAGACTGGAAAGAGCAGAAGGCACAAGGCAACAGGGAGTAGTGAGGTCGGAAGGTTTTTCTGGAGCCAGTCTGACAGGAGGCTTCTTCAGAAAATACCATTCCTTGCAAGCAGTGCCTTAGGGAGCAATCATATGCTCAAGAAGCTGGCATAAATCAATCTGGTGTAAATTTACACCGGAACCGAACTCCTTTCAGGAGCAAGACTACGGCCAGGTGATCCAGCCATAGCCTGTCAGAAGGAAAATAAGATTACAGAATAGAGTTTGACTTAAACTACCCTTTTTGTCAAGTCACATGACTGAACTGACAGTTAGGATCCAGCTTAAGCTCCCACCCCTTCTTGGGAACTTACACTGGCCTTGGCTCAGCTGGCTGAGCCCCAGCTGATCCAGGATGGGCAAGTTATACTGGCATATTTTTGGCTGAACCCAACTGTGGTGGGATGCTCCCAGCTCAGCCAGAATTTCACTGCATCCCATCAGAAGGCCACGGCCATGAATTAAGGTTCTGAATAAAAAATTAACCAGCCCTGCTTTTTTGTATTTCTTTTGAATCTCTCCCAGCTTAGGAAGCTTTAAGTCTTAAATATCTGTGGAAACTGAGAAGGGAATTTATGGATTTGTGAACAAGGTTATGACAGGGTTAATAAATGGAGCTGGAGATAGTATTTACATGAGCTGTTGATAGATGATGATTTTATTCCAACTCTGTGGCACAAAGTACTGAATATACAACATTCCATAACCATTCAGCTAATTTTATCTCTAGTTTTTAAAGTTATTAATTAACATTTGACTTGCCTCTCAGTAGTTGGTATACATGATACAGTTTTTATGTGTCTTATAATGCAAGAAGACGTTCCCAAATGCGCTGTTGTAAAATGTTTGTTCCTCAAGGAAAGATAAAATAAAATAAATTAATTTTGTCAGTAAAACATTAAGCCAGTCATTATCCTACATAGGTACTTCCAGCTGTTAGTAGAAAGCTTATGATACAAACCATTTTAAATAATCAGGAACTGATAATGGTTTTTAAATGCTCATAATAGCATTTAAACATCACACAGAGAGAAGCAACCAAGTTCAGCAGCAGTCATGCACTTGCCAATTTATGCCTGGTTTCAGGGCATTGTCATGCTATTTAATTTGATTTTGCATTTGATAATCTGCCTACAAGCCTTGGGAAATTCGTGATTCTCTACACGTCAGCATTCTAGTAACATTTAGGCAGCTGTGTGTTTTGTTTGTGGTTTTAATTTGATATACTGGTGTGTTTTCAGTAAGTTAGTGCAAAATATATTTTAAAAGAGGTGTAGCCTTCCTCCTCAACAGAAGGAGTCCTTCCATCAGAAGAAGGGCACCTTTAAATTCAATACTTTAAAATAAAAAAAGGAACACAGCAGCCTGACAAATTGCTATTCATCCAGGTATCTTATGATGGCAGCTTTAAGATAGCAACCAGATGATTAAACTATTTATAATAAAGATAACCATGGAAAAATTGATCATATGAACAAATTTTGTACCATAGAGTACTATCCTATGCATAAGAAAGATATGCTACTGCTGGATTAAACTCTGTGAGTTGCACTGTATCCTTGAATCCCAAACTGGGCTGGATCTCTGAATGGATATTATCTTAGCTGGATTCAACCCATGGGCTTTTCCATCCAATAGGAGGCTTTTGGCTCCATAGGAGGCTTTTTTCAAAAAATAATTGCTGCACTGAGGAGTGAGGAGCTTAATGGTGTGACTGTGAGGGTGTGGGTGAATTGTGGGTATATGTGTGTACATGTGTGTACTAGGCAGCATACATGTGTACTAGGCAGCATCTTAAAAAGCAGAGACATCACCTTGCCAACAAAGGCCCGTATTGTTAAAGCTATGGTTTCCCTAGTAGTGATGTATGGAAGTGAGAGCTGGACCATAAAGAAGGCTGATCGCCAAAGAATTGATGCTTTTGAATTATGGTGCTGGAGGAGACTCTTGAGAGTCCCATGGACTGCAAGAAGATCAAACCTATCCATTCTGAAGGAAATCAGCCCTGAGTGCTCACTGAAAGGACAGGTCGTGAAGCTGAGGCTGCAATACTTTGGCCACCTCGTGAGAAGAGAAGACTCCCTGGAAAAGACCCTGATATGGGGAAAGATGGAGGGCACAAGGAGAAGGGGACGACAGAGGACGAGATGGTTGGACAGTGTTCTCGAAGCTACCAGCATGAGTTTGACCAAACTGCGGGAGGCAGGGGAAGACAGGAGTGCCTGGTGTGCTCTGGTCCATGGGGTCACGAAGAGTTGGACACGACTAAACGACTAAACAACAAGAAGTGTGTACATGTGAATTTGTGTGCATGGGTTGGCCCATCCATGAGGCAGGCTGAGGCAGCCACCTTGGGTGGTGGAATGCCAAGAGGATGCACCTCCAGAGGCCCACCCTGCTGCCTCTGCCAGCAGCAGAGAAGTGCCAGTGGCAGCAGCGGCAGCTTCCGGCGAGATCTCACACACTTCGTGAGTTCTCTGCAAGATCTCACGAGATCTCACCACAACCCACCACTGCCACTTTGCAGGTGCTGCCACACAACCCAGGTAAAGGAGACTTCATTGGGGCAGCAGCTTCCTGCTTCACCTCTAGCAGCGAAACAGGGTGCACCAACCATGGTTTATGATATCTGTGTAACAGTGTTGGGAATGAGAAAATTGGCCTTCAGTCTACAAAAGATTCCCTGTTTCTGTGTATTATATCGTATAATAATAATGCCCCCGCCCCCCGCGCTGGCAAGGACAGTACAAAACAGGAAACGGTGGGTGGGTAAGAGAGAAAGAGGGACGCCGCACCCATTTTTTATTTTAGTCCTGCCCAATATGGACTTTGATTCCGCCTACCACTGGCTGTGCCCCCAGTTCTTGCCAGCATGCTGCTCCCAATAGATTACCCAAAGAAAGGTGGCTCTCAGCCAAAAAAGGGTCCCTCACCTTTGATCTAATTGATCACTAGCTCTTGAAAAAGACAACCAGATACCCCTGCAAAGCCCACTAATGTGTATGTTGATACTTAGAGTTTACATCTTTTTATCATGATTACCGAAAAATCTGATTAACTGAGCGTGATGTTTCATGGCTAATAGCTGTTTGTAGTATTTGTCTACCTGTTTTTACAGTTGTCTATGCAGGTAGTTGTCCTGTGACAGCTTTCTTTTGAGAGTCCTGAATTTGTTGCCAGTAATTACACTGGTAACTATGACTTGAGAACAGAGGTCAGCAACTAAAGATTTCGTTTATTAGTTAGTGCCAACAAATGAAATTCAGAGCCCTTCCATCTCTTTGTCCTTGTTGCCATCTATTATTGAGGAGAAATATCGCTGTATCAAAAAAGCAAGCAAGCTATCGTTTTTGCACAATTGTAGCCGTACACAGTAGCAAGTATAATTTGGTTCCAGTTTATTAGATTCCAGGACACAATGGAAAACTTGCCTTTCACGTACAAAGATGAACAAAGATTGTCTATGTGAGATAACGTTTGTGAAGCACTTGGAGACTATACAGGGGAATAAAAATGCCAAGTACTATTTTAATTGTTTTATTACATATTACAGTAATAATTCTTATACATTATAGGTTTACAGTATCATCTAGTTATTCAAAACTAGTGTTGAATATGAATAGTTGCACTTGCCCTGAAATACAGTCTTTCACTCTCAAAATTTACAGGAAGCATATTGCCAGTCTAACTAAGAAGGAAGACCAGAATGTGTGGGTAATGGATATTAAACTGTCTTATCCATTCTTTTCAACTATAGAATTGATGCCAGGTTGAGTTATGCAGCTTTACTTATTAACAAACTTCAACTGTGAGATTTAAGTGAATAAAATACACTAATATATGTATTTTAATTCTCATGTAAGTTCAGCAGCTCAAATCATTCCAGTGGCCTACCACGCAACAATGATTTGAAGGGTTTCACCACACTGAAACATTCCCGTTTGGTGTTTACTATTAATCTCAGATAGTAGTTTAATTCAGTTTTTCAAGGTTGAAACTAACAACTTCAAATATATTCTTTCAATACTGAAAATTGGTGGGTTTTATGATGTGTGGTTTAATACATACTTCCTAACCTTTACTGTTTCTAGCATGGTAAAACATATTATATTTAGCATTACGTTTAGAAGAATGGCTGATCCTTTGGAACATAGTATAAATCTTGGTTTTTGGTTTTTAACACAGTTCAAATAGCCATCGTGTTTGGAGGAGATACTCTGGATCATATCTTCAACATGTGCCGGGGGAATTACGATTTCCTAGTGAGACTTCCTGATCCATTGCTTTTGTACATCATGTCCTATTTGGATCTTGAAGATATTGCCAGACTTTCTCAAGTATCTCACAGATTTGAAACGGTAAAAAAGAAGAAAAAGCAATATTTGAAATGTGTTCACTTGCAGTTTAGCTTCAACAAAGATGAGTGCCTTCAGTTAGTGTCTGTCTAATGACTGTCCAGTCATGATGAATTACCAAAAAGTACCAAGGAGTGCTAGTTATTGCATGAGGATGTAAATAAACATTTTGAGGTACTGGGGATATAGATTCTCTGGGCTCCTAGGGTGAAAAAGCTAATGACTGTCCAGTCATGATGAATTACCAAAAAGTACCAAGGAGTGCTAGTTATTGCATGAGGATGTAAATAAACATTTTGAGGTACTGGGGATATAGATTCTCTGGGCTCCTAGGGTGAAAAAGCTAACTCATGATGTGGTCAGCTTTATTAAACTAAGTTCATCCAGGAAAGTGCATTGCTATACGATATTCTTTATCTTAATACAATTAGGTAGCTGTGTTGGTCTGACTCAGTCGAAATGAATTAAAAATTTAAAAAAATTGTCCAGTAGAACCTTAGAGACCAAGTAAGTTTGTTCTGGGTATAAGCTTTTGTGTGCATGCACACTTCTTCAGATACATGCACACAAAAGCTTATACCCAGAACAAACTTACTTGGTCTCTAAGGTGCTACTGGACAATTTTTTGATTTTTTTATTTATTTCGACTTTATCTTAATATTTATGCTTGACCCTTTTCTACACATCCGTTCCTGCACCCTTCCTGCATTAGACCTCTGTGCCTTAAACATCCATCTCTTGAAGACAAACTTCATTGTATCTTTAGCTGTCATAAGATTTTGTTATCCTGCTAGATGAGATGTAATACATAATCAGAAATTTATTGCCTCCCTGTTATTTTTCACAGCACGTGACAATTTCATGAAAACGACTGCACTGATTTTAAATGCTTGCACATGACTGACTTAAACAAAACACCACCAGAGGGAGCTAATGCCTAATGCAAAAGAGAAATTCAAGCAAGGGCAGTTTTCTTGTATCGTTTGGCAGCCATATAATCTTTCAGCAGATTAATTACCTGATGTATGCATGTTTAAATAAGAAAATATTGGGCAGCCCCAAGTATCTAGGATTCTGCATTTCATTCTTCAATCTGAAAGCATTACAGCAGATTTGTGGTGCGGGACATGATGGCAGAGTAGTTCTTTCTGTAGATTATTTTAATATGTCATATTTCATTTACAAAGTGCAATTCAGATCCATAATTTGATTAAATGAAAAAGTGAGATTTACTTTGTAATTCTGTATATGCCTACTCTGAAGTCAGGAAGTGGCAAATGCTAGCACTGAAGCATAGACAAAGGTGATTCAATCCATCTGTGGTGGCAGCACAGCAAAGAAAAGAAAAAATGCATTGAGTAAAGTAGAATATTCCCATGCAATAATTATGTGTTTTAAAATGCAAGGGCATTGTAGCTTGAAAGAATCTGTAGATGGTTCAATCCAAAGTAAGAAATACTATATGCTATAATTAACAACACTATAGAAAATTAAGGTAATGCAATATCCAGGCATTCATTTCTTTGGAAAAGCTCCCATCATTACTGTAAATCAAACAGCCAGCAGTAATTCAAATATTTGTTCTCCTTCAAATAACTGTATTTTTAAAATGACACTTGACTAATGTTTAAGGCTAATACATTTTTGTTTCTTTTGCAAATAGTTATGCAACTCTGATAAACTATGGGAAATGATTGTACAAAATTTATCGGGCAGAATTACCTCAGAAATGAGATCCCTGGCACACGAGGTGGGCTGGAAGCAGTTCTTCTTCACTAACAAGATTCAACTGCAGCTCCAACTCAGAAGAAGAAGACAGATGAAAACTGAATCATCAGATAGCCTGTCAGATTAAAGGAGTGCTTTTCCTAGCTGGCGGTAACAACTCTAATGTATTTGTTCCATAAATGTCTTGCTTTGTTTTCTGGAAAAAAGAAATTGAGCTGCAGGTATAAAATTAATGTGGGTCCTGCCTTGATGAACACTCATTATGAAGGTGTGCAAGAACAACTTTTTTGTTTCGTTATTTCATTTATTTTCATTGGGTAAAAAACTTCGTGAGTTTCGTTCATTTACAGCACATTTGTTTTCATCACTCCCCTGTTTTTGCATTGTCTTTATTTTGCTTTTTCTTAAGGGCTGGTCATGGAAACCACTTCTTTGTAGCCTGCAATTTATTTTTCCAGAAAGACCTAGGCATAGTGTTAACCCAGGGAATTTGATGGTGGTAAGGGTAGTATTAGCTGCCACAAAAACGATGAAGGCACCCACCCCACCCCCGGGCCTGGGTGCAATTTTCCTTTAAAAATGCATTGAAATGACACAACATCCAGGGTATTCTGGGGAAACAAAATGGCAGCTACCAGGAGGAAGCTGCTGAAAGCAACTGATGTTTCCTGTAGCTGCAACTTAATTCACAAAGAAACAATTCCCTTTCATTTTGTAAGATATGAAACATCTATACATAGTTTGAGGGACCTGATTAACTACAATATAATGACCTTTTTTTTAAAAAAAGGTTGAATACTGTGTAAATATTTCTGAAGGCTATTATATTTTTAATAGCCAAATGTTAAACCCACTTTTTAACAAAAACATAAAGAACTGCATGGAACAATGACACTGCTCCCCCAATTTCCATCCTAAATCAGGAATATCCACTTGCAAGTCCAGAAAAGTATTATTTGCTCCAACCATGGCTACAGCTTTCAAGCTACCACTAATGTTTACAAAGGACATGCAATGTTGTTACTTGGTGTTGTAATACTTTTAAGACTATACTAATATTCAACTGAAAACAAGATTAATATGGTTTGGTGACTTTCTTCATCTGAGATTGCCTTCTGCTCCAGTGTTTATGATACAGTTCAAAATGATATATAGTACATTTTCTGTTTTGCCATATTTAATAAAATGTGCCACTCAAAATTTAGGCCTTACAAGTATTTCACCTTGAGTTTGGCAGAGAAAAAATTAACTTTTTTTCAATAATCTTCAGGTTTGCTTATGTCCTTAAACATAATTTGCTTAGGGTATGCTTAATGACTTGATTTCCTTGATTTTAGAAACAGTATTAGAGTCTAAATCTTGTCTTAAATGATCAGTAAGGGTTTTTTGCAGTACATTTTAAAATACTGTGAAAATATTAAGTATTATTATAGAACACTTACAGTCCAAATTGTGTCTTGAATGAACAATATTTTTAAATAAATGTATAAATAACGTGAAAACGTTTTCCTGTGCTTAGTGTTGTTCTGAAACTACTGATTATTTTTTTCTGAACTGTGTTTTAATCTGCTAATGTTACACCACAGATTTTCATTATTGCTTGACGTAAACTGAAGGGTTCTTATGTAATTCAAGTATAATCATAAGTACATATGTATAAACTTTTGGAATTGAAGCCTAAAGGGTGCAATTCTCCCCTAGTGACAGTGCAGGAAGCCAAGCTCTGGCAAATGCCACTCACGTAAGAGCCCAGGCCCCCACCCCATCGCCTAGTAGTTGTGCTGGTACCACTGAAACTACTGCAGCCAGTCTGGCCAGTCACAACACTTCCAGCACCTTTTCCCTCTGAAAACAAGGGACAAGCCTTGCTAGCAACTGCTCCAGCCAGTGGCTAATGAATGATGCAACTGACTTCCATTTCTAGACATGTCTGAGATTTACTAATATTCAGCTGTTGGTGTCAGAGATTTTTTAAAAAGCCTAGAATTACAAACCATCATGATCCTTCTTCAGTCCTTAATCACACTTCTGGTCTAAAGCTGAACCAGTTGTCCATTCTTGTTTCTAATGCAAACTGGATTATCTCTATAGTTGTCCCTAGTAGGGTGATCGTGCCACTGCATGATTGGCAGCCAGTGTGCTGTAGTGGTTAAGAGCGGTGGCCTCGTAATCTGGTGAACTGGGTTCACATCTCCGCTCCTCCACATGCAGCTGCTTGGGCTAGTCACACTTCTCTGAAGTCTCTCAGCCCCACTCACCTCACAGAGTTGTGGGGGAGGAAGGGAAAGGAGATTGTTAGCTGCTTTGAGACTCCTTAGGGTAGTGATAAAGCAGGATATCAAATCCAAACTCTTCTTTTGGAGCGCTGTGGGCTTGAGGATTGTGCTGCAAGTTACTAAAAAGTTTCATTATCATATAAATGTATATGACACAGAGGATACATTTTAGTAAGTATGGTAAAATGCTATTAACAATAATGTGAATAAATAGAAAAATGAATTACAGTTCAAAGCAATAAACATCCGCATTTCATATAATTAAATTTGTGAGCAGTCTCTCTAAAATTACCAGTAGCATTCCAACAACAAAACAAAAGCTGTCATTGAAGTACATATTATCATTATTTTCCTTTTACAGTACTACATTTTCTTGATATTCCAGCGTTGCACTTACATATTTAAACAAGAATTTAATTTACACACAAAAAGCACCCTTAATAAAATAATTGAAAGATAGTTAAAAAATAATTGAAAGATAAATGCAAAGCACCAAACATTAGGCTGCTTCACATACTTCCCTGGCCAGAAATAACCTTTTGTGCCAGAAATCATCCCTCTTCACCACATCCAAAGGAACATGTTCTTTAGGAGACCCATATACCTGTATCCTGATGGTGCAATCCTAAATCCCACAACATTGATGGCTTAGGTTAGGATGCACCAGTCTCCCACCGGTGGAGAATGTCCCTAATGGAGGTGGCTCTGCTGCAGTGGAATACCCACCTCCAGCCCAGTAGGCAGTAAGCTACCATCAGCAATAGCCAGCAGAAAGCTCCAAAAGTAGGGCATTATGGTGCCAGATCCACTCCCCCCCACAAAAGGCTGGATCCAAAAGCCAATGGAGAATTAGCTGCTCAATTCCTCCAACCCCCCCATTATGATTGCTCTGTGGTTTGTGTTCCCTTTCCTCAATTTGAAAGGGATGAATAGTGCAAATCCCATCTCCATGTGTAGTGCCCATGCTATACGTTACCTTAGGTCAGTGGTTCTCACGAGTGTAGCGCAGACTTCCTTTAGCTCGTGGAAGGCCTGGTAAAGTGGGGAGGCAATGTTCCAAAGAGGGGCTGAATTCTGAAGAAATGGGTGAATTAAATGCCCCCTGGCAGAAGATGATGACTGGTGCATCATCGTCTGGGTGCAATTTGGAAAGAAGAGTTCAGAACGCTGCTTTCTTCTGATGTTGTTTTGCTGTGCATGACTTTATGAGGAAAACAGATGTTCTGTTCCTCTTCTAATGCCATGTTTTCAGTACATATAGCAAGATCCCTATATAGGGAAAGGTATACACGTGTACAAGGATCTCTATTGTTTACATATGGAACAGCCCAAGAGACTGGTGCAGGGATGTCAACAGCAGAGGGTAGATTAAATTCCAGAGAAGTGACTTGAGTTCAAAAAGTTGGAGAAACACTGCTTTAGATAAAAGCACTTCCTTTGCTACCACATGGAAGGGATCACTAACTGAGTAAATGTGTGAACCAGCCAATTCTATACTGCCCCACCATGTTCTCATAATTTTTTAAAATGTAATGCACTTAAAGGTTTTGTTGTGCTCCCTACCAAAAACAAAAACCCATACAGCACAGTTTGGAAAAGCCGTATTCAGGTTTACAATGTATATATATTTTGTTCTCTGTATATATAATCAAACATTCTGTATTATATTCTGAGGAGTTGCTTCTCAGATAAAATATATACCCTTGATAAATTTCACCCTGAGAAAGTGGCTCCTTGAGGTTACACAATAAAATTAAAAACAGTACAGTAAATTACACAAACAATAAGGCAGCCAGGGATTTCTGTATGCATTTGGAAACATTTTTTCCCAGACTAAAACCCTCTGAGGGAATGTTAAACTGCAACGTTTTGGGAGGCAGTAAAATGAACACTAAAGATCCTTTCTAGTTGACTTACAACCAAGAGATTGTCTTTGGCAAAAATCACAGGGAGATAAGATGGTTCTCCACAATAGTGGAAGGCAGTACACCAAAGGCGAAATGTTTTCTAAGCCTCTTCAGAAGGGAACAACTTGCAGTGGAGAAGCAGCAGAGATTTGGGATGCTTCACCCCTTTTGCTTTTTTCATTTTGCTGCAACAGGTCCCTGCAATTCTAAAGTCATGTACTGCAAGATAAGCACCATCTGGAATCCTAGAAAAGTATCTTAGGGAAAGAAGTTCCAGCTCTAAAAGCAGTCAGCCTGAAAAGAATTAATCATCCACTTCTCCACCCCCCAAAAAATACCTTGCACTAAAGCTGCTGTGCCTAGAATTTTTTTGGCATGTTTGCATTTTGATGTGCAACATAGTCCTTACTGTATTTTACAATTAGACAGAAACACTTCCACATCTAAATTATTTCGTTATTACAATCCAATCCTGCTTTTGAGGCATAATGCATCAGGGAAAAGAATCATACACTGGACTTCCAAGAGCTAGGACAATGGTAGACTTTAACTCCTTTGCAGTAATTTTGGGAACTAGCTTTGTCCCTTGGTTGCAGAGCTTCAGAAGCTGCTTCCCATGCACAAACAGGGGCAGCTTGCTGTATGGCAGGGGGGCACTACACAAGAAGCTATTTAATCTTAGGGAGGGAGATTGAGATGGTGAAGAGTGCCACAATCCTTAGTGCTGCATTTGCAGAGGCCATGATTAGTGCCCCTTAACATCAGCAGGCTGTATGTTCCAGCCTTGCTTGTTTAACAGAGGCATGTGACATAGCAATTACACGGGGGGGGGGGGGGAGAGAGATCTGACATATGAGGTATGGCATGCTCTGACTGCTAATTTAACCAAAGCCACAGAAGGCGATTCTGAGCTGCTCCTATCAACTCTTGTGAAATTAAATAAACAATCATCATTTCCACCCTATTCTGTTATCCTAACTGATAATACTGCTGCAAGAAAAACTGGAATTGAACTCTGCAGAGGAAAAGGCACCACTGTACCTCTGCAACTAGGACTAATAGTAACTGCTACAGTTGAACTAGGATCCACAGACACTGTCAGGTCAATCCGACTGGCAGCTACCTAAATCATCAGCAGTGAATCATCAGCCTCACTACTGATACTTTAATCCTAAGAACCATGATGTAGCTCCCCACTAGTAACCACTTAAAGCTTTGGGCTTTTGTTGCCATTGTTCCTTCTTTCCCATGTTGCTATCTCAAGGTTAATTTAAGCTATCGCAAATAGAATAAATTGCTCCGTGGTCTGCAGACACAAATCATTTATCTCATAATAATAAAAACCACACCATTTTCATTATCTTGAGTCCTTAAAACAAGAGTTGGGAACCTACTGCCCTTCAAATGTTGCTGAACTACAACTCCCATCATCCTTGACCACTGGCCAAGCTGGCTGGGGTTCATGGGCAGTGGAGTCTAACAGCATCCAGAGGGCCAAAGGTTCCCCAGAAACTCTCATTAATTTGTGCAGTAACATGTCACAGGTTGGCGTCTGGATGATGTTCAACAACTAATTTATCAACAGTTGGAATAACCAATAGAGATGATTCTCATATGTGTGATTCCTAATGGGGCTAATTATTTTCCCCCTTCCCTTTTTCCTGTTAGTGTAAATAAGGAGTAACTGCATTCCAGTCTGCTGAATTGTGCTTGTGTCAAACCTCTGTGAATAACAAAAGAGAGAACTTATTTTCAGCTACTGATCAAAGCTGCACCATTGTGTCAGTAGGATGTTCAGCTTTTGAAAAGGTGCCAATAAAACTACCAGCTGTAGTCTTGTTTCCACTACTCCGTTGATAGTGGCAGTGTGAACTTTATTTACTGTCCAAAGATGGTTACTTTCAGTCCAGTTGGTCCCATTAGATGTACTGTTTGGTACCATTTCCGGAAAACCAAATGATGAAATGACATTGTGTTTAAAAAAGCTCTCAGTACTTTGTGCTATACTTTTCCACCTTCTCTGTTTTTTGCCGGTGATGGCTTTATCTTTCCAATACAAGGCTGTATGAGCAAAGTGAGGATTCCCACCATGTAAAGCAAGCCACATATGTAGAAAGAAAAGTCATATTTTTGTGTCAGGTCATAAATCCAGCCTGGAAAACAAGAGCAAGGCAGTTATCTATAGGCTATGATCAATCAATCAGTGAAGAACAGAAAACATTATTTATTCTACTCATAGCATAGTTGTTGGTATCATACTATGCTCAGTCTCTTTCCCCACCTCCATTTGTCTTTCATCCATCTTAACTTTCATAGAAACCATTCTGCAATGCATTGTATGGCTTTGTGGTTGCTATGCCTTACACTAACTGGTATCTGATTTACTCTAGTCTGCATCTGCACAAAACTCCCCCAAGAAAAAAAGTATGCTGTAAGCCAGAGGGTCTGGTAGAGTCAGCCAACAAAGGGTCAGAGGTAGTGGCTGGTAGCCAATGAAATTAGACATCTGTGAGAAAGCAGATGTTGGTGAAGTTCCATCTTCAAATTTGCCCTGTGAGCATTATGTTATCTTGTCAAACAACTTCTAACACACTAGGCGCTCCTTTCTTTAAAATCAAGAATGTAACAAGGTATATTTGTTGACTAGGAATGTGGCCCATGAAGGGCGTGGAGTGGGTGAGAACGAATGGTAATTGGACATGCAATGATTCACTAATTATTTTATTTATTGTGTTTATATCCCACCTTTTCCTCCAAGGGACTCGAGGCGGTACACATGGTTCTCCCCCCGCCCTCATTTAATGCCCACAACAACCCTGTGAAGTAGGTTAGGCTGAGAGGCAGTGACTGGCCAAAGGCCACCCAGCAAGCTTCATGGCCGTGTGAGGATCTTAACTCATGTCTCCCAGGTCCTAGTCCAACACTCTTAACTACTACACCACCCTGGCTCTCACTATGACCTCTAGGAGCTATAAAGCACGCATGGACTATAAAGTTGGACAAACAAAACTTTGCATTTACCTGCAAAAGGTGGTCCCAGGAGTGCTGAAATCCCATTAGCACAAATGATGATTCCATAGGCATTTGCGAGGTGCTTAATCCCAACTAAATCTTCAGTAACAACAGGCATGAGTGAAAAATACCCACTGGAAAATCCTATTAGGGCACAGACCACAGCGAGCCCAGCATATGTGTGCATTAGTGGTAAAATGAAAATGCAGAAGACGAGAGTGAAGTTGGCTGCCATGAAGACATTCCAAGCACTGACGCAGGGTGAATCAGAAATGATGCCAAGGATGACCTTGCCAAGAATGTGGACAATGGCAATAATTGAGGTCAAAGGGAACACATCGTTCTGTGCAGATAGACCGTATTGCTTCACTATTTCCGGAAGATGGATAAAAGGGATAACAAAAGTGCTGTATGCAAATAAGGCCCAAAACACAAAGGCTGCAAACTTTCTGTTGGTGAAGAGGGATGCAGCGCCAAAGTAACTAGAATACCAGGTCTGAAAGCCTTTCTGGATTGTAAGCGTCAGCTGACTCGCCCTCTTCAGCACGCAAAGAGCATAGATATTCTTCCAGTGTCTGGTTACATCTTTGTTTTCCAAGTCTGAAAAAATGTCAGACTTTTCCTCCTTACCTTGCCCTTCTTTTGCCTCTTCCTGTAAGATGCCATTAGATGCCAGTGTTTCTGCAGAGCAAGAGAGAGCTTTTGCATGGCTCTCGCTGACGTTTCCCTCTCCGCTTTTTTCAGCGGTTTCCTCTTTGTAATAAACTGGTCTCATGAGCGCTCCACAAACACACAGGTTCAGACAGACCGCGCCCTGGATGAACATTGCGTTCCTCCAGCCAAACTCCATGCAAAGGTATTTCAGCAGAACTGTCATCAGGAAAGCACCGAACCCCGTCCCAGTTGTGCTGAGTCCCTGGGCTAGTGCTCTTCTCTTCTCAAAGTATTCGCCTACCATGACCACAGCAGGCAGGTATACCATCCCACTCCCAACACCTGAAAAAGAGAGATTCCTGAATCAGCTGCAGAACTTTGACTGCAGTCATAACACATGCAGGCAAATTGACACAAAGCCCAAACGTTATTATCCAGTATGGCTTCACCTAAGGGTTAAGGATAGGCTTCCACAAGCATCCTAGTGGTGCAGCACTAAAACTGCTAGCACATTTGCAAAGCTAAGCAGCTTGATGTGGCTGGATGGTTACGTGGAAGCCAGTTGAAGTTAAATCCTTCGAAGACAGAGGTCCTCTGGCTGGGACGGGACGATATGGGATTGGGGGGGCAACTCCCATCTCTTGCGGGGGTGCAATTAGTGCCAGCACCGTCCGTTAAGAGTTTGGGTGTAATCTTCGATACCTCCCTCTCTATGGAGGCGCAGATTACAGCTATAACAAAGGCGGCATTTTTTCATCTCCGCCAAGCTAAGCAGTTGGCCCCTTATCTCTCTCGCCCTGACCTAGCCACTGTGATCCACGCGACGGTCACCTCCAGACTGGATTATTGTAACTCGCTCTACGTGGGGCTGCCCTTGAGACTGACCCAGAAACTCCAGCAGGTGCAGAATGCCGCGGCGAGACTCCTTATGGGGTCTTCGCTGCGAGATCACATTCATCCGGTACTATACCAGCTGCACTGGCTCCCGGTGGAGTACAGGATCAGGTTTAAGGTGCTGGTTTTAACCTTTAAAGCCCTATACGGCCTAGGACCCTCGTACCTACGGGACCGCCTCTCCTGGTATGCCCCACAGAGGAACCTACGGTCTGCAAATAAAAACATCCTGAAGGTCCCAGGCCTCAGAGAGGTTAGGCTGGCCTCAACTAGAGCCAGGGCTTTCTCGGCTGCGGCTCCAATCTGGTGGAATGCTCTGTCACAAGAGACTACGGCCCTGCGGGACCTGACATCTTTCCGCAAGGCCTGCAAGACAGAGTTGTTCCACCAGGCCTTTGGTCAGGGCCCAGTCTGACTCCCTCCTCTGGCAACCTGCACAGAACTTTGCTTAACGGTTGCCATTAATTTGATTTTAATTAATTTTTACAGTGAAATGTTTTAGAATGTTGGATTATTTGATTGTTTGATTATTTGTTTGTTGTTAGCCGCCCTGAGCCTGGCTTTGGCTGGGGAGGGCGGGATATAAATAAAATTTATTATTATTATTATTCCAGTATGGTTTCGAATGCTGAGAAATGATGACAAGGTGTGACTGTATGCTGCTATCAGACATGGGAGTATGCTTTGGCCGTATTTTGTAAAGCTTTTATGTGTTGTAGAAATGTGTCGTGATAAAGACTGGGAATAACAGATCACACTCAGCTGATTCTGAGCACCACAAATCAAAGTTTAAATCAGCCTACTGAGGCTTAGCTGTGTATCCCAGAGCTGATACTATAGTAGTATAAGCCATGAATTCATGAGACCTGTAAGATCAGACCTAAATATAGTCACCTGGGCTTAATAAACGAATTATCTCCATCACTAGAAAGACCATACATAATCTCAAACTCAAGTCATATCAACCTCCAAAGCCAGAATGACTATTTAACTAACACCAAAGCCTGATTCCAAAAATAGTATTATGCATGCTGGAATGGGATCTATCATCAGTGTTTCAGGTAAAAGCCACAGATTTATTAGACACATGGTTTCCCTTAAAGGTAGAAGTTACCTCACATGCAGGACTAATAACTAGGGATTGAATTTGTGGCTTCCATTCCACAACCACCACAGCCATATACTTTAAAGGTTTATTTACTGTATTTAAAATTGTTCCTTTTCTGAAATGAGAGCTGAAACTGCTCTGAGTTCTGCTTTCACTGATGCTCAAACAATTCTTAATTGGTTTAAGTGGGTGTCCCAGAAAAGACAATCTGCTCTTATGTCAACACTGTGGCATCATCTATGAAAAGAAGAAAATATTTGCAGACTAATGGACCATATACTTTCTGCCTGAATATGTTTTTGCTGTCTCTAAGTACCTAATGTGCTTATGTCGTCAGTTTACAAGAAGTTTATTCCTAAGGTTTCTTCTCCACCTGCCACCTGCCCCTCATTCCAGGCTGAAAATGAATATGGAATTTCTCCTCTTATTCTAATTGGGTCTGCTATGGGTCTACTGAACAGGATAACCCTACCAGGAGATAGAAGAGAAGTCCAATTCATCTTCCGTATGCCATTAAATGGGGTCATAATGTTTTGTTTTCTCTTATCATTGTATTTTAATACTGCAGGGGGTGTCGTTTGGATTTTTCCACTTCAGATACCCAAATCTCTTGTGATGATTAATAGCCTTGTGGTGTTTCAAGCTCAAAATCAATTTTCTCATCTATACGCAACAAAGTTTACTGTTCCCTTTTTTGCCCTTCTATTTATACTCTCACACTCATAGTCAGACAGCTGAGTGCAGAAGGCTGCCTGCCCACTTCCATAAAGGGACCGCAAACATCTACAATTTTATCTGTCTTAACACAATGAGCATAGGCCAGTTCAAGGCCTATCTAAATTAATTTAATGTAAAGCTTTGTCAAATGCCGCACGTGATAATTATAAACCTCTACCATGTAGCATATTGTTCCGCAGGGCCTGTAAGACAGAGTTGTTCCGCCTGGCCTTTGGCTTGGAGTCAATTTGATTCCTTCCCCCTCTTTCTTTTTCCTTTCTCCTCCTGTGATGAGGCTGCATTTTAATTGTTTTAATGTTGTATTTTAATCTTGTTTTTAAGTTGTATTCATTCAATTCGTTTTTATTATTGGTTGTTAGCCGCCCTGAGCCCGGCCTTGGCTGGGGAGGGCGGGGTATAAATAAAATTTATTATTATTATTATTTTCCTTCTGAATTAAAAAACCCCAAAGTCAGAACATTTCCTTGTAGGGCAGTTGTTCTAACCAAAAATGGTTGCCCATTTTTGCACCTTCTTCAGTTCTAAAATATCCTCTTTTTTTGGTTGTAGCTGCCAGAACAGTACTGGTAGCTAACTCAGTAGGAAGCCTCATCAAGATCATAAACTTTCTACCTATGGCACACACTCAAATATATTGCTTTAAGCAACTTTGTATGAGTTCCTGCCAAGTTTTATATGCCAAGTGAGTTTATCACTTGGGGTCCCTTCCAACTCTAACATTCTATGGTTCTATGAAACTTTTGTATTGGCCCGGGCCACTCTGTCATGCCACCTTCAGAGGAAAGGTTCTTTAAAGATTATCAATATCAAAACCATAAATCCACTCTGAGAAAGAGCAAATAAAATATGATTAAGATGCAGTGTCCCAAATCAATCCCAGTGAATATTGCTCACAAGGATCAGCAATGTGAAAGAGGAAGACATTGTCCTGAAATGACACAATACTTTAGGTGACCCCAATATCTATCTAGTTCCTTTAGACCAGGAAACTTTTCCCCCCCATGGACCACTTGGAAATTGCCAAGGGTCTTGACACGTAATGATTTTTCTGCCTGTTGTAGCAATTGTAACATGCTGTGCTAGGTGCTGTATCTTATCATCTTATCTTATCTTATCTTATCTTATCTTATCACATCACTAGTCACCTTCTATCCTGGTCCATCCCACTCGCCCTGTGGGCAGATCGCTGGGATCTTAGAGCGATGGAGCAGCAACTAGGATCTTTGGGTGAAGGGTGGTATACAAATTTAATAAGGTAAAGGTAAAGGGACCCCTGACCATTAGGTCCAGTCGTGACCGACTCTGGGGTTGCGGCGCTCATCTCACTTTATTGGCCAAGGGAGCCGGCGTACAGCTTCCGGGTCATGTGGCCAGCATGACTAAGCCGCTTCTGGAGAACCAGAGCAGCGCACGGAAATGCCGTTTACCTTCCCGCCGGAGCGGTACCTATTTATCTACTTGCACTTTGACGTGCTTTTGAACTGCTAGGCTTGCAGGAGCAGGGATCGAGCAACGGGAGCTCACCCCGTCGCGGGGGTTCGAACCGCCGACCTTCCGATCGGCAAACCCTAGGCTCTGTGGTTTAACCCACAGCGCCACCCGCGTCCCTTGACAAATTTAGTAAGTAATAATAATAATAATTGTGCCTGCCATTCACAGCTACTGCTTCCACCATTCTTCCCAGACGTGCCATGGACCACCTGAGTAAAGCTTGCGGACCAGTGGTAGTCTGCAGACCAGTTTGGGAACCCCTGCTTTAGAGCGATGCACTAAGCTTTGTACATTCATTCCAATGCTTCTGAAAGTAACACCAAGCGTTTTGTGTTCCACAGTGCTGTATTCTTCATAAGGCATTCTGTACGAGAAATAACCGGTATATGTTTCCAGCAAAGGGATTTTGTCAAATGCTCAACATATTTGCACATCATGGCAAACCATAATCCATGACTTACTGTGCATGAGCAAATCATGCTCTTAGTGTGCAAAGAAAAGAAACCATGATCCCCGGCTTCGTATTATGTCCAAACCAGCATTCAAGCAAACCACAATTGGTAAGCCAAGAAGAAATCTTGGTTGATCTTTGTGGTTGGGGTGAAACAAATCATGATCCCTGTTTCAGACACAATGCTCAGCTAGGGATTGTTGTTTCCCCCCTCTGTGCACTAGCAGGAAGTAGTAGAGAGGATAGAAGAGGGAAGTGATTTGCTGATGCACAATAACAGATGGTTTATAGCTTGCTGTGACATGCAAATGCAGCCATTCAGTTATACTGGTCTTATTTAACTGTTAATCTGAGTGCTGCCTTGCCTGCATTGTTGAAAAAAGGACACTGGAGGGGGGAAACATGCTTGCATCACACCTTCAAATTACCATTGCACTTTTAGTTTGGAAAGACAAAGGGGAACGTTGGAATCTTAAAGCATGTCCAAGAGCTATGGGTAAACTGCATCTTTTATTGTTATATGTTATTGTAATTGCATCTTCTGCTTTTAAATATTTTGCAAACCACCCTGAAAATGTTTTATAGGGGAGGCACATAAACAAACAAACATACAAACAAACAAACTTGCCATTTCACATCAGCAGCAACAAGTACAACGTGGGCATCTGCCCAAGAAGTGTGACAGGGGTGTATGATTTGCTGTGAAACAAAATACAGACATTCAATGTTTAGGTTGGTTGTGGCTTTCCAGCTAATCTGAAATACCATGCATCACCTGAATTAAGGTATCTATGCAGGTAATCTGAAGTGCTTATGTAGATGCTGCATACGTGTCACTTTTGACCTCCAACATGCGAGGTATCTTCTCATGTGCACTGTTTTGTGTGGACAAACCTACCCTCCTCCATTGACATGCATGAATAAACTCTTACAGGCTGAGGAACATGTCTGTGGTGGAGTTACTGTGCTTAGAAGGGATTGTAGGTCAGGGTGACTGCCTCTTTGCAAACTCAGGCTTGCTTATTTTAGCATTCTGTGTTCTTACAGATCAGTTACTACAATGAAAATCCGAAAGCATATTCAAAAACTAATGCATGCTTACCAGCTGTAACCCCAAACGTTATAAAGAGGTAATGTACATTTGAGGCATAGGAACTCAGTATCCATCCTACAGCAGTCAAGATCCCTCCAACTATTGCTGTCTTCCGGCAACCGCAGGTGTTAATGAACAAACCAATAAAAGGACCTGTGCCAAAACATTAAGAATGGATTGTTTTCCTAAAGCTTTGTTTATTCTGTTCACGAGGATAACCACACTGAAACCACTGATTACCAGCAATAAGATCAGTAAATATTAGGCCACCGGTTCAAAACTGTTAAGTGCTAAACATCGGTTCTCAAAGATCTAGGCAGTGTGGTGTAGTGGTTAAGAGCGGTAGTCTCGTAATCTGGGGAACCGGGTTCGCGTCTCTGCTCCTCCACATGCAGCTGCTGGGTGACCTTGGGCTAGTCACACTTCTTTGAAGTCTCTCAGCCCCACTCACCTCACAGAGTGTTTGTTGTGGGGGAGGAAGGAAAAGGAGAATGTTAGCCGCTTTGAGACTCCTGAAGGGGAGTGAAAGGCGGGATATCAAATCCAAACTCTTCTACTTATTTCTAATCAATATATGAAACTGAGACAATATGAGTCATGACAGGCAGAGATTATCATAGGCAAACAGTATCATATTTTATAAGGGACTGTTGCTAAATATTTTGATCCATAAATGTATCTATCTCTGCAGGAACTGATCTTGGGCATATCCATTTCTTCTAGAGTGGCTTATGAACCTACCTACAATCAAGGTTATACCCATACTAAGGGAGCTGACCCACGCTGTCAGGCCTCGACTTTGGCTGAATTCGTCAAGCCATTCCATGTTGAGAACACCAAGGGCCATTTGTGATCCCATGATGAGTATGTGCACCAGGAAAGAAGAAAGGACAATCATCCAAGCCCATCCACCATCAACATCTGGATTCGCCACAAGCTTCTTCTCCCTGTCTTTGGAATCCTCTTCAAAATCATAGCCAACATCTTCGCGACTGGCGTACATTTTCCACTGAGTATCCTGAAACAAACAGAAAATGTTTTCACAGGCTCAGGGTTGTCTTTTATTTTAGTTTCTTTGGTGCTTTATTCATTAACTCAAAGAAAACTGGTTTGTTGGCAGCTCGCCGCCATTTTGCATCCTCTACAACACCCTGGGACTTCATGAGGGTGGAAATGGCAGCCGCCACCACTGCCACCCACAAAAAAATGGCCTCCATTTTTCCTAGAGGGAGGATGAGAAAAAGAAAAATCTCAGGAAAATGTACTCTGAGAAATTTCAGCTCCTCTCCAAGTCACCTGTAGGCAGCGACATGAATTGGAAGCAGATTTTCAGCACCCAGCCACAGCTGTAGGATTTGAAATACTTAACCGTGCCCTTGTAGGGACAGATATTTTGGCCGCAAAATGTTTTCACACTGTTACCCGCAACGTATTTTTATCTTTGGATATCCACACTGCAAACACACTCAGAAAAAGCAAAGGTTGTTTGTCAAAACTGTGCACACGCCATCAGCTGCCCAGAACTAGGATAGGACACTGGTCCTCACCTCACTGCTGACTCAGAGCAGCCTTGACCCAGCCTTGTCTCTTCCATTCACTCACGGATTACTCCACACAACTAAGTGTCATGCAGCAAACTGGCTGCCAGAAAAGCCGCAGACCATCCTCAGAGCAGCAATGCCAAACATCAGCAACTGCTGTTTGCTCTTAATCAACCAAGGCCAGCAATTCCAAAATACTACACTGACATAATAACTGGGATTCCAGAATACATTAGCATTTGTTCTTCTAGTATAAAAAGTTCTTTCCATAATTGATACTGTCATCCTAATAACCCTGTTAGGTCGTCTTTGCTCTGGGAACGACATTATTTCCTCCCACAATTTTTGTCCAAAATACCTTTTTCCTATTGGGGTTAAGATTGGGAGCTGCCCAGAGTGGCTGGGGAAACTCAGCCAAATGGGCGGGACATAAATAATGAATTATTATTATTATTAGCAGTTCAGAGGCTTGCAATTTTCAGTAGAAAAACAGCACGAGGTAAAAGGGAGGTTCCATCCCCCTCCCCACACACTTCTTCCTTCCTTATTGGTGTTTCACTTCAAATTGAAGCACCTGCAGCTTCGTTGTATAAAGGAATAACACAACTACACATAACGTGTAGTTCATTCCTTACTAAAATCACAACAGGAATGTGCCAGTTTCACAGATGGGGAGATTGAAGTAAAGTGAAGATAAGCCCAACATTTTATTAGCGGCAACTCTGTTTAGATTATTTACATTTTAGGGCCCAACTCGCTAACAGTGTGATTTAATGCATGTTTATTGATAAGTCCCATAGTTCAGTTAGACCAGGGCAGGCCAACTTTTCCTATCAAGTGGGCGGCAAGAGCATTTTGACACGGAATCTGCGGGCCACACGCTTGGTTGCAGAAGCCACCAAAAAAGAACTTGAGGGCCGCATGGAGCCCTCAGGCCATGTGTAGGACCACCCAGAGTTAGACCTACTCTCAGACTTACTGCATAGGAAGGTCTCCTACTGCCATTTAAAAATTTGTTATGTCCCTGCTTAGATATGAGGTTCATTCACTGGGTCATCTTGGTCAATCGCTATGTTGCATCCTAATCTGATTCACAGGATTGTTGTGAGGATAAAAGGAGGAGGGCATGTGTGGCATCCTGAGCTCCTGGGTGAAATAAAAATGTATTTAACCAGCAAATAAACAGCAGTTCTTGATTTGGCTAGATATCCATGGAGCATAAAACGCTTAGAATGTCTGTAAATCTGGGCCCTTTGAAAGCTATATTAAGTTGCACATATTCAATACATGGTGCTTTGAAAAAGAAGAAGAAGCAGTTTAAAGGATTTCCCTAAGGCTGCACAAGAGAGCTGTGTCAGAGAGGCAAACTGGCCAGAGCTCTACAGGCCACTACTGTCCTCTTGTTTGTCACATGAATGATATTAATTATTCTAGCTCCCCACCCACCCCTCCCAGATGATCCTCCATCCAGTATTCTGTCTTGCTCTTGATGGTTTAGGCCAAATATCAAATCTGAGAAAATCACTTCTAATGTGTTTGCAAGCCTGCCCATTTATAAAAGTCTGCAATCGCAACCCTTACATAAAAACACGAGAATTTTCATTTCTGTTTTTGAACGCATAAGACATGTCCTGAGATACTTTTTTAAAAAAGAAAAAGGAGCAACGATTAAAGCATAATTGTTGTATGTGACCAATACACTTTTTAAACAGCACATCAAAGCATAATATCTAGGGCTTCTCTCTCTCTCTTTCTCCCTCCCTCTCTCCCTCCCTCTCTCTCTCTCTCTCTCATATATATATATGAGACTTAAACAACAAAGACATAATTTATGTGGTAGTTCCTAGTTACTGCCATATCCGTAGCAAAAGATAGAAGTGTTTCCATCAACTCTGGGCCGCTGAATATTGGTACGTGTGTAACTCAGAACTCGGGGGCATTGTGTTCCATGATTTTTCCTATCTCTTAAAACATAACTAATTTCCTGTGCCAAAGGCATTTCTGGTATGGACAGAAATGAGCAATCCGCTCATAGGCTGTTAATATTTTGCAGACCTCCTTTGCTGTACACTATGTTTATGCATGGGTAGGCGCAGCAGAAGCCCCACTCCTACCATCTTCCCCATGTTGTTATAGTAATTCCTACAAAATTGCCTTCCGCATAGGAATAAGCCACTATCAAACCATTATCCTCAGGAGAATGCTGAAATGTGTCTCTTCCCTCTACTTCTTTCCCTTTGCTTCTCACATGGGCACAGCTAATATGGGGGTCATAGATCATGTGTAAAATGGTCCTGCTGAACACCTTCCTACTAAATCCAATGTATCACATACATGATCGCCATGGGGTTTGTTTCATTTAAACTACTATGATCAAACTTCGTTTTATAAAATCTGGTGACCGGGCATCATGAATGAAGACTGGACTGTGATCGCAAGCATGCTTTCTTGGACATAAATTTTTGCTTTATAAAGGGAAATTATTTAGGAACAGGGAGGATTCTCTCTCCATCCCACCTACAAAAGTCCTGCTTGGTTCTCAACCCGTCCATTTTTGCCTTGCCCAAGCACGTCTACTCAGAAGAAAATCCCACCGAATTCAAGGGGTTTTGCTCTCCAGTCATGCAATCCTATGCATGTCTAATAACTGAGTTCAAGTGGACTGACTCCCAGGTATATGTGTATATGCTAAACACATTTATTAAGTAAAAAACCACATTGAACCCTCAGGGATGTTTTGTGTAAATGTGGATACAGGCCTGTATCAGTATGGCTACCTGTTAGCTGCCTTAAATGAAAAAGTACTGCATGTCCTCCAACATTCAGAGGTAGAAATAGGGTTACTTATGCCAAGTTACTTTTAAAATTGTAGTTTTATATTGCAGTGTCGTTGATGTTATGACTTATATAAATCTTCTCCAGAGCACTTAGCCCTGAAAAGAGGCATATAAAATTTCAAAATAAATACTTGGCAAGCGCCTCTTCACTCCAAGGCTACGCACCACGGAAGTCTCTTGTCTGCAAGAGGTACTCTTGTGTTCATTTACTTGGCAACAGCCAGTCTCGTAACAGATTATCATGCTTAATATCTCAAAATAAACCACAGGCTGCAGCATGTGAAATGGCAGGCTGTGTCCTGCATGGTGCCTTAAGGCACCTACACCTGCTTACCTGGGAGAAAGTCCCACGCAACTTGATGGATCTTACATCTGAGTAGCAGACTGCAGAGTTAATGATCAGGTTGTACACTTCCCCGGCATGCAGCCCCCTCAGCCTAATTTCGAAAGCTCTTTGCAAGTTAAGGCTACCTGGTGGAACCAGGCATGAAGGGAGAGGGAGAGAGAAAAATGGGGTGTCACAAACACAAGGGGAAATGGTGGGATTGGGAGGCAAGGGGTGGCCCCTCCCACTTTTGCCGTAGCCACGCCCACAGCGCTAGCTTCTACGCTGCCCTCCAAAAAACATGCGCCCCCGACCCCGAACACAAGGATTGTGGCCCTCGACAGAAAAAAAGTTCCGCACCCAGGCGGAGAAAGGCAGTGCTAAATGATCAAAAAAGGGATGAGAAAACCCTCCCCTGGTTTCCGCCTCAGACACAATAAGAACACGTTTTGGGGGGACAGTATTTTACCCAGAAGCGTAAGGCGAGGGGGTAGTCAGTGGCTTCATGGTAGTCATTGGCTCGTTCAGGTGGCAGCTCTGGCGCCTTCCTCAATGGCTCCCCGCGAGCAGAAACCTGGCCGGAGTTGTGGGGAGCGGGCCGCGTAAAAAGCGCGAAATAAGGAGCCCCGCGCAGAGCAGGGAAGGACAGCGGCGGAGGAACAGCGCGCGGCGGCGGGGCCACACGGCTACTGACCGCGAGTTGCCTTACGGCGGCTGCGGGAGCAGCGGGAAACCTTCCTGCCCGGAGCAGACAAAGCTTCGCGGCCGCTGCGTGCGGAGCCTGCCCGCCTGCCTGGCGCACCATGCATGCCTCCCCGCTTGCCCGAGGCCGCCCAGGCTCCGGTGCCCAGCCTCGAGGGCAGGCCTGGCTGGCACACCCACCCACTCACCCCGGAGGGAGCCGCGCTTACTCCCGGGGGGCACCTCTCGCATCCGCTGCTGCTTCCCGCCGCGGAGTCCCCGGGACTGCTGCAGTCTGGAGTGGCATCTTCAGCAAGGCGCCCGCCCGGAGCTCTCCTCGCCCGTGCCGGGGGAGGGACGCAGGGAAGCGGGGTCGGGAGTGGGTGGGGGCTTAATTCCCCTGCCGGTCTCGACCCCCGAGCGATGCCCTTTTGTCCCCAGGGCACTTCGCCTCGGCGTGATCTTCCTCCACCAACTCCCTGCACCGCCGGCCCATCTCTGGCTGCTTGCAAGTCGGCGCGCTCTGCCCATGTGTGCGAGGCACCGGCTGATTCTGGTTTTGCGCAAGGGAGGTTTGGAAGCCCTTGGCGGGCTGCCGGGGCCTCTGGCGATCGCTGGCTGAAGTTTGGCTGGGGGCAACTGCTGCACAGCCCAGCTTAGGGCAGGAAAAGCCCCCTTCCAGCCCAGCGAGCCATCGGGGAGAAGGAGCGAGCGGTGCATTGTTGTTGTTCGTAGACAGGCCTCTCCCGCGTGTGGAAATCCTGAGGACAAAAAACAGCCCCAGGGAAGATTAAGAGATTTACACTCCTGTTTACGAAAGGCTTTTGGCTTCCCGTTCCAGAAATCCTCTCACCACTTACCCCGGCCTTTCCCCATCTCACGTAGCAGCTCAGACCCCTGGCGTCTTTTCTAAGTAACACACCAGGGACTAGTTTCTTAGTTTTCAGATGAGGACAGCCTTGAAATCGTGAATCGCTGCCGAGTTTTGTCTTGTATCGTAGAATCATAGGAATGGTGGGTGGGACCTCATGGGTCATCTAGTCCAACCCCCTGCAATGCAGGAATCTAAAGTGTCCGCAGCAGATGGCCATCCAACCTCTGCTTAAAAAGCTCCAAGGATGGAGAGCCCACCACCTTCTGAAGGAGTAAGGCTGCACTAGTATGCATGCTTACCTGGGAGTAAGCCCCTTGGAGCTCATTGGGACTGCTGAATGCCCATGTATAGTATAGCCTGTTAACAGATCTGTTGTTGCACACCCTTTCATGGACTAGATCAGGCATGAGGAAATTCGGCAGCTCTGGGCCTAATGTGGCCCACCAGTTCCATGAGCCAAACTCTGACAATCTCCCCACCAAGAAGCCGGGATGGACCAATTTTCACCCCCATCCTAGTGCAAGAGGTGGGGATATTTAACTCTCCCTAGCCAGCATAACGGGACGCGGGTGGCACTGTGGTCCAAACCACAGAGCCTAGGGTTTGCCAATCGGAAGGTTGGCGGTTCGAATCACCATGATGGGGTAAGCTCCCGTTGCTTGGTCCCTGCTCCTGCCAACCTAGCAGTTCAAAAGCACGTCAAAGTGCAAGTAGATAAATAGGTACCACTCCGGCGGGAAGGTAAACGGCATTTCCGTGCGCTGCTCTGGTATGCCAGAAGTGGCTTAGTCATGCTGGCCACATGACCTGGAAGCTGTCTGCAGACAAACGCTGGCTCCCTCGGCCAGTAAAGCGAGATGAGCACCGCAACCCCAGAGTCATCCACAACTGGAGCTAACAGTCAGGGGTCCCTTTACCTTTACCCAGCATAACACAAACAGGAAGAAAAGCAGCACTTCCCTGCTCCCCAGCTGATCCACAAAGATCCAGTGTGGCATGTATATGGAAGGGTGAGTTAGACCCGCCCCCCTGCCCAATATGGCAAGATGATGATGAAAGTCTCCCCTCTGAGCTGAGTTTACATACAGATTTGTGCTTCTGTCCGTGTTCAGTGTATCTCTATGTGTGTGTGTTAATATTTTGTGTGTGATTTTATAGTGATGTGGTGTGGTGTGTTTTAAGTGTGTGAATGTGTTTTAATTTTTCCACTTGTATAGCAGCTGTTTGGGGGAGGAGAGCGTTATTATTATTTTTTTGTAGTATTGTGCTGCTTGAGTAAACGGCTTTAAAAAAACAAACCAAAAAAACCACCTCCAGATTCTGGTTAGCTCTTTCCCCTATTTAAAATAGACTCTCAGTGGTTCAGATGCTGCAGGTGTTCTTTCAAGTGTGTTGTGTATGACAGGTTTCCCAAATCTGGGTCTCCAGCTGTTTTTTGGACTACAATTTCTATCATCCCTGACCACTGGTCTTGCTAGCTAGGGAAGGTGGGAGTTGTAGTCCAAAAACATCTGGAGACCCAAGTTTGGGAAACACTGGAGTATGAGAATTCTTCCCAGTGTGTGTGTGTGTGTGTGTGTGTGTGTGTGTGTATGTATTAAAAACACACTGAAGTTAGTAAGTTGAAAAGTTAAATTTATTGTATTTGTTTAATATATTTCTTTCCTGCCCTTTACCATAAGGTCCCAAAGCGGGTTGCATACAATAAAGTATGCAACCATAAAACAAAACAGTAGAAACCATAAAGCAAGAAAACTGTAAAATATTTTAAAAAACAGTTCATTATATAAAACAATTAAAAATTCCACATTTAGAAACAACACAAACATTAAAAAACAATTCCAAATATAAGAACAGTTTTTTAAAAAAATGTTCCAGTACAGATTCAGACTATTGTCTTGAGATAATTTCTTGTACCATCCAAATTTTTCTATCTGGTCAAAGGAGACCATGTCCTCCCCCCACTCATCTCGTCACCCCAAAGAGGACCCAGAGCTACAGAACAAAAGCACCCAGCAATATGTGAATTTTCCAAATTATAGCATTAAGGAGAATCAAATTCCTGTCCTAAGAAAGGGTCCAGTGACAACGACGACAAAAGGATCTCCTGTAAATGTCAAGTGAAGGAATATGGTTAGGTTATTTGAATGTCAAAAGCAAGGAAATACAAGGTAGAACATTAAGATGAATATCATGGAACACCAAAACCAAAGGAAGCACAAAACTGAGTGTTTCCTGCCTTCTGTGGTCAGTTTGGTACCTTTCATTTTTCACTGGAACATGAGACAGTAAAAGGATAGGGATCTCTTTTGGCAGGACATATGAATCATTTCCTATGAAGTATCTTGACATGGTTTTACAAGGCAATTCCAAGTCTAAAAAGAATTTATAATAAATTCAGATACCAACTAGTTTTTTTAAAAAACAACAACTATATCTTCATTGGACGTGTTTAGGGTTTTACCTACCCCACACATGCCAGTTTAATATTAGAGAGAACAAGTGGGACTTTTAACAAAGCATTTCCTGACCAGCCAGCTGTGCCCTTTTATGGCATACTCCATTTCACCCACTTCCGTTTTTCTCTCAACACACATTCCGCATTCTGTGGCCACAAATCATTTTCAGTGTTCACTGGAGTGTTTGTTTGTTTTTAAATTGTACTTGTGCAAACCTTGGAACTTCTATTGTCGATCTTTTCCTCGTGCGCAGATTGGCACTGGGAGAATGAGTTTTGTGGTTATTTAACCATTATCATTCAACAAAACGAAAACACTTCAGTGAATACCACTGACAAAGCTTGTTAGAGCTGTGCTTGTTTCACCTAAACCCGTTCTGCCTCTCCTGGGTGCAGGATGTGGTTTTTATTCTGCTGTTAGATATCTCAAAACACTGTATACCAAGGTAGTAACGGAGCTAATCTTTAGTGAAATGTTGCTTCAAAAACAGAATATTTTGAGAACTTTGGAGTTCTGTACACGTGGCAGTGTTGTAGTTGTGGCTGATCTTCTGCATAGGGGGCTACAAAATCCAGTGTTTCCTGTTTGATTCACTTACTCTAAAAGCTACTACTCATCAGAGGCGGAATTTGGGCAGTGTGCGCAGCCAACGCTTCGGGAAGGAGGCATGAGGGTGCTCTGACAGGGTCCTATAGTCCTCCTATCTTCTTCCCAAAGCTGGGCAAGCTCTTCCGGCTTTTGCAAGGAGGCTGGAGAGGGCTCTTAAGACCATGCCAGAGCCTCACACCACCATCAAAGGAGGGCATAAAATGGCCTCATACTGGGCAGCATATTACAGCAACCCTGTGAGGTAACTCACTATTATTCTAATTTTAGGTGGGTAGTTGAAAGAGTGTGACTTGCCAATGCTCCATTCAGTTATTACTTGGCCCAAAGGAAAAACTATGGGACAGGCCTTGATCTCAGGAAATCCCTTGTGTGATGGCCTGGGAATCCGATTCAGAGGCTGAACCGGAGGAATCCCAGCCTGCACAGGAGTCCCCGCCTCCAGGGCCGGCTGAACTGGGGCAGGGCCTTGATTCTGAAGCGGCTGCACCTGTGCCGGATCCTCAGGAGCAGGCACCAGGTGAATCCACTCTGGCTCCGGAGGTGGTTGAGGACTCAGTGCCTACAGGTGAGTCTCCCCTGGGTCCAGTAACCCTTCAGCCTCTCCTGAACTGCAGAGGCTCAGGGCAGAGAGGCGGAGGGAACTGGTTTCTCCCAGGAGGAGTGCTCGCCTTAAGGCCAGGAGAGGCGGGTCTCCTGGGGGCCGGTACCGCCCCTGGCCTCAGAGAAGATAAAGGCCAGTCAGCCCGGTCCCAGGTTGCGGGAGCAACGTCATTGAAGAGCTGTTTCGGCCAGCACCCAGTCCGGTTCCCCCAGAGTTCCTGTCCTTGCCCGGCTCCTCGCTGTGGATCCCGCTTCGCCCGTGGAGGACTGTCTGCCGACCCTCGACTCAGGTCCTGGACCTCGCCCCACGGTAACCTCCCCCCTGGACCAGCACACCTTGCCTGCTTCTTCCTTGTTCTGCCCACCATCGAAACGGAAGATTCTGCTTTCAAATAAATGTGGCATTTGTTGGTATGTGGGGTCCCTCATCGATCTATCTATCGAAAGGCATATACCACTGGATTGTAACAAAACCTCTAAGCAGTTTACAAGAGCTGTTAAAATTAAATAGGAATATGTAGCAGCAGTGGGAAACCTATAGCCCATAGGGATAATTAGGCCTGACAGGTCTCCCCATTCGGCCCACAACACCATTTCAGCCAAGACACAATGGTGCTCACAGGCTTTGCCTTGGTAACCCCTGGTGTAAATGGAAGACAATCATAGAATCATAGAATCATAGAGTTGGAAGAGACCACAAGGGCCATCGAGTCCAACCCCCTGCCAAGCAGGAAACACCATCAGAGCACTCCTGACATATGGTTGTCAAGCCTCTGCTTAAAGACCTCCAAAGAAGGAGACTCCACCACACTCCTTGGCAGCAAATTCCACTGTCGAACAGCTCTTACTGTCAGGAAGTTCTTCCTAATGTTTAGGTGGAATCTTCTTTCTTGTAGTTTGGATCCATTGCTCCGTGTCCGCTTCTCTGGAGCAGCAGAAAACAACCTTTCTCCCTCCTCTATGTGACATCCTTTTATATATTTGAACATGGCTATCATATCACCCCTTAACCTCCTCTTCTCCAGGCTAAACATGCCCAGCTCTCTTAGCCGTTCCTCATAAGGCATCGTTTCCAGGCCTTTGACCATTTTGGTTGCCCTCCTCTGGACACGTTCCAGTTTGTCAGTGTCCTTCTTGAACTGTGGTGCCCAGAACTGGACACAGTACTCCAGGTGAGGTCTGACCAGAGCAGAATACAGTGGCACTATTACTTCCCTTGATCTAGATGCTATACTCCTATTGATGCAGCCCAGAATTGCATTGGCTTTTTAGCTGCCGCGTCACACTGTTGGCTCATGTCAAGTTTGTGGTCAACCAAGACTGCTAGATCCTTT